TTGTTTGTTAAATTATGTTAGCATTTTGTTAATATTTTTCGATTCTTTTATTGAAATTTCAAGGGTTAGCGACCAGGCTTATGTACTATAATATTTATGTGCGTGTGAATTATATCACCTACTTTCCCAATATGTACACTCAAATGCGCTACTGTATAGTGGCATAGCCAGGAGATATTATCCCTCTCGAAATATGTAAAAGATAAAATGAAAAATCTTTAATATTTTGGTATGCAAACATATCAAAAATATAGGAATAGGTTCATTTTCACCATCAAATTGGTCATGTTGAAGGATTAAAAATACAAATTTAAGAGCAAAGGATATTAATTATTATATTTCTTAAAAAACTCTTCTGTAGTATAATATGTGTTACGTGTAAAGAAGAACTGAATAATAGCCACAAAAAAAAAAAAATAATAAATAAATAAATACACACAAATATTTGATAAATAATAAAAAGAAAAAGTAAAAATACGCCTTCACCACTATATAGTTTATAATGAAATCAAGATAAATATTAAATAATCAACATTTAAATAAACACTTATATTAAGTTGTTCCTTCTTTTCTACCTCTTTATGCCTATCACTTTTTTTCCCCTGTAAAAGTGATTATTTTAATATAATTACACGTCTTTATAAAATATATTATTATAGAATCTCGTCGGACAAGAAATTGTATCTAATTTTTGTTTGTTTTTTGATTACATTAATCATTGATAAAAATATAAATATTTTCTGGTTGGGTAAAAAAAATCATTTGTATCTTATAATTAGGGCCCGAATTTAAATGCCCCGAAAAATGTTCTAAAAGAACCAAAAGTGCTAAAAACTGCTCTGAAATCGAAAATAAAAATTTCACTTTTGAAGTATCTGTGACATGGATCGAATTATGTATTCGGAAAACATTGTCTTAGATTACCTAGGTAAAAATACATTTTGCATTGAAATCCAGGCCTTAGTTTTAATATATTATTTCATTGTAAATATTGTTAAAATATTAACAAAAGTCATTTATAAAATGTATATTTTAAGGCCGATTGAAAACTGCCTATAGGTACTAAGTATAATAATAATACCACCGCAAATTTCTTATATTGTATAAAACAGAAATCGACTAAAACAAATATTATTCAAAAGTTGTTTTTTTTTTTTTTTTTTTACAATATGTTTGTTCAGCGACTGATTATTTTTGTACCTAATTAACAATATTTTTAACATTTTGAACCGATAATATTTATAATAATATTGACTTTGTTTTCTATATATTATAATGTTTTTATGAACGCTGCAATACATAATAGTTTATTTATTCATTAAATTACCGTGTCATTGATGTACAAACTTTTTCTACCTACCTACCTACCTACCTACCTATCTACCTACCTGTCAGTGCGTTTTATGAAATTAAACATTCAACTGTGGCGCGACCGTTGGCAAAACTTCAGTAGGGCTTCTCAACACGCTTCCTCATTTGCTGCGCAGACCGACGGGAGAACAAGACGCTGAAATTCAAAATTTTCGGACACCCGATAGCGCATCAATCGAGTCTCTAATTTCATGAAACGCACTTATAAATAGTAACTATAGATACCTACGTGTTAAAATCCTCACTTCGTTCCGCGTCCAAATAAATATTATAAAGGTTTTCCGAAACGATTACATTTATATTATAACAGAACGTGAACCGATAATTTGTTGCACTTTATTGCGCCATCGCGATTAAAGGGAAATTTACAGGCAGATATAATAATAAAACATTTTCTCACGTTTGCAATAAACAGGAAAATGAAAAAAAAAAAAAAAATTTTAAAACTATTAAACAACGCTGTATCATGTTAATTATTATTTTCAACGGTTACAAAATAATTCATATAAATGGTTTGACATAAAGTAACGATAATAATACGATATGTCATAAAATATAATACATATTTATCAAACAAAATAAATGCACGCGTGTTTTTATTATACAGATACCTATATATTGTGTATATTATGCATGTACTCGTACGTTATATCGTACAATATTTATCAAATGACACGTATCGAGATGATTTATATTATTCCATGCTCAATATAACTATCTCATTGTTTTTGAAACGATATTTTACATTCGATTTTAATGTATTAATGTTACACTCAACAAGGTAAACTGTTATTTGTATCTTCTGGACGGAGCGGAAAAAGTGTTGGTTGGTATTTTTTTTTCTGTGAACAATTTTTCTACCGGAAAAGCGACTTTTTTTCGAAAGGAAATCTGACTAAAGTGGTACTTTGAGGAGGTAATTTTTTTGATTATTTTCTAGGGGTTTTACAGATAGATGAGAACAACCGCGAAAAAATGTGGAAAAAACGGGAAAATATACGAAACGTATTATTTTCAAATCGTACGTAAATATTACAGTCTTTCAAAACATGTATAATCGAACTCTGCTCAGAATCGATTTTCGATAACAACGATAATCGTTACATACAAATATGCATTGAATTTCCCCTTTACATTTCCAACTTCTCACCTACAAAAGTGGCAAAGTATGTCCGTTTGTTTTTTTTTTTTTCAAATTGTACCACTCCTAATTCAAGTATTCCGTGGATATTTCAGAGTTTTTCTAACACTTCTTCTCGGTTTTGCTCAATTGTTTATGAAACGACGAGAAAAATCAAACAACGGTCTCTTCAATATTGCACCTATTAAACAAAATTTCGGTGCATGGTTTCTGGCAGAAAAGTTGTTTGCAAATATAAAAAAGAAAAAAAACACATAATAAAACCAATACGCATTTCTCGGTACAATTATTGCATGTTAATATTTATCGTGCGGCTTTATAATTACTATACAAATAATAATGCGCGCGTAAATAGGAGGTATATATTTTTATATGCTCACAAAAAAAAAAAAAATCTATAATTAATTGATGCCGCTGTAATTAAAAAAGATTAATTGCAATGAATTACGATCAAAACTGATGTTTATATAAGATGTAGGTAAATGATTAATTTAATAAATAAATTCGAAAATTTTTCTTTTAGAAAAATCTAATACAACCTTGGTTTATCTGGTAGATATATAGGTACCTATATATTTAAGTTGCAGAATACGTGTTAAGAACCATTAAGTTATATCGCACTAATGTGACAGACGTGTCTATTTTCTAACTTGGAGATAGCGATAAAAATCGTTTATGTAGGTGTATATAGGTATATATTGTGTTTTAGTATAAAAAAAACTTCTAAGCAACGCATGTCGGTGTTTTTTAGGTGGTTTTTTTTTTATTATTATTATTATGTACCCGTAATAACTTTATTCAATACAATTTATTTTAAAAACAATGAAACATTATAATATTTACTTATAACAATAGTACACTCTAATAATACATAGAACATCATTATAATAAAATAACATAATCGATAAATCTTTAAATAAACATTAACAAATAATACCTATAGATATATATATATATAATATATTTTAGTCTATTGGATATACGATATAGTATTTTATTAAAAAAAATTATAAGAGTTGATACGACCCGAACAGATATCATAAAATATATGCGATAATAATATTATACGTATTACCTATAACAATAATATACTATAGCCTGTATATAATTCGAATTTTCAGCAAGAATATCTGAGTAAAATCTATCGTTGGTTATAATAGATACAGGGTGATTTTCAAAAGTTTTAAATAAATTTGATTTTGTTTTTTTTTTTTTTTTTCTAGGCCGTTATTGTGGAATGAGATTTTTTTTAAAAATGCATCCCTTGCTCCCGATACTATAATAAATATATTATACAATGAACTACCTAGTGAATTAAAATTAGCGATCTATATTTGATAACAATTTCGGAAAGAGGTAATTTGTTTATAAACATTTTTATATCGGATACATGCCGTTATTTATGACGAATAGTAACAGTTTAAAATTTAGGCTGGCGGACGTTTTTTTTTTTTAAAAATATTTTACTAAATGAAGGCGTCATTTCACTAAAATATTGAAAAAAGAAATCTATATAATATATGCATATAGGTAACGTCTGAAAAAAAAAATAAAAATCAAATTTACTCTTATTCGAAATCTTTACTGGTCGGTGAATAAAAAAAAAACAAAAAAAATCACCCTGTTATTAGTTGGATATTTACACCGTATACGCGTTTATTTTTAAATTATACGTTCGATAAGCATCTGGAAAACAGCGGACGGTTTAAATATACATCTGTGGCGGATCCGTGATATTCGCTGAGCAAAGTTTATGGGACTAACTAAATAAAATTATATTAAGGACGTTAAAACGATACCATTAAATCATATTGCATTATGACGTACCTAGCGTAACTGTATTCCCCAAACGTAGCAAAATATCAGACACCGGTGTATGCGTTTTGTTAATCTTTTCTCCAGTGGCGTGCGTAGGGGAAGGAGGTTAGATCACGTCCCCCATTTGGCTATTTAAAATAACACCTATGTTTTGGTATATTTATTTAGTACGTAATTCAAATCTTTAAATATACGTGTTACAGCGGAGTTATGCTAAATTGATTTTTTTCGTTCCCACTTTTATAAATTCCCCTTGTCGGGTTGGTTAAAGAAAACCGTTCGATTTACTAATAGTTTCTACATCGCACATTTTTACTCGTGTCTATAAAAAAAAAAAATTACATCCCTTCTTCCCGCTCTCTTTTTATTGGACTGGACCCTTCTCTGATATTACAACATGCATGCATACTATCATTTGCCTACGGCGCTAATTTAATTTATACACAAATTATACATAATAATATTATATATAAATTATAAATTGTAATATAATAAAAACCGCAACCCTACACTAATGTTCTCTCTTATGTATAAAATCGTAAACCACTATATTTTATGACCGTATAATATAACAATCAGTGGCGTGGCGGACTATTTAACTTTTTTTCGTTTTCCTATAATACCCGAAGCCCTTATATTTTATACCAACCAAAATACTAATTTCTTTTTCCTCATTTGTCACGTATATTAATAAGTTTATTGTTTGAATAAATCCAAATTGTATTTATCTAATTGGTTGTAATACGACAATTTATATTATAGTAACCTACTACAGTGTTATTACTACGTTGTTACAAATTATTATGTTATATCACAGTATTAGTTTTTTTTCATTCGCCTGCAAGTTGAGACCCACCCGTCTGACTCGCCCGACACCTGAAAACACCTTTGTTAAAATGGCCACTAATAAATATCACTATCGCCACGCCACTGATATACAGTGTAATATTTTAATAATAATATTAAAAATTAACGTGAGGCATCGGTATTATTTTCTAGTAGAAAATAAAACGATATTATACAATATTATCATTATATTATGGACATGAAATTATTTTAACGATACTATAAAATATTATCATTTATTCGTCTTCGGGTTCAGCGTCTTCGGCCGCGTGTTCCACTATCGCTTCGTCGGCGTTATTGGTCTTACTGGCGCTGTTATATCTAGGCCTCATAAGAGTTTTCGCTGACTCTATCCTCTGGCTCAGGATCTGCACAATTTTAGGACGCGATTAACGTATTACTGTATATAATATTACTGTCGAATTTTCCCCCAAAATGAGAGACTATTACAATTTATTGTGTCTGTTATGTGTACACGGTAGAGTAGAATCGCAGACATGCGCTTAATCTCTAGTTTTTAAACAACATCTTGTTTAGAAAACTAGATCGTTCTCACTCCTGTCTTTAATTAATTAATAATTTCCCATATTTGTCCCCTTTACCTTTTCCACTGTGTACCACAAATTATATGCTACTGAAAAATCGAATAAATTAACAAAATAAGTTAATTCTATACAATAATTACAAATGTGTTATGCTACAAATTGTATGTAAATATTAGTTCAGTTACGTAAGAAAATGAAACATTATCGCGGTGGAAAATCAGCTAGAAGAACATTCGACTCTAGTAACGGAGCTCTATTGCTCACGGGTGATTTATAAATATATACAGGTCTTGCATGTCCTAACTGTCCTGCATGACTTTACCTGTGCAAATTTTTAAACGAAAAATAAAAATTAAAAAACGTGATTCGCCGTGACTTCCCGTACCTATCACAGATAACCGTTGTCGCCCGGTAATTAAATTTCGTTTAAACAATACTTCATTACCCGCGACAACTAAATTAAATAATAATAATTATGATAACTATTTTTTTTTTTTTTTTTTTATCGTGGTCATAAAAGTATCCACGAATCAACAAAAATAATTCAATTTTTGTTCCGAAAATACCAAAAACCTAGTATCAGCCACCCGCATAATAGAGGCTGAATTTCGAAGTATGTGTTAAAGTTCATCTAAACCCGTTCTGCCATTTTTGAGTTACAAACATCCAAACGTTCGCATTTATAATAGTAGGATAATAATAGAACTAATGCATTAGGATAGTAGGCATTTTACAACTGCGAAAATCTTAAAGACGAAAGCTCGCGCATCGTCCATTCAATTACATATTACTAATATTAGACGCGTTCGGGCGACGCAGTTTTCGGTAAACATTAATTTCCATATCGTTAAAATGTCAAACGTTACCAATGGATAGCCTGCAGTAATCGAAGGCAGTATAACAATGTAATTTTTAATTGTTTGCTGATTCCGACAGCCTGATTGTCGAAAAGTGTATTGAGTTGTCGAACTAATAATTGCAGTAAACGATATTTCCAAAACTGTTTGTTTACTAAACTAGAATAACCGCGTTGCTCAAAATCGCATCGTCAAAACACGCCGAATACTTTTGTATTCAAACATTTTAACCCCTGTAAACATAAAATCGATATGGCTAACGCGCGTTCTTTGCTGCCGTCACAGAATCGAAGAAAAAAAAAGTTAATTTCAATGTGAACGCAATATTATAACGTCGTATTTTTACAATTCATTATTAAGCACTTCTAACACATACGCCGCACGCCCTAAATCGCTTCTTTCTTTCTCCGATTCCAATCGATCCTCCGAGAATTCTATTTATACGCCTATATATTTTATGAATTCTATAAAACTAAAAACAATTCAACCAATTCCGATTTGCGCTCGCGTCGTACTTCGCATCACGACGGGTATACTGCAGTTATCGAAATTCGATTATCTTAAGAGTTCGGTTAACTGGTTGACTGGATAATCAGTTGTTTTTTTTTTTTTTATCGCGTAACCCAAAGAACTTAGTCATCAACATAAAAATCCGGTCCCCCCTTCTATTATTATGAAAAGTAAATGAATTAAAAAAAAAAAAAAAAAAATGACCTGTCTAACGCACCGGACTATATTAGATCCAAAATGTTTTCTACCGAGAAATCGACTATATGAAATTTTTGACGATTGGAGAAAGCAATCGGTCTCCGGCGGTTCGAGAAGATGCAGTTTACTGCAGACTACAGAAAAAAACACGCGTCACAGTGAAACCAATACGTTTCTCGCATCGCTCAGAATCTATAAAAAAAAAAAAAAATAAATAACTACTAATAATAACCAAAAGTATATATCGTTACAGTTAGAGCCCATCATAATAATGTATAATACAGTAGTGTCGTGTTTACAGCCGTTTTGATGAATAAGGGTCAAACTAAATAATACCGTATATCCATTTCAACATTTCAATGTAATTAATTAAGTTTCCATGACTATCGCCGAACGTATATTTACAGTCGAAATTATTGCACCACGTGTACCACCTATGATATTATTACGCTTGTCAGTTGTCAATTAATACTCCTATATCATCACGGTTAAAAGGGAATTACGAAAATATAAAATGTAAATTCGCAAAAGGCGTGTCATTAAAATGTGCATATTATATTTAAAAAAAAAAAATAATAATAATAATAATAAAAAATTGTATACAATTCAAAACGGTATCCCCGTCGTCTCGCATAAACACATTAAACCGTACGTTGTGCGTCACGTATAGGTATAATGCGTTATGAAGACGATTTCCCTATAGGGACTCAAATGTTGCGCGTGTAATCGACGACGATTGAAAACGTATAATTATTATAAAGCGGTGTTCAATCCAACGGAACAAGAATAATACGAGAATGCTTAACCTATACGTTTCGTTTTGAACCAAATATTATATTATATGATAACGGATTAGTACAGCTAGTAGGTATAGACGGCGGCGTACAATATCGTTATCATTATTATTATTATTATTATTATTGTTATTAGATATCTTGGTCGATGTCCAAATAATACAATCGAAAATACGTATTCGACATTTCAAAAGCTGCAAGGCGATAAACATCTCGGATACTATTATATTGTGTTTTATTTCGCACCTACATTACGATAATACTGATTGACGCCTCTGTGTGTGTGTGTGTGTGTGTGTATATAATATTATAATGCGAATGTTAAATTAATATATTTTCCGTTCGCGGCCGTACCTACACTGTCGGGACATCGGAGTTAATATCATTTATAATGTTATCGCTTTGAAAAAAGTACAAAAAAATAACATGTGTCGGGTCAGTTGCTAAAAGGCCTCGACGTATTGTGACAGCCTTTAAGGGGTAAAAAACCTGACCCCGTTTTTTTTTTTGTTTTACTATAATCGACGCTCCTTTTCTAACTCGTTTTGTCTCAATAGTATTACTACGATGTGTTCTTTTCTCGGTGAAAATGCTTGAAAACATCCACATCGTAACGTAAAAAAAGTGGGTGGTATACATTTTAATATTTCAAACGTTTTTTCCTAGATTCTAAAAAAAAAAAAAATTATTTTGAAAATAATACCCAGAAATATAACGTGAATTTTCAGCCTATAGGCGAACGATAAACGGTTGTCCGAAAACTAATTTTCAAACTTTGATTTCTACTACTCGCACTTAAATTGTTTATTTTTTCCTCGTCTCCTTGGGTAAAAAATTCGACATATCTATTGCGACACACGTCGCCCGGACCTCTTGTATTTTATTATTTGAGAAACTAGGTAAACTAAAAAAAAAAACCCCAAATAACTTTATGACGATTATTGCAGATATTGACCTGTTGACGTCTCTGATCAGCCTCTGCTAATTTCTCCAACAACATCTCGTGGGTCAGCGGCGGCGACTGCGGTCCCTCCTGCATCATTCTCAGTCTCTTTGGCGGGTGTTTCTTTACGAGACTTTCTTCGTCCTCGGTCAACGGCACGCTAAACGCAATAGCTGCACACAAACAATATTTTTAATAATATAATAATAACATGGTGTTATGTAGGTGCGTGATGAATTTCAATAGATATGTGTGTTTAAATTATTTTTGAAAGACCATCTTGGTCTGTCTGTTTTTCCATAAATTAGAGTGTAATCGTGCGTCACAAAATCAAATACTGTCAATGTAGTAAAATAATATTATATTATATAATACGAATAAAATAACTGGATTCTAACGTGACGGTCTGTCCATTTTCATATCACCCGGTTCCTCGTTCGGCATGGGCGGCATTGGCATCGTCGAACCTCCACAACCCATCGTGTAAAATTTGTTTTTCTTCAACAAATTCAAATGAATTATAAAAATTATAATTTACTGATCGAGTGTCCGATACTATAGGGAATTTACAGCAGTGTATATTATATTATAGTGTAGTTTTTATAATACGCGGACGACGACGACGACGACGACGGCGACGCGACGAATGATGGGAAAAAAACCGTCCGCGGAAATTGCACTTTACAAATTGCACGGTTTACATAATCGAGTTCGGTGGTTTTTGGACGATCAACTAACCGCGAGTGGGTCTAAGTGTCTGAATATAAAGCGACGATCACGTGTCGGGAAGGGAAGTCGAGACAGGCGCGTAGGCGTTCGTACCCTTGCCCGGCCGAGGTTATGGCCAAAAAACCGCGCGCCCTCTGCGATGAATGACACGCTGTCTTTTTGTACGGGGTTTTTTTTTTTTTTTTACATTAACCTTAAAATACTGTATTATATACCTACCTATCAATGCGATTTCGACGACACCTAACAAGGACGCATGCGAGTACATCCACCCGATACAATTTATTATATTATAAGTACACGTGATATTACTGAGAATTCAATGACTGAAAAAAACGACCAGTCCAATGATCCTTACACCCCGAAAAATAATGATTAAAGGGCAGTACCCTTTCTACGTATCCTTCGCGATGAGTCGTAAAATGTCGTCTTTAAAAAAAAAATAATAATAAAACCCGACATTTATAATATTCACAACGACTGTACATTTTAGATTCTGAGCGAAGTGAGGGATGTGTTGGTTTAACAATTATGTTTATTTTTTTTAATCTGTAAACAGTTTTTCTACTAGAAATCTTGCTACGATTTCCAAGTGTAGTATCTTTTCTGAAAGAAAATTTTATCTGGGTGATACCTAAAGGAAGTTTTTTTTTGATTTTCCAAAAAGTTTTCATAATAATTGACAAAACTGGAAAATATAGGAACATTTACGAAATGTATTGTTATTTTTAATTTTGTTTTAATTTATGAGCGAAGCGAGGAATGTATTGGTTTTAAAATGACGTTTATTTTGTTATTATTTTTTTTTTATGTGAATACTTTTTCTACCAGAAAGCTTACTCCGATTATTAAATAATTGCACCTTTGCTAAAAGGAAATTTTCTCTGGGTGGTACATTAGAGAAATCATTTTTTGAAATTCTCATTAATATTCGAGATAATGAGGAAAACCTGATTCTTTAGGTTAAAAAAAGATTGAAATATTAAAAAACAGTTGTTATTGGCAACCATTTTTATATATTTTTTGTTAATACTAAGTTTTTTTATTATTTTATAATCTTTTTTAAACAATTATTGTTGTCATGGAAACGCACATTGTTGTAATCATTTTACCATAATATGACATTACAGATATACATTAAATTCTCGTCTATATCCTACCTTTCCAACTGCCCACTTACAACAGTGGTTGTCATCATGAAGATGTCAGTATTTTTACATTTTATTTATTATATTAAAGTGTGTCAATAATCTGAAACTATCAAAAAGGTAAAAATATTATGCACGAGAATTTTGTTTAGTTAGAATATCGCATAGTTCGTGTGTACACTATTATTGTTAAAATAAACGTATGGCCCTGTTAAAAATACCTATCTACTCTTTTTATTGCATTACTACCTTTTAACAAGAAACTAATCGATTTCAATTCTATAGATTCGTTAAAAACTCAGTAACTCCTATATTATTATTACGTCTATGTGCGTCACGAGAGACGGTCAAAAAAAATACCAACACACTTTTCAGACGTTTAGTCCACGATCATTATCAACACTATATACGCATTCACTAATTCATTCACCGGCCATTCGATATTTCTGCATACTGTGCAGCGTATTGCAGTTTTAATAAAACATACAAATACTGTCGTGTCCAGTTTTACTTCTTTATAGGGGCATGACTGTACATAGATTCAATTAGAACCCAGGACACGGGTCAGCGACCCAAAATGTAGCATGAACAAGAAATTGTAGCCCCCTCCCTCCCACTCATTCAATTTTAAATAAATATAACCACCACTGTCATCAATATTACATGCGTTCGATGTAGTTACTTTTTTTTTTCGAAGCACGTTTTAACAAAAAATGTCATTTGTAAGTTTATTCAATCGTCTTAAATAATTAACAATCGCGGGTTTTCCTGACGAGGTTGCGGTCGCCACCGGTTTCGTGCGCGGCCGCTGTCTTCGGGTTCGCGTTTGCGGGAGGGAACGTCGGAAACGGCGTTGGGGGACACGACGTCTTGGGAAAAAAAAAAAAAAAAAAAAAAACCGAATCCTTTTTTTCTCCATTAATCTCTCGCTTTCTTCCAGCCGCCGTCGTGCCGTGATGTATTGCTGTGCGCGCACACGACTCTTTCCGTTTCTTTCCGGCACACGACTCCGACGACGACGACGTAGTGTAACCTCTACACACACACACACATACACACACACACACACACACACACACACACAGTAATAATATATTATTTTATTTTATATTTTATATTTATAGGTTAGGTTTTATATACACATTAAAGCAACGCCTGTAAGGTTAAATAATATTATAGACACGCCGCGCGTATCCCGAGCCAGATACCTAACTGTACCTATCCGCAAAACGGCACTTTTGACGGCGGCTCGTTGCCGCGTTCGTATTTTAACCGCACGCGCCCGTTTGAATTTTATCTGCTCGTCGGGCGGCATCGACGTAGTCCCTCTACAAACAGCGACGTGCGTAAGGGGAGGTGAGATAAAGAAAATCGTCCTCTTAAAAATACAACTTCTATGAGTATTTATACAATACCTAATTTTATTTTGAAATTCCAGCAAGTAACAAGCAAAAGCTTTAGTTATTAATTAAGAATTTTTTTTTTTTTTTTTTTTTTTTTAATTCGCATAGTCGGCATAACAAAAGAAGATTATTCTATTTATTTGTGAACCGTGATTATTATTTACTACGTCCTCTCCCACTGAAAATTAATATGGGAGAGGACGAACCACCATGAAATCGCCAGTGATAACGAATATACCTATTCAATTTATCAAACCAAGCGGAGCAATTGATTCTTTGACATTTGATCTATCTGTCTATTCATCTGTTATGAAATTACGACGCTTAACGCATATTTTGATTTTCTTCAAATTAATGTTCCTTGAAGGTAATGAGCGTGTAAAGATTTTTAATTTTCGGAGTCTTTCAGAATATCTATGTTCCGCTCTTAAAACAAATAATTTTGAGTCTGTAGCACTATCTGCTAATGATTTAAATACACGAAAACATACTCTCCACATTAATTAAACGTTGACGCAATGGCATTCGAATACAACTATAAAATATTCCGTTTTCAAGACCGAATGAATGGGTGTACGGGGGAAGAGAGTTTGACCGTCCTCAAATTTTGAAATTAAGACTACTATATGATAACGATCGGAAACCTTTTAAAAAATACAATATTTAAATTATTAAGTAGATCACTTTAAAATGTATTTTACTTCGTGATTAATTTTCCATATTAATAATTATTGCTATTCGTATTATATCAACCAGTTATCTGTGACATTTGAATGAATGGTCTTTATAATAATAATAATAATAATAAAACACTTTGTTCAAACTGTGTACTTGCGAAAATTCAAAATTAGAGTTATTGTCCAATCGCGGTCATTTATTCAGTGAATCGATTATAAATCTCGAATTATCGAACGATAAGTGCCAATAGTTTACTTATTTATTTTACGGGCGAAAGCCCAATTAAAATATATTTTGTTTTGAACTTAATTTTAGCCAAGTATCTTTTTACAGAAACCATCGGATGATTGAAAGGGTTCACAGTGGCGAGAAATACAATTTTAAACGGATAACAATTTATTTGTTTGTATTTCAATATTAAATGTGTTTTTATTAAACGTTTAAGGCTTTTAAAGGATAATAATGTATTTAATATAGAGTTGACTTACAATAGGTATTAGTTTGATCAGTTATCATTATTATCAAAACACTACTTCATCCGAAAATAAATTTGTAGAAGTCTGGAAGTCATTATTATCACTGAGCTCGAAAAATGACAGAATATCGTCGTCTGGATGTTGTTGGTTTTTTATTATTATTATTCTTAAGCTGGAAATACGAGTATGTGGATCGGAAGATGCAATTCATAAAATAATCAGATCCCCATACTGTACAACTATGTTAATTTTACGTGTATGGTACTCCCTTATATTATTGAAGTCCTTATTCCAGGCCTATTGCGCCTCCACTGATATTTAGCCTGCAATTAATATATTTGTATAGATTATATTTTTAGTATTATTATTACCTAATATTGATATTTTATTAAGTATATGCACAGTGAGTTACACCTTTCAGTGAAACAATATACAATCCATCTAATAGGTAAAAGGGTAAAACGTATGACGTCTACTCTATAAATTAAAATGTTGTGTACTTTAACTAGCATATAATACCACGGGTATAATGACAAAAAGTTCTGCTGCACGTAATTTACGAGTATAGTTTTCGAAAATTGTATTAATTGCCCGACCAGCAACCACTAGACGTTGTCCTTAAAATTACTCCAAATATTTGGATTAGCTGCACGTTTAATCCAACTGTATCAACAGTTTTTTCAGTGTTTCTTATTAGAAGTTAATTAGTCGTAAATAACGTAAAGGTCACAAGTCGATGCAAATGGCGATCATATATTTGAAAAGTTGACAAGCTGTGCAACAACGAATATTAATTCAATATCGATCATTTTAGATCATTTGGGATCGGCTGTCATAGTTGAACAGTAAATAATAAGGATCTCCTAACATATACATTGTACGTTATACAATTCTCATTTATTATCTGTTTAGTATTTATAAATAAAATTTGAACAAACACATACCTTCCTCATTTAAATTTAAAGCCACGGTCACGCGATGATAGTTAACCGTGAAAGTTGCTATCATAAGAGTTGTACTATACTATCATACTATTATGATAGATATTATCATTATATCATGCATGAATGATAATTTTTAGTTTTATCGCAATAATGATAGGTAGAACCGTAAATAGGGGGTGCGAAAGGTTTCACAAGCATGCCAATGAAAATGTTTTAAGTTCTGTAATTGGTTATTTTTACAATAAACGTATATAAATGAACGCCCAATGAAAGAGTTTAGCTTTTTTTCTTTTTTTTTTGCGTCGGTAAATTTGTCTGGGTGCCGATTTTGTTAGGCGTGGAACTGAGTGTGAACAACAATGTTTGTAATCTTTACTAACACGAATGATAGTGATGAGCAGTGGTGGCGTGAAATTTTTTTTCAATGGGGCAGTTTCAGTAAAATTGCAAAAACCTCGTACAGCTAAAGTCCAGAAGAATCAAGAGTTGTAACTGAGGTTATATGTTGATGAATACTATATGTTCCTGTACTTTATCGTTTTCGTTAATGCAGCTTGTAAGTTATGATAAATTGCCACACATACACATAATTCATTCATGGAGCAGCTGCTTTATAAGATACCCGTTCACCCCGCCACTGGTAATGAGCGTTAAATCGTTTGATTTCGAATGTTTTACCATAGATAATGGATTGTAAATGAATACAAGCGACAAGCTACTACCAATTCAAAGTTTCCCCGTGTGAACGACGATATGATACCTGACAGTGAAAGTAAACTATCATATTAAGCTATCGCGAGGACAACTATCACGCTTAACTGTCGTCGTGTGACCGCGGCTTAAACACAGTGCGGTTAATTTTAAGTTAGCGCCTGAAACGTGAGCAACAGAGAAATAAAGAGTTTTTTACCCGCTAACAATACGTACTGTAGTAGGTTCGACCTATAATAATTACAGTAATCGCGTTTTAACATGGTTATCGCTAAATTTAGGTAACACCAGGAGGCTATAATTATAAATTTTAGGTAATGTACTCCCATAGTGTATGCCGTATGGATTTAATACCATGTGCTAAATATTTTATTTTTCCATTTTGTCCGCCCGAAGTAGCATTTCCGGCACGGTGTGCTTAATCGCCGCCCCGCGTAACACCTTATGGCGTTTCCTCCGCGTCGAACGGAACCCACGAAAATAGTAACGCAATATTCGTATTCCGCGTGGTCGCCCGCAGGGACACGCGCTCGCGCAACATTGTCATTCCGCGACCGTTATCGCCCACGTTGGTTTATTTTTAATCGAAATAGGTATTTACAGGGCAGCTACGGTTGAATGTAATAATATCAGAGTACAACTACTCGTATATTACGTACCTACAAGTTAGTTAATTCGTTCAAATATATAGTCCGCTGTTGTATCTGCAAAACAAACATCGCAATAATTAGACGAGAGCAAGTGAGGTACTTACACACCATTTCCATACCGCTCGTTCGAATGACACGTGAACGCAAATCGTTTCGTAAACCGTACGAAAAGAAAAAAAAATACCACGGTCTGCGCAGTTTACAAAAAAAAAAAAAAAATCGATCAGAAGTTTTAAATTTCTTCGCATTAGCTGGTAAGCTAATAATATTATAAGCACGGCGAAACGGAGGACTGTTTAATTCCTTTTAACGCCGTCGAATCGTTATAATATTTAGACTACATCTGCCCGAACACTTATACATACATATTATTATTATTGTTATTATTATTATTATTTGTCGATAGAAAACAGAAATCAGATATTTTATAATGATAATTATTATTATTATTATTATTATTTTATTTTTTTTTTTAAGAGGACGGGCCACACCAATAGATTTATCTTTGTTTCTCTGGCACTACGTGTGACGTGGCAAAAATAAAAAGAAATTTAAAAATTGAAGTTCACGCAGATCGGTCGTTACTGATTGAGAAGTGATTTAAGAACTAAAACATCCATTATAAAAAAAAAAATAATAAGTAACGGACGGCGAAAGAGATCGAGTCCATCTCGCCGGTTATAATAAACATATATATATAGGTGCGTTATACGCATTATATTGTTTTTTTTTTTTATTTTTACAGTCGCAGTTATTATATTATTATCACACCTCAAAAACGTATTGTTTCTATTTCTTCACACCACGCCGGTATTACTGCAGATTTTCGAACACGTACGATGAAAATTCTGATTACATAGGTACTGATACATAAATATAAATCGACAATTTGTTAGTAAGTATACTTGCTTACGAATTTATTGCCCGTCTCATTGGATTAGCCGCAAACAACACACACGTCGTTAATAAATTATAAGATGACGTACAAATGCGACTTAACGAGTGGTCCCTCGCTGCAGTCATTCGCCGAGAATATAAATTTGATGTAAACCATTGCCATCGTTGCTTCAACGCTTTTGAAAGCTGACGCGAACTCGGCCGACCGCCGTATATATTCTACGTACCATTTCTATTGATATGATATCAGCACAAAATTGGAAATAAAAAAAACATGTCCGATGGGAAAAAAATTAAATGCCAAAGCGGCACTTTGAGTCCCGAACCTCTATACCACTATGTAACAAAAGCATCTGGTTGAAACGGTTCGTGTATGATTTTCACCGTCCATACAAACCAAAGCGTGTTCGTACAACAGGTACCTATAAAATTTATAGGTGTTTTTTTTAGCCGCAACATTATTTTATTTTATTCTCGATCTCTGGCGTGTGATTTATGAGTTTATAATAACGTATATGACTAATCGACGTGAATTTGTTTTTGCCGTGTCACACGCGCGAGAGAATAAGATTAAAATAATAATAATAATAATAATTGTAAACCCGATGAGGTGTCCTCGTATCAGATTGACTGTCCGATTCTTTTCATACGAGTGCATGACAACATTACATTATTATCACAATAAACAAACGTATTACATAATAATTTGTTCACAATAGTTGCATAGTTAGTACCTAGGTACCTACACAAATAGTGGCCGCGAGACAATTTATTATGCCGTAGTAGAGATAGTTTTAATTTTATAACCGTATAAAATATAATATTGGACTTCCATCTAAACGTATAATAAGTACTTAAATATAATTATATCGCATTTCTATTTTTTAATAACATAATGTAATAAATTGTAATAGCATCACTACTGTACACTGCAGTAGGATTATTTAACGAACGTAAATACTTTTTTTCATTAAATATTAAGTTTTTTTTTTTTTTTGTAATAAATACTAAAGCTCTACACTATAATTTTTATATTTTATTTTATAACTACAGCTGAAAATTTAAAAAAAAATGATTTCTTTTGTTATTATAATCCACGATGGCCGTTTTATAAATAAAAATGTTTAAAAAATTATTAGTGTTTAAAACTATAAATTGTATTACGTCATTCATTTTTGAACAATTTTTAAAATTTGTAATTTTACTATCGATAAATGATAACTGCTTATCAGACTGATAGCTTAGAGTAATATAATAAAAACACTATCAAATTGTACAATATTTCATGGAAAAGTCTATTTAACTATTTGAAAATTTAAACATTCAACACCTATGAAATTTCTCAAAACTTTAAAAATCGTTTAAAAATGATTGATTCAAACTATCAGTTTGAAACTAAAAGTTTTTGACACTAACATTTTTTTTCAAAATCGGATTTATAAAATAGCTGTCTCGATTTTTTTTTTTTTTTTTCAAATTCAAGATACAATTTTACATTTTTTATTTCGAATTCTTAAATACTAAAATTTAACTAAAAAAAATTAATCAGTCCTGTAACACGCTGTATACACATTGCAATCCGCGTCGGGGGGGTTAAGTGTACCGTCTAATAATTTATACACCGCATGCTATAAACAAGTGAAAAGTTATTGGTGTAATCACTCGGATCGTCTTGTCGGACTGCGGAATGACTGCGCAAACACGGGCCTTAAATTACCTACCTATATTTACTATCACTATCGAAACGATCTTGTCGAACTCGGCCGAAAACGGTAGTTTTGAATGCTTCGATGGTACGTATAGGTACGTAATAATATATGTATACAATTTGTAGATATTATAATATATTATGCGGCTAATTGGCGGCGCTTTAACGACAACCACCGGCATCGTCGGGCGGATAAGTCTGACCCGCACCGGATCCGCGTATCATTGTACGGATGTATAGGTTCGAGTCCAACCTACACACCCATTGTGCAGATATATAGGTTAGAGTCCAACCTATATCCCGAGTGTAACACTCCGGACATTTGATCGGCCTAACCGTTAGACGAATCGAACGTCGACCGTTCCTGAACTGTCACGAAAGTATACGGTATACGAACATTATAATATGGGTCACGGGGTTGTGCGAAAGCCCCGATGCACACCGCGTACGCACTATATGCATACATATTATATAGACGTATAGAATCGATACATCATCGGTTCATATTATATTTCATAGCACAGAATGGACACTTATAAGAGCCGTCTTTTCATTTTTTTTTATTTTTTTTTCCTGAATTCATTTTCCACCTCGAATATACACACGAGCTTTTTTCCGAGACACACCATGAATAGTGCGCGGCAAATAATAATAGGTGCCGGGTGACACCATTGTATATGCAACATTATTTTTTTTTGTGATTGTGTGCGTTTAACGCGGTGAAGAGCCGACGACTGAAAAGTATACCTACCTATATAATATCTTTTTTAACGTTCCGGGTCGTTAAACTACATTTAAGCATATATTATAACCCCGACGTATTTCGATCGTTTATTTTTCTGACTTTAAATATATTTATATACATTCTTTTATTAGGTAGATAATTAGGCACTCGTTCGCATATATTTATACACAATGTATGAAACGATTTTTTATTTTATGAAATTTCCACCGATTTTCTCTCTTCGTAGGTACACATACCAGCAGACGGTATTGGTGCAGATGTTACTGTTGTTCCGTTAACATATCGCGCACTCCGTCCGACGAAATCTGTCAAAATAAATATTTAAATATAGTATAAGGTATAGTATTTTATACTGCGTTTTATCGAACCGAAAATATTTAAAAATCAAATAATTTCCAATCTTTGGTCCCGGGAAAGAAGGGCTTAAATTAACTATCGACGATTTTTTTTTTTTTTTTTATATATATTATTATGATTTTGTTTTATATAATTTTCAGAATCTGACTTCTGAAAGAAGAGCAAAAAAAAATATTTGTTTTACTATAATGTGTGGGGTTTTGTATTTTATATTATTTGCGTACAACTTTATCTACCAGAAATCTTGCTGCGATTAAAAAAAAAACGAGAGCTTTTTCGTAGCATTTTCAATGTAGTTGGTGTATTGAGAATATGTTATTTTATGTTTTCCCAAGTACATTTCATAATAATTGGGAAAACCCAGAAAAAAAATAAAAATAAAACGAACAAATTTAAAGCAAAACAAATTTCATTATTTCCGATTTTGATTTTTTTTTTTTAATGAAATTTAGTTAAAAATTACACATCTATAGACGTTTGACATTCACGAGTTTTTTCAGTTTTTATTTGATTTTATGTCGATGTAATTGTTTGGCCCGACAAAAAAACTTGAAAATCTAACTAGAGATTCATTACAAGTTGTACTAGTGGACAAAAAAAGTTAAGCTTAATGCAGTAATTTTTTTACGCGTTTTAAGTTTTGACATACAATCATACAAATTACAGCATTTCAAAACATGTTTAACCGAACTTGGCTCAGAATTGTATTTAATCAGCAATCAACAATCGTTTCATATACAGATAAAAATATTATAAAACTTAACGTAGAAATCCCACGTTCCCGAATACCCACCTATAACAGTGACAGCACTCGTCTCCAGTATCGGCTCTTTTTTGTGTCTAAATGTCATAAGTATACGTATATTCGTAATACTCATTGACTCAACTTATTGAAAAGTGAATTATCGCAAGTCATTATGATGTACTTTTCGTGTGGCAGAAAAGCAAATGCCATTATAAGACTAAAGCCGTTTAGAACGCCATGTTTTCGTTAGATCGTTTAGCAATAATGTGTAATTATGGTATTTAGCAGTATTATGCAATTATGTCGTTTAGCAATTTTTAAAATTTATCATGATCGTATTGAAATCTATACAAAATTAACTTAAGCCCTTCTTCCCTGGGATCAAATATATAACTCGTAGCGTTAAATGAATGTTAATTGATTAACTAATAAAAACAAACTATATAATTATATATATATTTTTATAGTTTTACAAATTCGGTGTTTAATATACCTACTTAATTGTCTAACGAATAATTGGAAATCAGTTCCAATTATATTTCAATAATTCCGCATAGTTTATAGAACAGTTCTAATAAAACGTTACTATACACATTACTAATATCAAATGGTATTAAATGTTTAGCAGTCATATACTATAGCGAGGTAAAATACTACATGAAAATAAAAAAAAAACCGAATAAATATAAAAAAAAAAAAAAAAATAAAAAAAAAAAAAAAAAAAACCATTTAGGAGGATATTGATGATGACTGGTCAAGTGTAAGAGTGCAGGCGGGTAAGTACCTTAAACTAACGCGCGTACAATGACTGTTAGAAATCGAGAATTATTATTATGAAATGACTATAGGTTGTTGCGATGAAGACGCGTGTTTATACTCATTATTATTTCAGTAGAACGGTCTAATTAATCACAAATGAAATCCCGTTATATATATTTCAGCGTGAAATCATGGCCTTTGACGCAAAAAAAAAAAAAACAACGACAAAAAAATCAACTCATCGTACACATACATAATATACTTACACGAATATGATAATGCAATATACCTAACTATATCTTTCAGATTTGTTTTATTAAATGTAACTAATATATTATGTCGAACGCGTAGGTGCGTGTACGAAATTATTAATCATATCAGGTAGGTACCTCAGCAGTGGCGTGTAGAACATTTTTTTTCGCGCGAGGCCCCGGAACTTTCTATACTTACCACCGCCGTAGCTACCATCCCTCTAATGAACAAATCGGTAATCAATCGTTATTGCTCATTAATTTATCGCACTACGATTCTACAGTCTTATACCTCTAATCACCCGGACTCGCCCGCACTCACGAGTCCAATGGCGTTGAGAATGAATTATTCATACGGCTAATAGGTCCAATAGGTGTCAACGGTTGATATTTGACGAGTGGGCGTAAGAAGAGCGTCAACAATAAGTATTTGATATTTGGTAATAACGGTTATATCAACACGTGGATTAATACTATTTAGTCAAATAAAAATATTATGTTCATAAATGTATAGACGTTTTTCCGCGAGAGAACTATGAGCCGTAGATCACCATTATTAACAATTGAATTCAAATAATTCAAATGTCAAATGTATAAAAATATTATTAAATAATGTTAAAAATTATGCTGGAGAGTATTTCTAATTTAAGACCGTAAGTTTACGAAATATAGGTATACCTACTTAAGTACTTAATTGTACCTAAAATTGACTTAAAGATATTTTGCATGCTGCAATGAAAAAGACCGTATTTTTTATTTTTTTATTTTTTTTGATATCGCCCACGAAAAAGGTCCATATCATTAATTATTCAAAGATAATAGATTAGAAGTTCGAAAAAAATGAGATACGCAGACAATTTTTCCAAATAGATAACAATAAATAAATATAAAGGGGATATTTCATAAAACTTTGATGGGATGGGTGCTAAAATATATGTTATTCATAAATGTTTGCCATTCTACTGTTCACGATCGACCATCATTGGTCGTTGATCATTCAAACTTACCATGAATCGAGCAGCACAACGACTGTGTTCAATACTTTTTTTCAACAATGCCGTATACCCGTCGGAACAGTTGGGAATCTTGCTCAGCAATAGTCTAAACTGAACCCGATGAGCGAACGAATCGCCCAAGGCTGGGAAAATTTCCGTACCATTTTCATTAACCACTGTAGTCAGGTCATTCGTCAGGACTACCTATATAAAATCACATATGTTTGTTAAAAACGAAATGCACTAAAGACAACAAATTACAAGTTTCTATATTTAATTTTCACCTATCTACCTGTACTATAGTGAATCCGTATTTAATTTTCGATTATGATGTATTCGATACCGATATTCGATTATTCTTTTAGATTCTGAGTGAACTATTACAATTTTATTAAATGTGGTTTTTTTTTTTTTGAAAACACTTTTAGGGTTAGCAAAAGTGCTCCGATTTTTTCACGCAGTAACACAAAAAATGCGGAATTTCCGCTTGGCGGTACTTACTTTTTTTGAAACATCTTTCTAGATTACCAACAGTTTTTTAATAAAATTTAACATACTGACAATAAATTCCGAAATATCAGTTTTATTTTTGTTGATTTATGCGGAGGAAAAATCTACTAATGAAAATCGTTTACTGACTGCATTGATTTATTATATACAAATTAAATTACTAAGTTACTCTATATCCTATACTTTTTCAAAGCCACGCCTACTACAGTAACCCAACCTAACATACATTTTTGTGTAAATTGATTTTTCAGGTTTTACATGTAATTTTGTTCGACTATAAAATTAGTTTCAACTTTCAACGAGTTATATAAACTACAGATAAATGGAAAATTAACTGTTTGCTAAGCACATATAGGTAAAAATCGTTTCAAAATGAAATCTTTACAAATTCTTTCGAGTTCGACACGTCTATATAGGAACGAATTTAAACACAAGCACATTAACTAGTTAATCAGCTTTAAAATGTATTTATTAAAACACAAAATTACACCATGTGTGTTAATATAATATAGCACATTTAATTATGTACATAATATTATCCTGCTAAAACAATTTACCCAACAATATAGCTACCAATAACGAAATATGTACGCACGCCTATTAATATTTTAACCTGAAATAACAATTATATTAAAATGTTTTTTTTTATTTTTTTTTTTGATAAGTAAAATGTTTATTTTAAGCTATAAAATCTGTATCTAATAATTATATTATACATCAGGAAATTGTTTAGTGAATATCCGCTATGTGTCTACTCCGCCTTACTTTAAACAAACTTCTACAAACAGATGGACCGGGTCTTCCCCCTTAAATTTTGAACTTTCTTATGTTACCCCTCTCCTGTACATCAGTGAAAGTATTAAAATAAAACAAAACATTTTATTACAAAATCTACTAATTCAATAATTCACCATTTATTTTCTAGTGGACACACACTAAGCAAAAGTCATACTCAACTTGGTGTCCGATGAACTCAACTATACGTGTCCATTTGGACGTCATAGAAAACCTCCTTGAAAAATACCCTGTTATACATTTAATAAATAAATTTTAAAATAAATACTTACTGCCGACAAAGACGGGAAAAAAAAGAAATATTGTCACTAATATACTTACAGCCAAGTTATGTTTGTAGGCGATCGTTTGTAATAAATCAATGGCGTTGTGCACAAGTGTATTTTTTTTCAATGAATTTTCAATCGGATATAACGGCATAACAAAACTATCTACTACAATCAATTTAACCTGAAATCGACAAAATAAACTCTCAACACGATATCGATGTCATATAGAATAATGTGTATACACAACAAATGATCAGTTTTATTAATTTTATTATTATTATTACATTCGGATGACGTTCAAGAGTTGTATACAAAATGTGCAGCTGGTTTAGGTCGTTCATTTGAATCCGGTGTATTTTACTCAACATTTCGGCGGTGTTCAAACACTTGAGTGTTTCGTTATCGACTCCTTTGAAATCGTTAGACAACGATTTAGACACATGGCCGACGAAAGCGTTAATCATTTCTAGAAGAATTTAAAAAAAAAAAAAAAAATACGACCCATTTAATGTTTCTGTATAAATAATATTTAAATGAATATAATATGCATATTAACAAACAAAAATACATTAATAATAATAATAATTATATAATTTTAATACATAGTGGTAAAATTAAATAAATATTTAGACGACGCAAACTTAATATTTATACACTAAAAACTCTACACAAGTGTGAGAAATGATAATTTACCGATTGACAAAACACCGAAAATTTGATCGGTTACAGATACTTGAAAATGATTAAAATAACGACTTTTGCGAAATAAACATTATTATGGATTTAAAAAGTTAACCTACACACACTATTGATCGTATTGATACGATCATTTTTTTTTTTCAATTTTACGTATTTTTTTTTTTATTTGTTATTAGGAAAGATAAAAATAAGTGTTACGAAATGGTTATACAACGAAAAAACGGTTGATTTTGCTAATATTTCACCAAGTTTTTAGTTTTTAACGTTTATACATTTACTCAAAAGACTATAAATATAGAAAGTATACAACCAACTACCGAATTGTGTTTACTACCTGTATCGTATATTTATTCAAGTTGTAACTTATTATAACTGTATAACATTCGGAGTACAAGTGAAAATTTCTTATATTTTAAAACTTTATTTACATTAATGTTAATTAAATAAAATAAAATAATTTAAAAACTATTACCTCCGCCCTCCCTAGATCCGCCGCTGGTAAATTTACGAATTAAAAAATTAATTCCAGGAATCGTATAAAGTACTGTATCTATAATATGTACAGTAATTTTTTGTAATCAGTCGGGAGACAGCGTATTCATATATAATGTATTGATTATATATGAATATAAAAATGTATGACCTATTTATAAATACAAATTAATGTTAACGTTAATTTTTAATATTTTAAAATCATATGACTACGCTATACGCTTAGTAGATTTATACGTTTCGAGTGTTTTTTAATTGTGTTATTCAGTAATATGTCCTTAAATCGTTATTGATGACGATAAATCATACTTGACTCAGAACTCTGCGCACGTCTATGATTACAGAACGTAGTTAAATACCTTAAAATATGTAATAGTATGGCCGTTATAATAACTGATAACTAAATGTGTTTTTCTCAGAAAACGCTTTTTCGGTAAGGAACAGTTCTCTGATTTCTTCATGGTATATCTTAAAAAATGCGGTATTTTCAATTACGTGATAATCTACTTAGCTAAAAATTCATTTGATCATGTGACAATCTATTTGAACAATTTTTTTGAAATTCTTAATTATTTTTCTAAAAAAAAGATTTTTTAAACTTTATTTTATTTAACGATTGTTTCACGCCTTTTCGACTACCTACAACCGTGGTCTACTCGCGAACAATTCGATATATGTTGTTAATATGTTGTTATACTAAAAAATAACTAGAGGCAATTTAATGTTCTGTTACGGTAATATTTAAAATAATATTATGCTATATGAAAATAATTCACCTGTTATCCGATGCTCTGAAAAATTCGAATTAGTGTCCACGTAAATAGCTTCAGATTGTAGGCCTTCGAAGCACGTTGGTATTTGAACGGAAACACAAAGTTGCATACTGAAAATGCATTGGGCATAAAGTGTAAATATTAAAATCAGATCAACATATTGATTAGATATACAATCAACTACAAAACAGAAAAAGTACCATAGTTGGCTTTTCCCCGATCCCGGAGCTCCAGATAATTCCGTTATCCGTCCGAGTTGAACGCCTCCGTTTAAAATCTCATCGATAGCCTTACAAAACGTAGCTATACTGTCGCACTCTATATCCTGAGCAGTAAACGCCAAAATGAATACGTGTATTATTACTGTTAATTTCTTCTGCTACGCTTTTCTTGCGTTTTACGCGCTAAAGATACACGCACTGCAGTCATAGGTGTGTACATGTTTAATTTTTAAATTTTTTTTTTTAGAAAACACAAATGTTAGTTATTCACAATAAAATTGAACCCGTACATTTTAGCAATATACTATAAACAAAAGACGTCTAATAAATAATAATTAATGCATACGAAATAACGGTTGTTTTATATAGCGTATGGTACACGATAATAATAGACAAATAGACATAGATATTTTTAACTATTATTTAAACGATCGGAAAACCAATTAATTGAAAAAAAAGAAAAAACCAAGTATACAATATACTTACGAGTTCTGCGGCTGTCACGGGTTTGGGGGGCTTTAGCATATTGCGAATTTCCGATTCCGATTCCAAGTGGGTCCTCAAATATTTTGATTTTAGTTCGGGATCGTCTGCACGTATAAACAACATGACAATAATAATAATTTACTGTACATTGTTATATTTTTATAAGCGTTCGAAATCAAATACGAATTACATAAACCAGACAAATTACACGTTACCAAGCGAATCAACCAGATCTTCACAACATTTGATTCCGAGTTTATTCAGCTTGTTTTGCATGGACTTGCTCAAAGGCAACGTCCAAATAGGCCGGTTCATGGTTTACTATATTATACTAAAGAAAATAAATTAGGTTAATGAGTAATCAGGAAGGAACAAACATCGAAATTATATTACAAGTTCAATTGCGTATACGCTGTATCAAACACATATGCAATCTTAAAACATGCATTTGTAATTGACATGATGATGGACAAGTGAAGTTAAGTTCGCGATTACAAATAATATAAAAAATATGGGTCAAAGACGAATCCATTGGGTTTTTTTTTTTTAATTACTTTTCAATCTCCGGTGGTCGAAATTGCTCATATAAAACCCGACCTGTTAGTCCGTAGTCACCACAACAGTTTTACTATTCAAAAAGTTCACGATAAACTTTTGTTAAATATGATTAAAATTATTTTCGTTTTCGCTTGTAGTTTGGCGTTGATGCGCGATGCGGTTTATGGAAATCGTTATTACGGCAGCAGAAACACAACGTTCCATAAATATGGGTAAGTACATCGTTTTCGCGTGCCAGCAATATTATAATAGATTCGTAACTTTTATTTTTTAATTATTTATTATTATTATTTTTTTATTTTTTTTATTTTTTTTATTGGTTTTCAAACTGCAAAAATACATAAAAAAAAAAAATCATCGATTGACGTTGAATTTAAACGCCATACGATACAATAATAATTTGTACGTATTAACGACAAATTTAATTACGAGAAACGTATAAAATAATGATGTATGTAAAGAATAGAACGTTGCTATTATTTTTGTATTTGCTATACATATATTGTTAAAGTTCATAAACATTTTCATCCTTCATCTATTTTCAGCGCGTATGCATAACTTTTTTAAACAATACAACTACAGTTCATATTGTTTTTAAAAACATTTATTCTATTTATTTCGGTGTAGTAGGTCTAAATTTTTCGGGGAATAAAACCATATATTAGAAACAGACACGTATTTGGAACCTTATCTAGAAGATAATAATTTTTTTTACGAATAGTACAATTTAATCATAATTAACTATGATGAATTTTTTTTTTTTTATTTTTTTTTTTCTAACTGAAATTTTACTCTAATCATCAACTGAAGAGTGGTTTCCAGTAGTAAATTTCCCCGAACATAATTATGCAAAACAATTTCTAATGAAATCGATTAATTGTTTCATTATTATTGTAACTTAAATGAAAATAATCATAAATAATTGATATTTGTATTCAATTCATAATGATATAAGCATTTTCTATTGATAGTATATTTTTCAAAATATTCTGGCTTTATTTAAGTTATTTATTTTAAATACTTGACATTTTCGAGTTCTTAAAGTTTTTCTGGTTTTAGGCATATACATATTGTCAGATCTATAAAAACGCTCCAAAATTTAATACAATAAGGTTAATCATAAGCTGAATTTAGCGATCAAACAAATTTCAGCTTTGTGTCGTAATTATTACCACCATTTTATTTCTATGGTTTTCATTAAACTCCGTTCAGAATCGTTTTTCATTTGCAACGATAATTATAGGTTAAAATATGGCACGTGCTTTTGGGTGAAGTTATTGCCCCCATTTTCCTTCCCTTCAAATACTTGCCCAATTCGAAACTCCTTACAACAAATCTCATTCCAAACCTAAGAAAATACATTAGATGTCTATAATTCCTAAAATTTAAGAAATGGCAATAATGATTATAATATTGTTCGATAATACAAATCATTCAGATTCTACGAGTCGTGCGAAATATATTGAGAAATTTAAAAACAATGTTTGATTTTTCAGACCCAATGTATGCATGATCGAAGAAGTGATCTCTGATAACGGCGGCGGCTTGTCCGCATACAAATACCGAGGCTGGACGTTGCACAATCACCAGTCACAGACGTGCAGCCATAACACGTTAAGTTGTATTAAAGTCGTCGTCCCGGCGTTGATCCAAATCTAATTTTGTCTTTAGATTCTGAGTGGAGCGAAGAAGCTTATGATTTTACAATGATGTTCATTTATTTATTTTCCTGTGCACAACTTTTTTACCAGAAATTTTGCTCCGATTTACAATAGCACTATCATTATGACAGCACTTTTTTTTAAAGGAAATCGAACTGGAGAGGTACTTTAGGGAGGTCATCTTTTGATTTTCCCAGTTGCTTTCCCAATAAATAGGAAGAAACATGGTAAAACCCGGAAAAAACGGAAAAATAAGTTCAATATTAAACAAATAGTTTTAAAGAAAATGATCAATGCATTATGTGTTATATTTTACCAAAATATGACTTATATATCGTTGACAAAGCAACACTATCAACCGAACTCCACTCAGAATCGTTTTTTCATTAGCATTGGTAAATCGTTGCTTACAGACATATACATTGAATTCCCGTCTGTAGCCTACCTTCCCAGCTTCCTACCTACAACAGTAGCTGCGCCCGTCCCCATTATCTTAGGACAGCTTTTTTATTTTGTTTCCGTTTTTATGCCAGTAGAATCGTGAAGTACGAATGCTGCGAAGGATTCAAATCGACGTACGGGCATTCCGGGTGCACCGTAGGTAAGTGCATATATTATAAATCGAAGGTTATAAAATATGTTCGCTCCGACATTTTGAACCATCACATCGTAAAACCGTCGAAATTTCCCAGTGAAATCACCGAAGAACGTGTTGGAAACCGCCCGAGAACTTGGCGCGTGCGAGTTTGTCCGGTACATCCAACGGCACGGTCTGTACGATTTGTTAACCAGCGGCGGCCCGTATACAATATTTGTTCCCACGGACGAAGCTTTTGCCGTAATTATCGCGTTTGCCGACGAAACAATAAACACAATAATAAAATGCATAGTGAATTTTATTTGTTTTTCGTTGTTCTTAGAAAATGGACAGTAAGTTGAGATCGGCTTTGGAATCGTACGAATCGGCTACCGAAATACTTAAATACCACGTAGTACCTCGGAGGATTGTAACCCAAAACGTATCGGTGGACGAGATGCTAGACACGTTAAACGACGGACTCCAATTAAGGTTTAATAAGTACTCCACAAAAGTAAGCAGAATTTTAAGTACACTTTGGGTATATTTTAACACAATACTGCACTGCTCTTATCAACTGTATAATATGAATTAATTGAATTCAAAAGTCTTAAAATATGAACAGGAGTGGCGTGCTCACGGAGGGTGGATAAGGGTGTCATAACACCCCTCTCCCCATTGACCTTTTTTTCTTCTAATAGCTCATTTATGCATTAAGAATTGCCTATAATTATAAAAATGTTTATTGCGATATTTGGTGAAAATGTGTATAAAAATATGGCAATTGCTTCGGAAAAGATGCTGAATACAATGGTAAGAAAATTTAAAAGCGTTAATTTGGTCTTTGTCGTTTTATCGTTTAAATGTGAATAAATAAATTGATGCGTTTTACAAAACGATATATTATTATGTTTCATTATTTGAAACAGTGTGTGCCAAGTGCCAATTTCTACCTGAAAATGCCACTAATATGCAATTACTGAGCAGTGAGCACGTCACTGATACTGGAGATGCGATTAAATAAACATTATAATATTAAATTACAGATCGATACAGTAAATTGTGTCACTCTGACGCGAAAGAACAGTATCGCTCAAAACGGAATGGTACATTTAATAAACAATGTACTCAATCCGTACAGCTATTCGAAACAAAATTTAGTGCAAACCATAAACCAGGTTTGAACCGATAATTGAAATACAGTTATAGATATAAATATACTCGCCCGGCTAAGTCGATCCAACAAATTAATAATATATACTTTACATTGCATACAGAACAAAGAGTTATCAATATTTTCACAAATGCTCAAAGTTTCGCTTATGCATCAGAGTCTAAAAGAAACGTTTCAAACACTCACAGTGTTGGCTCCGACAGATACTACACTACGACTGCTCCCTCAAAAACAACTACACAGGATATTTTGCAACGAAACGCTTAGCAGAGGTACGCGTATAATTCAATAACATATTATAATATGTTTTGCCTTATTTGTAAGTCAAATTTATAACGCATATAATCGGTCATAGATACCATGCCTTTTCCATACAAATTAAACCAATTTTAATCTAATACAATTTTTTCTCCGAAAATAATGACTATTACACGGTATTGTGATATCCTGTAGTGTATATATATATATTATGTATTTTATTCCCGCCACTTTCATACAATTTCAGCGACTCCCTCTGAAATAATAGCTGAATGTCAATATGAATATCACCATATTATAGCTTTGTACACTTCTACAGGCCTTCAAATGAAACCAGGGAATGACATTTTTGTATGCATGATGTAAGTTCCCAGAATGACCTTTTGGAATGTTTCAAATTTCAACCCCCTCCCCAGCAAATTGTGTGCTCAAATTCCACGGGTTTGTAAGAAACACTTCCACAGACTAAAATTTAATAAAATACCGGCAAACATAACTATTTTAGATACTTTAAATCAGTGCCGCATAAAGCTGCCACCAATGGGTAAAATTAATTTTGACTACACAACAATTAGGTTATTATTATTTGCCAACCCCAACGCATTTGTCCTCCGTTAAACGCGGCTCTGAATTAAGTACCAACAATTTAAAAAAAAAATAATATATAATATGTACAGATTAAATTTTTAATTTTCTACTAGGGTTATAATATTACAAACTTTTCCTCGTTACGCTCTGCTTTGTTTTATTGGGTATTCCTGACGAATTGGGTTTTAGTAGGTTATGGTTTCATCCCTAAAATAAGGGTGACTAAAAAAAAACGGTGAAGTAACATTTTAAAGCTGCTCGTTTCATAAATTTATCTAAATATCCGAAATAATGAGTGCCTTCGAAGATTGATCTATTATATAGTATAGTCTATTTTGATTGATTTGAATAATTTACTTAAGAAAAAAAATACTATATAATATAAGTAGGGTATGTATTTTGTTCAAATCACAAGTGTATCTTGTTTAATAATCTTTTTTCAAATCCTTACAGAGTTTGTTTTAAAACATATAATACCGGCGTCAATTTGTTTGAACGCGGTTACCGAAGAACGCTACGTCAAAAGTTTGTCGAACAAGCATTACTTGAAGTTCGGTTGTGACGGGGCCGGTTCGGTAACGGTTCAAGGGAATTGTATCGGTAATAAATTAAAATTATCATCCAACGGATTGCTTTACTCGACAAATTTCGCATTGAGCACCCAAGAAGGTACAGCAATACTCGTAATATTAATATATTATAAAAGTTTTGAAATAAGCACCTAGATAAAACAAATATTTTAAACATCGCAGGAAAATCAGCTTTGCAGATAATGCAGCAGAACGCTGGCCTGAGCGAATTCGTTAAAATCGTAAACATTGCCGGTCTCACGCAAACGTTTGAAAACTTCAACGCTTTAACCATTTTTGCGCCGACCAACCAAGCTATCAGATGTAAGTCACACAGTAGCGTATTTAAGACTCTTCTAAGGAAAGAAATTGAATTCGGACAATTTTTAGATACCTAGGCTAAAAATAAAGATGCAATATTAATTTATATATTTTTGTAAGCAATTTTTAATTTGATATGCCCTATAGAATTATTATTGAAATCGAAATTCGAATAACTATATTATTTTTTTTTTTGTAGATACGCGTAGTTGTAAATAGTAATTGTTATAAGTTTGTTTAAGCGAATTATAGTTATTAGGTACTAAATTATCCTCCTTCGTATTACAGTAGTTAGATCGGTTCCGTTTTAAATAACAATAGGTTTTCGTACGGGTTCGTTTTTTTTTTTTTTAACACCCACTGAATACCAACAAAGTTTTGATTTTTCTGAATAAAAAGTAAATAAATTTAAATTTCAAAAAAAATAATAGTAATATAAATAATATATACTAAAAAATAGTCAATGTAAGAAATATATCTAATTTTCCTCCTTAAATACGAGATTTCTCTACACGAATTTTAAATATATTTTATAAATGGTCGACTAAAATTGGTAGAGGTTTTCTAACTGAACACATTTATATACAATATTGTTGTGTAACACTTTCTTCGAGGTATGGACCATATGGAACGGCATCGCATTCAATCCGACCTGGGTACCGCAAGGGCATTTGTAAATTTCCATGCGACAAGGGAAATCGTAACGGCCGAGAACATTTACGACGGTAAAACGGTCGAGAGTTTGGCTCACGGAAAACAACTGCGCCTTCAATGCGTCCAAAACGAATATGGAGTCGAAGGACGGCAGGTAGATTTACTGACTTCTCCGGTCGCCTACAACGGGGCCGTATACGAGATCGACAGCGTACTATACCCACCGACGATATCCATCGAAGACATTATCAGAAAAAACGACAGTTTCAGGTAAAAAGTTCTCTAAACGCCATGGGTCATCGAAACGCGCGGGAGATAGCCCTATATACAATTTTGGCCGCGAAAGGGCGAAACTTTTATATTGCACATTTCGTAGTTATTATAATCCATTTAGCGAAATAATACCCTCGGAATATCTTTCAAAAAGATAAAGACGGTATCGAGATCATAAAAATAGAATAATTGACACTTTGTATTGATGAAGAATTCTATTAATGTAGTAAATTTCACGAAAAGAACAAATGTTCTTGAAATAATATTTTGAATTGCCAAACGTAAACTATTAATTCGTATAATATATACTTATGAGCTTAAACTAAAAAAAATTACCAAAACACAAATTTCATTTCAATAGTGTATATTTACGTGAATCGAATTATGTATTTGGAAAGCATTTTACCATTGGTAACAAGACCAACACTCCAAGTAAATACTTTTCAGTTTATCTCTGTCCTCCGCTATCTTACGCGTTGTACTCCATATTCCACCGCTCCTAAACTAAGCTGACAACATAATCCTCCCATCTTAAGCGATGCGTATTTTTAGTGATCGATTTCCTGTTGTCTTCGATTACAGTCTCCGTTCTCTCCATAATGCAAGTCCGGACCATTTAATTATCATTTTAGACCATAACCTTAAATCACCCCCCCCCCTCCCTCTTTCATTGAAAACTAAACCCAAGTTATCATATTAATATATTTTTTATTTAACACAACCGCAGTTTATACGCTCAGGCGACGGACTTATTGACTCGGACGCTAAGGTTGGAAAGGTATCATCGGGGATGTCAAAACACATATTTCGTGCCGACGGACTACGCGTTTCAGAAACTGGGCACCGAGGAATTGGAACGAATACTCAATAGTCCGGCGCAGTTGCAAAATATTTTGAACAACCATCGGGCCGAACGTATTTTGCCGTCGACATTGGTCAATGACCGTTGGCAGTACGAAGTACAAACGAAAAACGGTATCGTCCGAATCGCCCACAGCAAAGACACCGATAAAATTACGGTACGCACGCAGTAAACACAGACCTCATTATTAACTACTCGATTCATAATTAAATTTGTGTTTCTAAACACTGTAGGTCAATAATGCCAAAATAATCGAAACGGACATAATGACGACAGACGGTCTAGTGTACATAGTCGACGATCTGATTTTGCTGTAAAAACCGGCGACAAAACAATTTATTAACGACAACAATTCGAAAATATTAATATTAATTTAGTTGACCATTACGTCATAAGCACTTATATTATTGTAGTTATGATTACGCACTGGAATTGTGGGATGCAGCATATTCAGTTCTGCGTTGGTTCCGCGATATTATGTCAACAATACAAATGTAAATTGTAAATGATAACGTTTTTGTTTTATTATTATTATTTGAAGTCTCGGTAAACGAAAAATGTATAAACAATGTTTTGAATACCTACAGGATAAGGAAGTGCATAATAGTAATATCTTAATAATGGAAAAATATACTTGAGTAGACGGTGTCAACTATAAGTTTTAAGACTCAGTGGCGTGATGAGAGAATTTAAAGTAGCCGTGGTCTCTGAGTTTTTTTTTCAATGGGTGATTAGGTTAGGTTAGGTTAGGTATTTACAATATATGATATTGTATGAATTGTAGATATACTTATACTTATACATAATCTATAATACTTAATGATTATCAAAGAAATTAAAATAAGCAATTCTGTACGGTTGTATGATATTCAATCGGTATAATTGTATGCGTAATATTTAAAGAATAATCTTGATGTTGCTGCATACACTTTTTTTAATAAACCTTGACACAAGACGTGCATATAGTCCAAAATTAAAAGTATATGATGATACGGAGAATGCAAAATTTACGGTTTCCAAGGCGCGACAAGGTTCGAGACAATTGAGTCGCTTAAATTATAATAGGTTGAGTTTGTAAAAGGTAATTTTTATTTGTATTAAGCATCAATGTTTTCAATTGTACTCAAACGTTATTTAGATTCGGAACGTAGCGGATTTATTTCTTTTAATATATAATCAGAAAGTCATTTTTTGATATCTGAAGTTGTTTTCATAAGAATTGGAAAAAACCAAAAAAGACAAAAAATACGATTTTTTTTTTCAAGTAGACAGTAGTTTTTGCACTAGAATTCCTTTATTTCAAATTTTTTGCTAGATTGTTGCCAGATTTTCATCAGGTTACCCAACCCAACTTAACCTAACAGTGGCTGCACCCGTCCCTAGTATCAGCTTATTTTTAAAATTATTATTAAAATCAAATGTATAATTTGTTAAAGTTTCGTAATATATGGTGACCTAGTGTTGTTTTTTGATTAGATTTTACTATTCGTATAATTTATAATACAATAAGTAATGTTTGCGTTGACGAAGAATTTCGGGCAAATAGTTTTCTAAAAATTTGTTCTTACCGCTATGTCGTAATAATTTAAAAAACACAAAATAGCGTATTTCTATGATCAATTTGACGACCTTAATTTTAAAAACATGATCGAAAATTAATGAAATCGATAATACCGTACATTTTTCGGTTTTTCCTCAACTATTAAGAAAACTAATTAAAATTAAATCGAAAAATGACTTATAAAATTATACCCAATAAGATACAATTTGCTTTAAGAAAAGATGCTACGTATGAAAATCGAAGAAATATTCCGGTAAAAATGTTATTTACAGATAGAAAACCGTCAAAATAAAAACAAAACATTACTAGTTGAGCTCAACATTTAAAATCGTATAGGTACTTTACTATATTGCATTTTGTGTAAAAGAAATTCAAACAAGTACCTAATTTTATTCAGAATTCTATTAATATTTTGCATGCGAGTTGATTATATAAAGGATTTTAAAAAAAATGAGTGTACTCAGTAAAACGTACACAAATTTACGCTTTCCGATACTTTCCGAAGTTTTCCTGAAACCTAACTACGCATATTCAAACATAAAATAAATATCACAACGTAAATCTAAATAATAATTTTTTATAACTGACTTGGAAATTCAATAGATAAGTAGTGTAATACTAAATATAAAACAAAGTTATCAAATAATTAAATAGAATAGGTAGGGTACGTTTTATTTTGCTTCGTCATGCAATAATATGAAGTTGATTAATCTTTAAGATATTTCACATTGTATACTAATTTCGATTAGGATTAGCTGTACCTACGTGATTTTTATTTTTTTGTTTTGTTTTAATAGTGTCACATTATTATGAAATTAAAATATAGTGTATTAAAAATTAAGATAAATCATACTATTAATCAGAGATCCCAAATGGTAACTTTTTTAAAACAATTATCTAATAAATCAAAAAGTCACGTTTTTTTAATACAGTTCCTTAACGTCATTTTTTTTTTTGTCAACATTCTACCGCTGTTAGAAAATTTTCATAATTTTACAAGAAAAATATACTAATTTAGGAATCTGTTGTGTTCTATGATATAGAATAATATTCTATGTAAGTATAACCCATTTCCAATATTTGTTCATGAAGATAACTCTGGCTCACAGTTATGTACATCACCCATTGTTGTAGTCGATCGTATAACACCCAGGTATACACAGTGTATACTCATCTATTGGTTTCTCGTCAATGCGTATAAGTACAATTTTTTACTTGAAACGCGGTTATACGTTTCAATAAACGCATACTATTCTTAAGTTATTATTGTCGAATATCACATATCGGTGCACGTTATCACAAAGATTCAAGGTTCTCTACGCAGGGCCGTATTTGACAGAGGGTTTAAAGGTTACTTGCCCCAGGCATCAGATTTTCGGGGAGCATCCGGATCCCGGAATACTATATGAAAAGTTTAAAAATTTTTGACCCGTGGCTTGAGAAATTTATGATTTTATGAAAAGAAATAAAATATGAACTTCTAAAAATAAAAATTGATTTGTATTTATATGATTTGGGCTGCAAATTAATACGTCAAGATTTCACGTGACAACATAATGGCAATGGAGCATCCGGCCAACACAAAATATTTTAGTATATAGGTATAAACGTTTCAGTGGTCAGCAAATATGAAAAACCGGGAAAAACGGGAAAATCGGTACAATATTAAAAAAATATTATTAAAGAAAATATATAACGCCTATTTAATTATTTTACCATAATATGATATACATATTGATGAAAAAGCATCACTATCAACTGAACTCCCCTCAGAATCGTTTTTAGTAAGCAATGGTTTATCGTTGCTTACAGATACAAATTAATTTCGTCTCTATATCCTACCTTCCCAACTTTTTACCAATAACAGTGGCTACATCCATGTGCGAAATATGTCCGTCTTTTATTTTGAAATAATTAATGTAACAGCGTGAAGATTTGATTTGAAAATTGTAATAAATAAAATGTTATGAGATTACTATATTAGTTTTTACTTTTAAAATGATGAAGGTTTAACAAAATTATTATAATATTGCTATATTTAAATGAAATCGAAATTAGTGATACGTAAACAGCAGTATTTCAAACTGGAAACGAATACATTTTAGATAGATAGGTATAACGTGCAAGTTTGCAATTTTTTTAATTTTTTCCTTGACTACTTAGATGTTGTGTATTTTTAATTTTTTTTACCGCCAAGGGCTTCGAAAAAATATTCGCTCCAAGCAACCGAAAATCGATTCTCCTCTATATCCTGCCTTGCTGACTTCTTTCCTACAACCAATGGCCGCACATCGTGTGGTGAAGTACGCCAGTCTCTTTTGAACGAGTACTAAATAAATATCTAAATGATTTAGGACTGCACGACCGTGTGCAGTGTACACCCGCCGAGATAAATGAGAATAATATTAGAATATAATTAATTAATTAACTATATTCTTATCTGACCCGGTGCACCTACTGTTGTTTGTACGTTCGTTGTCGACGATTAACCGGCAATTACGACTGAACCTATTAAATACAACAACGTTTACGTGCCCCGTGTACGTAATATGATATTTGCAATCGCGATCGTTAACCGTTATTTTGAATTGCGATGATTACATACAAATTTCACCATCTAGAGCATAATGCTGTAGAGAAATGAAACGTAGATAATCGCAGAAAAAAAGAAAAAAAGAGAAGAGAAGAAAAGATGCGGTGCTGCAGAAGGATCCAAAAGATAAGTCGGACCCGCGTGAAGTTTTAGCGAAAAGATCATCGTGAAATATTATAAAGAAAACACCTGACGGATGGATGGTCCATATTCTCAGACACCGAGTGTTGCTGGGACTAATTCGTTGGAGGTATGGTAGACGGGAAACAACCGCCGGGTAAGACCGCGATTACAATACAAGAGCCGGATTACAGAAGACCAAACAATGTTCGCTCATACCAACAATTAAAGTGGAAAGCCAGCGACGGAGAAGCGTGGAAATGTGCGTGCGAACCAATCATTAGATTGAAGATTGCGGAGAAAGAAGAAGAAAGACGGACTTATAAGATCGTTATTGAACTATTATCTTAGTTTCGATTTTTTTTTTTATGTTACTTTCGAAAATGTAATATTAAAAACGGCGGACATGCTTGGCGCGCGGGCGCAGCCACTGTTGTAGGCGGAAAGTTGGGAGGATACAGCCGAGAATGCAATGTAAGCATCTGTAAGCAACGATAAACCGTTGCCGACGAAAAAACGATTCTGAGCGGAGTTCAGTTGACAATGTTACTTTGTCAACAATGTATACGCCATAGTACGGTAAAATGATTACAACAGTGTGCATTTCCGCGACAACAACGATTGTTTAACAAAGATTTAAAACAATAAAAACTTAATAATAACAAAAAATAAATAAAAACGGTAATGACGTTAGTAGTTGGGTAGTATGATAATTCCGCAGGCCGATTTACACATTAAAGTTTTAAACAAATAAATTATAATTTATATTTGTACACTAAATATTAGACTAGGTAGGCACTTATTAGAATTTGAATTTAAAACACGTCTAGGCGAGTAGTCGAGCACCTATGCAATTGCAATTTGTTCGTTAACCAACGGACAATGAGAGAAACCGAGTTTTTTAAACGGGCTCCACTCAGTATCGCATTATCATTTCGACGGATTATTATTGCGTTAAGGATTTTAACTGAATTGGTCTATAATCGTATAATATTCTGTTTTTCCGAATTGCCCACTTACAACAGCCGCCCACCCGCGAGCGGCGGTAATCATTATTTAACTGTTTAGTTAGTTTTTTTTTTCGCGTTTAAATTGATTATTCGGGTACCTATCACATCGGGTAGAATGGAAATCGATTGAAAATCTGTATTGAAAATCCGCTGTAAACATTTTTTTTTTTTTTTCCGAATCATTAATACCGCGACAGATAACAAAGTGGATAAGGCCGCCAATACGCCCAATACGCCAGTGCGCCGGTATGATTAATTATCACCGAGACGCGTTCATAAGGCCGCCGCGAGTACAATAAAAACGAATACACATTTGTATGTCTTTTCGTACGAATCGCTTTTATCTGCGGCAACTATAGCAATTAGAATATCATTTCATTAATGCAATAACCTTTGCATATTGATAAATCGCGTCGCGTTACAAAATATTGTTGGTATTGTTGCGGGGTGTCGGTGATAATGTCTGACAGTTCGGACGGCGGTTATCAGTGCCCTACGGAATTCCGTGCGATCGAGGCGTTTGCGTGTGCCGAACCGTCTCGGCCGAATATTGTCGAACGTATCGACAATTTTAGAGGGCACGTTGCCCAAAGGTAAGGTTTTTCATAAATCCTACATAGGTACTCACCAGTCGCCGGTCTTTCCGGTACGGTCAATTGTTTGTGCAAGTATCCGTCCGTGTGTTCAGCGGCACGACTTATTTATTGTCCGCGGGCACGACACTACGACGTGAAAAACCGAAACTGCGCGACCTAACACAATAATTATGAAGGTAAAATATTTTATCATTGGCGTAATCGATATATATTTTTTTTTTCAGGTTAAGAAAAAACGCGCGTTTACGTAATTATCATCGTCCATTTGCAAACCCGATCAGTGATTACGATATCGTATGACGTCGGCGAGTTAGAAGTTTTGTTAAGGAAAACTTCGAGACTCCGTACTTGAAAACGTTTTGGAATATTGAAAGGATGACCGAAACGTTTAAATTAACAGACTACGACTGTATCGGATTCGATTTGGACAATACGCTCTGCGAATACCGAATAGGGCCCATGGTGCAAATGATTTATGATATACTAGTCGAATATCTAATAAATAATCATAATTATTCGGCTGACCATCTACGGCAGCCCATTGATTTCGATTTTTTACAGAGGGGTCTGATTTTAGATACGGAAAAGGGAAACATCTTGAAAATAAATGGCAGTGGTAAGATATTACGAGCAACTCATGGCACTAAGTTTATGTCTGACGAAGACATTTTATCTGTGTATGGACAGGACAAAACCTGGGCAGTAACCGATGTGTTTGTAGACAACTTCATGGAAACATGGAATGGACCGATATCTGAAAAAATCAGACCTCTCTTAGACTTTTTTGATATTCCCGTGTCGCTTATATTCGGACGGTGCATAGATGGTATTGATAATGTATGTTTCCCTGAAAGCTACAATGTCTGGCCTAATATATTGAAAGGATTAATCTGCATGTACTCGAGGGAAAACTTTTCAGCAAATTCTGGCGATTATTTTCCATGTTTGAAATCTACTCCATCATTATATTATAACAAGTGTCCCGACTATGTACTTGATTGGCTCAGGGAATTAAAAAAAAATAAAAAAGTGTTTCTCATATCGGGATCCCATCTAGACTATGCCAATTTCACTGCTACTCAGTCGTTAGGTACAAACTGGAAGGAATTATTTGACATTGCAGTTTTCTATGCAAGAAAACCTGGATTTTTTACTTCGGACAGACCATTTTACAGTACAGACGCCGAAATGTTAAATGAATGTGACATTGTGGACAACATACATTTTGGCAATATTTACAGTCAAGGAAATTGGAATCAACTATATAATCTATTAAAAAAAGAATCCGGAAAGACTAACCCAAAGTGTTTGTATGTGGGCGATAATGTACTGCAAGATGTTGTTGCTCCGTATAAATTCTCTGGCATAGATACTATAGCTGTTATTGAAGAAATGAAATTGGATGGTAATAACAATGACCAAAATCCTGACAATACTATGTTACAAACAAATAAATGGAGTTCATATCTGATAGATAGCGATAAGAGAGAACCATCACTTTGGACATCATTCATTAGTAATCATGGAAAACTTTGTGTTCCATCAATAAAATGTCTGGCTAAAAAACCTTTGAATTTTGAATTTACTCCATTTACTAAAAATAAAATGTTGAATGGTTTTTTTCCATTCATACCAAATAGTTTGCATAAAATTATAAAATAATTTAATGTAAATAACGTGTTTGCAAGAATTTAGAAAATAAGAGTTTTAATTTGTTTACAATTTTTTTTTATGCCCTAAAACTATTACATTATTTTATAACAATGTATCTATTTAAAATAATAAAATGACAAATTTCATATATTATATACTATATACTTTTGTTATTGGTTAAAACAAATGTTCTTAAATCTTTATCATCAGAACATTATGGTTTATAAAATGAAACACCACCCAAAACACTGTATTATATACATGGACAGTTTAAAGCCTAGGCCTAGAGCCTAGTATTGTAAACAATACATAACCTATACATGGGAATTTATTATGTACTTACTGCAGTACAAATCACATCATACATTTTTATTTTTTTTTTTTTTCAATTCTCGTATTGGTAAAAATAATTATACAATTAATAATCAGACGTGAGACTACAGAATTACAAAAAATTTATTTTTAGGCATTTTTACAAAACACGATTTGTACAGTTTTCATATTTCTTACATAGTGCCCTAAAAGATTTGGATCTTTCAACAGACTATGCTTTGCTCCAAAGATTTTATTTAAAATTCTGAACAGTTTTTCTAAAAAACTGACGACAAATGACGATCCGTTTGTTTTATTTTTGTTGATTTATGGATTATCTTGGCTACAAGGGAAGAAAATACCTATAACTTACCAGTTCACGAGCTCCGCACAAAATGATATTATGATTAGATAGATTATATATTTAAAAGCAATGGATGTCAGATTGGAAGTTGATCATAGAAAAATAATAATTATTGGTAATATTATTATAACATACAACATACATTTCTCTACATGTAAAAAATCATTTATACCAACCCTGATATAATGTACCTATTGCTAAATATTGTTAGCAGTTAGGAGAAAATACCACACAAAAAGTATTTAAAACTACATTTTTTTTTTATAATTTATGGCACATTTAATAAATTATTTTTGTATTACAATTTGATAATATTATATTGGGTAACAATATCTCATATACAATCTACTTGTAGTTTAATTGATCTTATTAGTGATGTACCACAATTTATTATGCTAACTGCGAACAATAATTTACACTTAGTTAAATGTCTTACAATCAAGGATTGTACCACCTGGAGGTCGAAAAGTGTCCCAGTGGGCCGTATCCGTTCATTACTATATAAATGATTTTATACTTAACATTATTCTTTTTAATTTTTCGACAAAAATATTTTTATTTGCTTATGAAATATTGTACACGCGTTTTTGATAGTGAGGAGAAAATCCTTCACCATTTAAAATAATATGATTGCCTGACAAACTATGATAAACTGCATAGGCGAAACTAAACCAGCATACCTTGAGGTTGCTAAAATTATAGACACATCATGGGCCCATAGAGGCACTACCCACATAATCCACTTTACACAATACTTATAATAAGCTATTACACATTTTATTTACAATTTCATGTATAAAAATGTATCAAAACTTTTTTAATTCTGTTTTTTGTACACCCATTATGAAATTCATGGATAAATTATTTAATCTATACTAAAAAAAAAATTATTGGATATTTTTGGGGGTGCTAATTTTAAACTTAGGGGTGCTACAGATCCCCTAGCACCCCCCTAGTTGTTATGATGAGTAAATGTGTCCTTTACATAACAAATAATTGTTTTACATATCTGTGGTTATGTTGCGAGATATGTGTAGTGGGCGACAAATGTGGCCTATCCTTTAACCCCAAAATATACCCGAAGTGTATTAGAAACACAGAATAAGTCGAATAAAGATATAGATAATAAAGAAATTATTTTATTTTATTTGTTTATTATCTTTTAGTAAAGATAACTTTTGATAACTGGATAATACTAAAATAAAAATAGATAACATTATTTTTTTTTGTAATTTTAATTGTGTTTAGCGTGGACTAAAAATATATATTAAAATACAAAAAAGTGTAATTATTGTAATTGGTGTAAATGTTTTTTTAACTTGACCAAAATTATTATTTTTTTTTTTTTAATTTCACTACATTTCCACTAAACTGTTTATATTTATGTTTTTTTTTTTTTTTTTGGCAAGTGAAATGAAGTTCTCCGGGCTGGTTAAAATTCAAAATCTGCAACTGCTTAACTGAGCAAAACACTATTACCATATTATAAAGGTATAATGTATTATTTTAATCATTCCACAGTATATTCTTACTCTGGAGTATTCATGATACGAAAACTACCATATCTAAGTAAATATTAAATTATTATACATTAAAAAGCGGTTTCAATAAAACATTTATAATTTGTATAGAAAAAAAGTTAAAATTAATTAATAAAATACAATTTGAATATATAAAATCTTTTGTAATATTTTAAACATAATTAAAGATAATTTAACAACAATAAATACTGTACAAATATATAACCCAAATCCTCATTAAAAAAAATTGTTATGGTTGTAAATAGTATATAAAAATAAAATTATTGTCATTCTTGGTTTCAGCAAAATTTGATTTTTCTTCTAGTAAGTACTTCAATTCAAAATGATCTAACATTTTTTCATTGGGGGAATGTTTCTACAACTAAAATAAATATGATGGATTAATAATATGATATTGAATTGTATTTTAATTTCAACTTACAGTTTGGAACCCTCTTATGCAGAAAACATTTGGTGTAATAAAACAAATGGTGTCAACATGTCTCTACGGCAACAGCGATTCCCATACCTCCGCCAACACATAATGATGCTACACCTCGTTTTTTTCCGGTTCTTACTAAGGCATGAACTAATGTTACCAATACTCTTGCACCTAAATTAAATTTATCAAATAAATTAAACATACTAATAATTTAATGAATAATTAAAATTGTATTAATGTTAAATATGAAGTGTAAACTAATTTTTTTGATTATTGTTCAACCATGTTTTATGAATTACTACGATATTAATCATACCAGATGCTCCAATAGGATGCCCTAATGCAATGGCACCTCCATAGATATTAACTCTGTCAGAATTTAGTCCCAAATCACGCAATACAGCTATTGATTGAGCGGCAAATGCTTCATTTAACTCAAAGAGATCTACACTATCCAATGTCCAACCAGCTTTTTCAATCTGAAAATATTTTCACCCATTTAAATTAATGCTGTTGTAAAATACATTATTACACATTTCTTTTATTTTAAATCAAATATTGTGTCTTTGTTCAATATTACACTATACTAACCTAGTAAAACATTTGTTCAATTCAATATATTTTAAAAATACTTAATACCTATAAGTGTTTTTCAATAATTGTATTAATAAGCAAATGTAAAATATTTGAGTTATCAGATTTTTTTTTTTTTAATATTAGAAAATCCAAATATTTAAAATACTTGTGCTAAGTAATATTATTGTTATGTAATATTATTTACATAATATCTACAAAATACAAATATAGTTGAATGTTATCTCAAAAAACTACAACAGCATGGATTTTTCTGTAAAATCATATTTTTATTGAATAAATGTAGTCATAAGACTAAGAAATGTCAACAAGATATATTTCAAAGAATTCAAATTTGAAAAACATTATCACAAAAGTGAATATTTGAACATGCGTATTTCACCGTAATGATAAAAAATCTACTTTGGAAATAATGAATATTTAAATTTTTATTTATATTTTTAATTGTTATAAGTTCATTGAACAAATTCTTAAAAATATTTTCAATGAGATTTATTTAGAATTAAAGTATATCATTTAATTTATATTAACTGCATTTAACTAACCAAAGTCTAAAATATGTGTGTAAGTGAAAATTGATTAAATCATTTTGATAACACATTTTTTTTTTGTTTTTTAAATAATTTCTCATTTCTCATTTTTATACCCAATAATTTTGTTTTTATTTAACTTTATATTTTAAACTTTTATCAAAAAATATGAAATACGTATGAGATATTTGTTTTTTTTTTTTTTTATATATTCATAATTAAAAGCGTTAAAAAATAAAAACAAGCTGATACAGAGGATGGGTGCAGCCACTGTTGTAGGTGGAAAATTCAGTAGGTAGGATACATTAACATAATTAATTTATATTCATATGCAACAATTACCATTGGTAACAAAAAAACTATTTGGTGCGAGGTTTGGTAAGATATATTTTGAAATGTTGTAATTTTTACAACTATAGTCAAAATTTGATCTTATAATGTACCTTGTGTTTTCAATTTCTAATTTTCAAGCATTTCTGTTTATGTCATGTAATTTTAATAACAGATACCTATCAAATAAAATACATATAAAAACACAAAATATCAAATACCTATTAATGGTAGTGATGAGTATTTCAAAACCCATATTGAACCAGATATTTTCAAAACAATTATTTTTTCTGAAAAAAATATTTAATTTGTCTAATTTTAATAATAATATTACAAAATGAATAAATTGTTTATTTTAATAATATAAATCAAAGAATGATAAAATAAATAATATAAATAAAATATATGTAAATAATATATTGTTTAAAAATTAATATGAACAATTTTGATAAATATAAGATAACGGCTTTTTAATATTTCGGTTAATCTCAATATAGACTCTCAGTTTTTGATTTCAAATATCGGGTATTGGAAAAGTCATATTGACTCACCACTAATAAATAGCCTAAAAATAATTAGAATGTTTTGAGAATTTTACCATGTCTACAAAAGGCCAATATAAGTATTTTGTGAAAACTACAGGTCTCTACGTTAATTTCTAATTTAATTAAATGGAACAACATAGTTTGCAAAAATTATAAACAATGAAATCAGTAATGACACGGTGCACTGTAACATATAACTATATCACAATTTTGTTCCCCGTTTTCCCAATTATTTTGAAAACCCTTTGGAAAATCAAAAAAAAAGACTCTAATGCACCAATTAGAGAAAATTTCCTGAACTCTATATATCAGAGTAAAATTTTTGGTAGAAAATTTGTTCAGACAGAAAAAATAAAAAAAATCACACATCATAGTAAAACCAATAGATCCCTACACTCTGAATCTGAATTATATTATATGTATTTTTTTTTTTTTCAGAAAATATTATTTTTTATTAAAATACTCTATTTATGGTGATCATATCCATGTTGAATTGTTAACAAATATATTAACAGAATATAAACCTGTACTTTAAATATAAATAGAAACTCTTTTTAATAAATTCTATCAAATATACAATGTATCATAACGAAAAAAAGATTGCATATTATAAATTTGTTCACACTTACTGTTTTAAGCACTGCAGGGATTGGTCCAGTACCCATTATTTTTGGATCAACTCCACACTCTGCATGTGATACAATTTTTGCCATTGGAAAACATCCTCGCTTTTTGCATTCTTCACCACTCATTAAAAGAACTACAGCTGCACCATCATTTATTCCTGATGCATTTCCTGCCGTAACAACACCATTCTAAAAATACACTTCTTTAGTAAATAAATTAAAGCTATACTAAAATATTCTTCTTTTTTATCTCACTTTTTTAAAAACTGGTTTCAATGCAGATAATGATTCTAGTGTAGTATTAGGTTTTGGATATTCATCTTCATCAAAATTAACAGTTTTCCGGTGTACTAATACTGAAACTGGAGTTAATTCATCTTTAAAAAATCCATTTTTTTGAGCTTCAGCAGTCCGTTTTTGTGACACTAAAGCATATTCATCTTGAAGTTCTCTTGAAATGTTGTACCTTTCAGCAATATTTTCAGCTGTAAACCATAATATGTTTAATAAATATTATAATCTATTAAGTTACCAAATTAGAATAAAGCGTATGAACAGCGTAGGAAGAAATCTATATCCTTGCTTCAAAGATAGGAAGAAGAAAACAGCGACATCAATGTTACAATATGACATAATGATGATTAATGATGTTCCATACTTCCTGGAATATAGATAACAATTACCTCTCACAAGACATTCAGGAAAGTATATTTTTGTTTCAGTTTTAGGTGTGAATTATTTGAAGTTTGTCAAGCTAAAAATCAAATTGATGCTGCAATTCTACTTTGTATTTTTTATTCTTTTTAAAACCATATCATAACCTATCATTTTTGTTTTGCAAGTTTCCTGGGTAGGGTTAATCAGTAGAACTACTTTAGTTAGTCATCTGACTTCATCATAAATTTCGACTTTCCAGACAGTAGTTTCAGTATAATAATATATTATGTTATTATGTAAATATTTTGAAAATATCTTACCAGTAATGCCCATGTGTATATTATCAAAAGCATCTGTTAATCCATCATATAACATGGTGTCCATTAATGTTATGTCACCCATTGCAGGCTTTTGTCGTAAATTGGAAACATGAGGTGCATTACTCATACTTTCTTGACCTCCTGCAATGACAATTGAAGAATCTCCACATTTAATCGCCTGATAACCGAGAACCACAGCTCTAAGGAACAATAAGCAAAATAATTTATTTAATTTGAATGCTTCATATTTTACTTCAAATGTATTTTAATATGTTAATAATATCATCTATAACAGTTGATCTTAACCTTTTTGAGTCTGGGCCCACTTAAAATTACACCGAAATTAATTGCAACTCTTTAATTCAATCAATATCGCATGTTATGCAATAGATTTTACACACTTTTGTATTTTATTATTGTTAGCGTTACACACATTTTAAGTAGATATATTATTATGATTTTTAGACACCAATGGTATACAATTATTGAAGCATAATTTTTTTTACACTTCTAATGACTTCTTTACTATTATAGTATTGAAATTAACTGTCCAATATTGTAAGACCCACTAATTCTGATCGTTGGTAAACTATGCAGTCAATTTCTTAATTTTTTTTTTTTTTTTTGAGCTTATTATTACTTAAGATCCATTTTTACACAAATTAATAGTTAAATAATAAAATTATTTCCACATTTAATAATTCATAAATCATAAAATGTACTTAATACTCATAAATACTTTTCCAATTCTAAAAACTTCTCGCCTATTAAAAAATAATAAAATTTGTTTTTTCTTCTCAAATTCAATAACCTAAACATAATGTGATCTCTGATTATGGTCCAATAATATTTTGTAGGTAACCTCCAAGTTAAAAGTAGGTATAGCTAATCTATTAAGTTCTAAAATTATATTAAAACTTTAATTTTAACTAACTTTAGTCCAGATCCACAGAGCATATTGATAACATATGAAGGTACACTGTACGGAATTCCAGCATTCATCGAAGCTTGTCTAGCCGGATTTTGACCCTGTCCTGCTGTTAAAGCCTAATACAGTAAACACACAAAAACATTTATAATTTTAAGTAAAAGCTACAAATAATGTAAAATTATTACTTTATATTTTATTTACCTGTCCAAGAATAACTTCAGAAACTTCATTTTCCTTAACATTAGCTCTTTTTAATACTTCTGATATTACGATACTGCCTAGTTGATCAGCTTTTAATGGTAATAATGTACCACTAAATTTACCTGTAATTAAATAGTTTTTATCATTAATAATATTTGAATATTTATATTTGAATTCAATAACAATATGGCACATAAAAAGATGTCAAATATATCCATTATATATTAGGCAAGAAAATAAGTATGATAATCATTTGTATGAAAATAGTTTCTCTACAATTTAATATTTGATATACCATAGATCCATGGGTATACAAGCGAATAAATTATTATGAGAAAATGTATAAAAATAACTTTTTATTTTTATACTGGACTATTATAAAACAAATACTGAGAAAAGTTTGCACTGAATCATTATGTAATAATAACAAATTGATATTGTTCACTAATTAATTAGTATAATTAACAAGGTATCAACAATTCACAGGCTAGGAAATTGTATTAATAAACAACCTTAAAATAAAAATATAAAAATAAAATGAAAAAAACGTTTCAAAAAATAAACTTTGAACTCCTCCTTCAGAAACTGATAAAATCATTAAATGTAACAAAATTTTAAACTATTTTAAATCAATTGTTTAAATATTTACATGTATATTATAATCAAAATAATTTTTATTTGGAATAGTAATATTAAATAAAAAAAAAAATGAATTTAACATTGAATACTTTTATTAAAATAATAAACTTAAATCATCTCTTTATGTTATTTTTTTAATTTTTAAAATATACAAAAACCAAATGATAATTGCATAAAATTATTTTAAATAATCAAACATATAAATCATTAAGAATTTATTACATCCATATTTAATCGGTACTCATTAAATTAAAGTTCATACATGTCGGAAATTCAATCAATTGTTGAATAAAAAATGCTGAATTGATAATGGCACGGATAAGCATAAAATATTAAATAATAGATAATTTATAAAATATTATATAAGACATAATAAATTCTGTAATAAATTAATGACCATTTTATATATTTTATAAAAAAAGTATCTAATTTTATTTCTTGAATAAAATAAAAATACAATTTAGTACATACAGCACTACCTACAATACATTTTGAGAATAACTTTAAACAACACATAAATAAATGTGTAAAAGTGAATAGGTACCTACTTACCTAGTACTTTTAAAGGTGCAAATCAAATATTATTTTACTTATAAACAAATTTATTAAATTTATATATCAATCACACAGAAATTTGAATAAACTAAAATCAGGTGTCAATGAATAAGTATTTTGAGAATTTGGTTTTCAACACTAATGAAAAAGAGTTAACTATTTTTAGTATCTAAACAAGTAATTTTAATGTTAGGGGGTTCTATATAGGCAATATAAAAGACACATCAAATTTATATTGGATATTTGATTAATGATTTCTTGATAGAAAAACAATGAAATTGCATTTTATACTGTAAAACATGTTTAATTAACAATACTAATACTTTATCAATTTATTTAAACAAAAATTGAAATTGACCACAGATAGGCTACTGTTACAGATAAATAGTTATTAAGGTAGGATTGACAAATTGATTTGGTTTAAATACAACATAAAAGGAAAACAAATTTGGTTTCATTCTAAACAAAAAATTAATTTAATTCTATATTGTACCTAGAGTATATTTATAAAGTAAATGTCAAAGAAGATGTGTAAATCTACCATAGCCACATTTTTTTTTATCTTCTCAACAGGTATTTACTAAAACTAAAAATATAATATAATATTATTAAGATGATAATTTATAATTTACCGTGATTCATTAGGTATTTTAATTAGTAAATGATAAAGTAAGTCTTTAAAATATAAGTGGATACACCCAGCAATATAATTTAATTTTAGACAAATTAACTATACTGAACAAATTATCTCAAATAGTATGATCTAGGTCATTAATATGATTTTGGAAATTATTTTAATAATAGTATTAATTACATCCATAGTTAATTATGAAAATAATTTTAGTTTTTTTAATTTAACTTTATCTATTTTATATACTTGAAATTTTTAATTAAAAAAAGAAAAATAAGTAATATTAATTGTAAAACATAACATTTATGTTCTTACCAATTGGTGTCCGTACAGCAGACACAATATATACTTCATTAGCCATAGAATACATATTAATGTAAAGTATGAAATATTATGAATAATTTAATACTTTAACTCAAATACAAGACTATTTGAATTATTTTGAAATGTATTAGTATTTATACATAAAAAAAATAATAAGATAATAATTTAATTGTACTTAATTACCTAAATTACTTACTGTAAATAAGTACTACTAGTAGTTACACTAACGAGTAACGACTAAATTATAAAATTAAATGTAAAAATAAATAAATAGTAATACTGTTTGAGTAAACGTAATGAATACTATTCTCGTGATTAAAATGCCGTGCACAGAATATATCGTGATATCACAGTATCACACACGTCATCAGTGATAACGCACAGTTTGATAAGAATTAATTGTCGAAAAAAAACAAATAAAATGTTTGAATTCCTTCATCATTGTGTTTGCACATAAGTAAGATCAGGTGATCATATTTGAATGTCAACTCAAAAAGCAAACATTTATGATAATTAATTATCTGTAAAATTATTTTAATAGTGCCTCAGCTGCAGTAGTAAAGTTGGTGTTGAGATAATAAATCGTGCAATTGTCGATTAATGTCGTAAAAGGAACACTGACAAGTCTATTATCAAAACACCGTCCGTTTGAAACGCATAGCTCGTGTGGCGGCACTGCCGAAATTTCTGGACCAGTCAGTATCGAAAAATGGCAGAGTTCGTCAGGGTGACTTCCAATCCTTCTTTAAATTCAGGTAAATTTTCTAATTATCTAAGTTCAATTGATGTTAGGAGACGGTAGACGCCTAAACACCATACCAGTGACAGACAGACAGATAGTCGGGGAACGGATCTCCGCATTGCGGGCATACGTCGAACCCGATCGACAACTGTCGGTTCTATAGTTTAGGGGTATACTACTTATCAGTAGGTACGAAAACACCAATTGTTGGCCTTTGTGTGTTACTTCCTTTTTATAACATCAGTAATTATTTTTTTCCAAATGAAAACGTCCCCTGCCCATAGATTTGCATTATTGCACATATTCCTCTAGGCATTTAACCTCAAACGTGGGTTGATCAGGAGACCAACACCATCCTTGTACCTGCTGGTGCATCTGTGTAATATTCTAAAAGATGTATCTACATCCCCTTTAACACTTGTCTTCTTACAACTAAATTAATTAGATAAAATAGAATGTGTTTTCTTGTAGGAACTGATTTCCTGTTTGGTTGTTGAGTATCATTTCTGATGTGTGATGAGTAAACTATCTAAATTTACATTCAGAGTTTAAATCATATGCCTTGTTGTTTAAATTTTACTCATTTTTCAAGGTTTTTGTTATATGACATCTATTTAATATTTTAAGTAAATGATGATATTTATGTTTTATGTCAATAACACAAATATTATTCACTTACAACAGTAACCATAGCAACTTTATGGTCAACATTTAATTCAAATCGTAGGACAAGGGCATCATTTAAATAGGTACCTAATGCGTCAATTTTTACAGTATATCCTTAAAACATAATAATATATTGCATATCACCACGTATGAATTCTTTTAGTAAAATCCAAAGATAAATATTTCTAACGGCAAATATATTAAGTAATAGTGAAACTAGACTTAATACTAATAATAATAAGTTAAAATACTAAGAATATTAATCTATTGTATTATACTTTATTAAAAAATATAATATTTTTTACAGTTTTTAACTATCATTTTTAAGTATTTGTCTCCAATAAAAAAAATAAATGAAAAGACAACATTATTATCCTAGGCAATATGTCTATAATAATAATTTTATGTTTGAATTTGTATTATTCAATTACAATTTAGTTTCCAAAAACTATGTTATGCAATTTAATGCTATTATTTAAGTTTTAGATTCTGAATGAAGAATGAAATGTATTAGTTTTATAATGGTGTTTATTTTTTTTTTCTGTGAACAATTTTTCTTCCAAAACTGTCACTTCAACTTACAAGGTTGATTTGTATCTTTCTGAATGAAATTTAACTAAATTGATATTTAAGGAAGCCATTTTTTTAATTTTCTCAGAGGTTTTCATAATTAATGGGAAATAAATGGAAAATTTATTAAATGTGTTATTTTAAAATTATTAATATTATAGCCTTTCAAAACATGTATACTCAAACTTTGCTCAGAATTGTTGAATGCAGATATACATTAAATTTCCTCTCTACCTCTCAATTTCTCCCTTACAACAATGACCTACTCTTCGTCCAAAGTATGTATTTGTTTTTTTAATTTTCTTTACTTGTTAAGAAATTTGAGCCAGGTCAATTGTAATAATTGAGTTATGTTGCAATAATTCACTTTAATTATATTATATAAGATTTAATTGTCATTATATTTGTTTATGATGTACCTAAGTGATCTACTAAAGATCTCATTTAAAAAATAATAAAGGTACCCAATAATGTAGCATAAATAAATATGTAATATAAAGGAAATTTTTATGTATACAGTGATAAAAAAAAAATTAATTAGCTTTAACTTTTTAACTTTTCAATTTATTCAATGACTACTATTTTAATTGAATATTTTGTTTAGTTGTCAAAATGTCTATATAAAAATACTTAGGTCTAATATTTATCATAATATCAACAATATTCTTTATTTCTGTCAATTTCTTTGAGAGGTATCTAAAATACAATTTAATAAATACATGTTTATTCTTAAACATTCTGTCATGTGTCAAACTATTATTTCATATGATCTTATTGGAAAGTATATTTTTTTTCTTAAATATTTGTTTTAAATCATTACATAGAATTTTAACCCAAATAAAACTAAAATTGTGTCTATCATTTAAATATTGAAAAAGTGTAAGAATTATTTCAATAAATCTATACACAATACACATATTGTTACAAATTGTTTGTTGCCTTTATCTCACGTAAGTAGGGTCAACTACTTTTTAACATTTCCCTATGATATCAACCTTAATAACCTGAAACCAATTTTTCTTTAGCCTAACACTATTAAAAACCTCAGTATTAGTTATTTGTATTTTTCTAACTTAACAAAGCTAGAAAAATATTTGTAAAATTAAGAATATTTAATAATTTGTTTTATTACCTAATTAATTGCATGGATATCTTTATTGTCTACTATTCTTACAACATTTTACGGTGTAATTTTGTTTTCAATACCTACTTCAAATTACTAATCTTAAATATTTCAGCTTATCGAACTGATAAAAACATTTTATTGCAACGTCCGCCTAATTTAAAAATACCATTCTCTGAGTAATTCAGTATTGTCACAGCAATACTTCTAGTGTCCATATTATACTGATATTTATTTAATTTTAAAAAACTATCCTTTAATATATATTATAACTTTTATTTGTAATATAATGATTAGATGAAACTGGCATTATTACTTATATATATATATTAGCATAAAAATCTAAATATTTATCTTCGGAATTTAAACAGCAATGTGTATAATGACTCGCAATTTGTTCGCTATGAAAATGGATTAGGTACTTATATAGTTTATATTTATAAATAATTGGTACCTAACTAAAATTGATGGACTGTAAAAACCATTCATTTAGCATATTTTTGTTTAAGTTTAAATTCAAATATAGTGTTAATTAAGCCATACCAGTACAATTAATGTATAATAGTATTCCAATAGGTATCCTGAAAGCTTAAAAATAAAATAAAACATTAAAGTTAAAAAGTTTTCACCTGTGTATCAAATAATTCAGAGTATAGATTAATTGACAGTAGGTACCATTCAATTCTTACCATTATTTGATTAGTTCTTTGCATGTCTAGGGCCATTATTATATAATGTTATATAAAACACGCCTTTATTTTTGGCTTTTAAAGAACTTGATTTTATTACTATTTTCAGATGTTATAGTTTAAACTGTATAAACCTATATTATAATGGCATTTTATAAAATATCAATCTTTTACTTTTTTTTTTTTTTTTTTTTTTTTTTTGTTAATTTTTTGTAAAAACTATTATAAGAATACAGACACTATAACATGAATTTAAAATTGGTATTTTTATCCTTTTAAAATATTTAATTATTTACTGCTGTTAAAAAAAAATATTTATATATACCATAAGTATATGTATATCAAAATTTTTTACAATTTTTTGATCCGAAATTTTTCATTTACCTAAGTTATCAGCATAAATAAATTATTATATTATGATATAACGACATATTTAAAATTACATAAGTCAGGGCACTTACTTTTAAAATTTGGTTATGGCATTATTATTATAGTACCTAATGATTGTCTTTCGTTATTTAATGCCTATAAAAACAAATATAGTTATGTAGGTGATTGTTTTAATTTTTAATTTTAAACTAAATATCAAATACTGTAAATAATTAATAAGTAATTTAAACATCTATTGACTTTAAAGATAATTATATAAAAAAAATCTCATCAAATTATTAATGATTAATTTATGTTATACACACCAAGTATAACATTCTAATAGATTGTATTTCTAATGCAGGATAAAATTGATAATCATAAAAAAGTTGTATTGTGTTATTGAATCTGTAGAAATAAGATTAAGTACATCACTATGATAAATAGTGATTTATATATCGAGAAATTATAATGTTGATTTTAAATATAAATTTTGTTAATGAAAACTTGGAAGTTTCACAGTACAGAGAAGGACCTTTTAAAACCCAGTACCCTCCTCAGTAACACCTCAGCGACCGTACTGTTCAATTGTGCTTTCGTGTGTTCTATAAGAACTCTTGTGATTTATTATAATTTAAAACTTACAATTTTGTTATGGCTACATAGTTGTTACTAATTTACTTATACCTAAATTCTTGAATAATTTTTAAAATGAAAGTTAATCGTTCTTTTTATTCTTTTCATTCTGGTGTATTTTTTGATTTTGCTCAGCTCTCACAAGGTATTTAAAAGATCGTTTAATTCAAATATTGATTTTTAAAAAAAAATGTATAATTTCATTCTGAATTTTTTCGTCTTTAGTACGTCGTAAATAATATTATGTAAACTGCGGGGTTATTTTATATTATTATTATCTTAGTAGTGTTACACAATTATACGTATGTGCCTTTTAAAAATGAATTTCCATCGTCAAAATAATATATCAGACCAATAGATTCTATTGATAGCCTGTGCAGTACAATTTCGGATGTATACTTAAAATAGCGGGGCTCGTTTCACCCGTTTCCTATTTTACGTGTTCATATATCCGTACTTCCGGTATTGTTATTCCGTTATTGTATGTATATTTGTATGTGTTGTATACAGTAGTACTCACGTCAGTTTTAATTCAGCTTTGTCCAGTGATGTTTATGTACACATAATACCGCAGTTCATCTAATATATTATACTTAGTATTTTGTAAGTTGTTTTTTTTATTAATCATTTATTTTTTTACTTCGGGTTTTTTTTTTTACAATTTTGTATTTATATCGAAATTTCGTTTTTGTCATTGATTGGGTTATCAGCGTTATTCGAAGATGTCTAAAATTCTTAAGTCTATTTTTATCAAATGTTTCTCTACAGTCCATAAGCCAATGCCACAAGACACAACCCTTACTACTACTATTCCAGACATTTATTTTAGGATTTCCTGTTAACTGCTTATATATATATATATATATATATATATAATACTACGCGCTTGCGCGTATTTATAAATAATATATATTATTATAGCCAACCACCACGTCTACTTGTGCTTAGAAACTTAGTTTTCAATAAACAAATAGATACCTATATAATATATGTTCTGAACAATTTTCATCTGATTATGCTCGTGAGAGTGTATAAAAAAATTAATAGATTGTAAGTAATAAGACAGTTGTATTTAATATTAATCATTCGTTGTCAGGATCGTGTCGAGGTTGGACCTCGCACTTAATAATTTTAAATTGTTCCTAGTTGACATCACGAAATTCGATTTTGTTTTTCAAGTTTAGTGGGTACCCATCTCATTGGTTGGTTTTTAAATGCGATGACATAATTATTTCTGAATCTATATTTCTTGGAATTGTTTTCGTTTGAATAAAATCGTTGGATTTTTATTCGTATAAGATTAAAAAATATGTATTAACTATCATAGTAGCTCAGTTTTATGTAAATACCTATTATATGTTTTAAAATCAATCTGTTAAAATATAATTCGAAGAAATACAGTCTATAATATGTTTTTCTAGTTAATTTTTTTTAATGAATCGTCATCATAATGCACAAATCTATATCTCAAATTGGCCAGTTTAATTTAAAATTTGAAATATAATATGTACCTAAAATACACGATTTTGCTATGTTGGGCATTTACTGCTGTATAGTATAACAGCCAAAACGTCCAACGCAAATTATTTTAAATATAATATTTGTTCTTTGTTTTATCGATTTATTGCTATGGATAATGGGGTAAAAAAATATGAAAATGATTTTGTACTCGCGGTACATGTTTATCGTTCATTTTATTTAGCCTATTCTTCCTTCTAAAATGTTTACATATATCTAGATGCCTGCATAATATTATACCTACTCGTACAATAATTATTTATTAGAAAAGTATTATAAAGTTACATTATTTTTTTCGGATTGCCATAATATAAAAAAAAAAAACTAACTGAATTTGGTTTTGATAATTCCACCCCTACTCACGTGTTTCACTGGAGTTGAAAATAGAAAAACGAACAAATAAGATACGTAGTACTCTTGATTTTTAATTGAATTCTAATTTATCGCATTCAACGTAAAAATGTCCATTACTTTAATGACGGATCGTAAGTTTTTCTGTAAACATAATGTCTTGGTAATTTTTCTAACAAAAAAAAAGTATGAAACGCAAACTATTTCAAATATTCTGAAAAATCATCGGCCTACAATAACCATTTATATTGTATACATTGGTTTTTAACCAATCGTTTAATTACACTCTAACGTATAGTACTTACTTTTTTTTGTTTTAGTAGTTTTTTAGTTTTAATGACCCGTCTATATGGAGATAATAATAATTCATATTAAAGACCGACACGCCCGTATAATAATATATTATAACAAAATTACGCCGCGTAGAACTATATAATTGTGTCATTTAGGTTAATTTAAGAGTTTTAAGTTCTAAGCGGTTACAGACCAATTTAAAAGGGCCGCATTTTTTTATAACATCCCATAATATTTTTTTAAAAAATATATGTATATAATATGGTCACTATACGAGAACCTTTTGCCGAAGGCATTGCAAAACATCGCGCTCTAGTATATTGACAGAATTCCCGTGGTCTTGACTCATTGAGAATTCCAACGTATATTATTGCAAACCCTGTTTTTCATCCATGGAGATTTTCTATATATTGAAATAAACTATTTGCTATTGTTTTGATTTTTTTTTTCAATTTGGGGGCCCTTCCAATAGATTTGCCTGGGGTATAAAAACTACAGGTATTTATGTATAACTATCAATTAAACCCGATCCTAGGTTTTGTTCGTTGTTAATAAAAATAATCATCTACAATGCATTTATAATTCGTTAGTCGATTGTAAATTAATCAATGTACGGCGATTATTGTATCAATTGTCATTATTTTTACCTATAATGCCCATCATTGATGTACGAGTATTAATTATTATTATTATTTTTTTTTTTTGTTGCAGGTGAGTAATCAATTCTGTTAAGTACACGTGGTATACGAACACACACACACATACACACACACACACATATATATATATCTATATATATAATATAAGTAAGAAAATAGTTAAAATATTTCTCTACTATGAATCATGCTCTCACATTTGTATTGCAAATGGATTATTGGGTAGGAAATGATCAACATAATCGGAACCGGAGTAAGTAGATTTAGATTATGCACTTAACAATATACCTGTATAATAAATAACATACGTCACTTAAAAAATACAAAAGAAAAAAAATGTTGAAGGAATTTTCATTTTAGATATAATATGATTATTTAATACGTACATTATTATAATTACAAAGTTGTCGATGGATGTATACGCTTTTATGTACATACAAATTTTTCTCTACTCTCGCGGTTTCATGATTTAAAGCCTCTTCCCTTTAGTTCAAGTTTCACTTTCGTGTTTATCGTAACACCTATGTATACAGATATATATTTTGTATATCATGACAGAACAATAATTTGAATACCTTTTTATTCTTTTTGAGAAATAATTTTTGTAAAAATATGCGTCAATCATAGTATGATATAGTGTTACAGCATTCGGAAGGGATATTATATTATTTAGAAAGTGTCCCAGTTTAATTGTAGAAAATCGAAGGTGTCGATGAAAAGCGTGGTATGTTAAAGTGATGGACCGTAACTGTGTCCAATCGTTTTGAAGTATCCCACTGTTTTCTACAGAATTTTCACTTTTCAAACGTATGGAATATCAATGCTCGTTATTTTATACAATTGTGAATAAAACATTTGTATTGTTATTATTATCATAATTTTTCTATCCAGTACTCTCTTGGGTGCTTCAGTTTAATGGGGATATCTCGAGTGCATCCCGTTTTTAATTTTTATCTTTTTCATAGCCCAAGTTATATTGACAAATTTTTTTGAATTTTCCGAGTGAGTGCGCAGTCGTATCGATACAGCCTTAGGTAGGTACCTATTTATACTTATTTAAAAGCTGATAAACTTAATAATTGATAAACTGATCAGTGGGAAAACAACATTTTGTTTCAACTTAGATAATAAAACTTAATAAGATTGTGGAGTACGGCTAATAGTCATAACTAAGCTAGTGAACGAATGTAGTACCATAATTTTTAAACAAATATGGTTATGTTTTTAAGATGCAAAATAAAAAATTGAAATACTATAATCTAAAGACTATGTATTCTGTATCTATTTTATAGCCAACTTAAATGAGTGTAATCAATATAATAGATAGTAAAATAACTTAATATGTTTAGGGTTTAAAACAGTTCACCTTCTCGTGATGCACCCTGTGTAACTCCGAGTGAATTGAAACGCATTCGGGCTACGTAGAAAAAATGATCTTTTTTTAATGGGATGTACTCGGGATATTGAAAAATGATCATTTCGATACGCACTCGGGCAACCCCGAGTTTAATAATGTACGACGGTCTGGAGCTAGAACCACACAACCCATGTTTATCCCTCTAAATACTCATAATTATTATATCTACGTAGCTATACAATAATTTTCAAATACAATTTTGCATTTATGTGTTATTATCATTTGTCTTGTTCATATAAAAATGTTTAGTTTCGCCGCGCGTGTTTGAAATTATGATGATTGTGAATCGTAAACAATTTCAATTAACCTTACATGTATACTACTTTTTAATTTGTTTTTTGCATATTACGCTTTATGGAAGGAGCGCGATAATTTTAAATCAATAGGTTCCTACGTATAATAATAATATATATTTTGTCGAGTATAAAATTTATCTTCGGCTAGCGGTTTTAGATGCAAATTATAGTGAAGAATTAAAATTAGAAAGTAGCACCTTTATAATAGTAGATGATGATGACCTCAGTACGTGCGATGTCAAAATAAAAGCTGTTACACGTTATTTCTACTACCTATTACCTATAATATTGGATATCTACAATATAGATACCCATCAAAAGGTTTTTGTACATATGTTGACAATTTTTAGATTCTGAGTGGTGCGAGGAATGTATTGGTTTTTCAATGATATTTTTTATTATTCTTATTTATTATTTATCTGTGAACAACGTTTGTTTCCACTAGCAATTTTTCTCCGATTCACAATGATAGCACTTTTTCTGAAAGGAAATCTGACTGGGGTGATATTTTATGGAGGGTTTTTTTTTATTTTCCTAGGAGTTTTCCCAATAAATAGAGAATATAGATACAATATTAAACAAATATTATTAAATAAAATATTAAATGCATACCTATGTAATTTTACTTCAATATGACATATATATTGTTGACAAAGCAATACTATGAACTGAACTCTGCTCAAAATAGTTTTTTTGTTATCAATGATTAATCGTGAGATTACAGATAAACATTAAATTCCCGTATACATCCTACCTTCCCAACTTCCCACCTACAACAGTGGTTGTACCCGTCCCCATTATCCTAGGACAATTTTTTTATTTTTATTTGTTTGTTTTGTTTCTTGTGTTTTACATTCTGACCCCGATTTCACACGGCGTATTATTATCGCAGGTTTGTATAATTGACTTCTCTTACCGAACTACTGTGCGGGATCACGGTCATGTATACATTTTTAAATTAAGTGATGAATAATAATTGTCATCTTGTGACTTTGTTATGTAGATATACAGCTATAAGTTTATATAATATGATATATATATATATATTATACGCAACCGGAAATCTCTATTGATGACGATCCTCATTTATATCTATTTATAATATATTATATTAAATAAAATGTCTATATGGTAATTCGAAGTTTCTAGATTCCTTATACGGCCATTCAGCCATTGTATCTTCATTTTCTTCTACCCGCGTCTGTTCGTTCTCACTTATCGTTGTCGTTAGCAATACAAACATTATTTTGCTGTAATTAGTATAGTGACTTCCGAGTAGTTTATACTATCGTCACCTCTTCGATATTTTAGATAAACTATCGAATATTTGTTTTCATTAACCGAATACTTTTATTTGGAAAAACTATCGAATAGGTCGAACGCGATCTACGATTAACCATCAAATAGTTCTATAGTAACTATTCGATTTTGTTCATCTCAAGTAATTATTACGTAGTTTATACCACGTGTTTGGTTGTGATGTATGTCTATAATGTTTTATTTGATTCGTAGGTATACAGAAGCAATAAGTCATAAAGGTATTTATATATTTTATACTAATCGAATGTGATATTTTTTTATATTCGTACAATTCGAGAAAATATACCAATTATTATTCATTTTTAATTCAGGTGTTCGTATATTATGTAACATATTGGAAATTGTCAAAAATCGAAAACAATATTGTTCAAACTAGACATTTATAGATTTTTGTATAGAAAATCGTGTTGTTTTTAATTTTTTTAGTTGCGGCAAATCGTTTACAATTTTTACAAAGGAATTCCTACACGACTCGTGTTTTTTTAGAAACTATAGCGCGTTTAAAATTTGGAAATCTCTGTCGTCAATTAAACATCTGATATAGCAGAATAAAATTAGCCATCTCTTTTGAAGTATACTTTTTATGATATGGTCACAATAGACGTTCTTGGTATTAAACTATTAACTATAACCTATCGGAAGTAAGAGTAAAATCGAACGTCCTCATTCTTAAGATAAAAATCTACAATCTTATATTTGTATTGTACGCGAATTTTGGCACTAGATCATATTGTTAATGCCAAATTACAATGAACTGACAAAGTGGCCAAAGGCGTTACAGAGTGGATGACCAAATAATAATCTCATTTTGGCTTAAACGTTATTCACGGTTGTGTTTTCATAATACATTCTAAATTAATGAATCTCTTGTTGTATAATTGTATAGTTTATAATCAGCTATACGAATATATGTTGATAATTAAACGTTTGATAGTAATATATATATATAATTGTAGAGCTCAGATTTTTATACGCATTTAAAAATCATAAAATACGCCAGGAATATATGGAGGGGTTTATTTTTTATATCTACTTACAAACATGCCCTTAAAACCAAATTGGTTTTAAAAAAAAAGTAAGACATTTTTTTTTCCTGTACTCGTTTAGAAATTAGTAATAATTTTTATATCTATTGGATAACCATTTTAGGTAGATATAGTTACCTGAAAAAAAATTAAGTTCAGTTAGGTAATGTAAATTCTTATTTTCCGGTCTTATAAAGGTGTTGGAAACAGTTTTCCACATTTTTTTTTTAATTTTGTTAAATGTGAAAAATTTTTATTTTTTTTAATACACCACCTTTTTCTCTAATTCACTACTCGATACCCATTTAAGGGGAATATATAGAGGTACCCTGGGTAGAATGCAGAACTTAATGTTTAAACTCAATTGTGCAGCATTTATTTAATGTAAAGCTCCGAATTCTCAATTGATAAATACTTAGATAACAATATAAATAACAATTAATTTGAATGATCAAATAAATAATTAAATTACTTATATTTTACTTTATAGTTAGAAAAAAAAATTGAAAAAATTACCCCATTCTATCCATACTCCAGGGTAGAAAGAAGTATGTGTATAAACTTTTTAATATATTATATTATCTTTTTGAAAAAAAAGTTTTTATTTTTATTCATTAATTATTTTTTAAACAATATTTACATGTATGCCAAACTTTATCATCCTATCGCTTTTTATTGATTTAAATCATTTGAAAAATAGGTATGTTTCAACCCCCTGAAGTTGAGTATGTAGTTTATATTCCCTCTAAAATTATGAGTAACTGTAATATTTTCATTAATACAGAATACCTACAATTTTCGTTTTTACTAACATAATATAGCGTAACTAATTCTTCAAAATATGCAAAAACACACACTAAAAAAATACCGTATGCAGTTTATTTATTCGTGATCTTATGAACCATCGTATACCCTTTACAATAAGATATGCCAAAATTGACATAAACAATATGTCCGAACTCAAAAAAATAGTTATTAAAGTTTAATAATATATATATATTTTACAAAGAAAATGAAAACAAAAACATAAGAATAATTGTATAATCCTTTGCTATAAATGGTTATACATTATTTTAAATGGTTATTATATATAGTATGTATAGTATATCAAAGTATTTATCTTATGTATACCTACTAGACATTTTTTTCTACTCTTTTGAAAATCTATGGATCTTCCATCGGCTTTTGCAATCCGTGAAGGTCCTTTTCTGCTTCTCCCACCTCTCTCTGCCTTTCTTTGTCATCTATTCTTGTTCCTAGGAGATTTCGGCAAAATCTGACTTCACGCTGTCCATTCATCTCTTATCTAGGACAATCTCTGCACATGATCGACCTATTCTAACCTGGCTTTTTAAATATGCACTGATAATGGATTTTCAAAATAGTTGGTAATTTTTTCGTTTGCTTGTTTAACTATATTTTTCACTCTATATTTTACGTTAATAATATATTCGTTCATATTTGGCCAGCCTCAAATAGTTGGAATGAAGTTGAAGGAGCGGATATTCGTAATATTTTTTTTTTCAAATATGTGCATTTTTTCACGTCAATAACGCAACTTTTTGTGGAATGTGCTTATGAACGTTTTATAGCTAGTGCACTATCTATCGTATGCTATGCCAGAAAAAGTAACGATCAATTTATAATAAATACAGATGAGTGAAATAGGCGATATTTTGGTGATACATTATAATTGTTTTAAAATGCGGTTTGCATATTATTATAAATGACAAAATAATTGTTGTATTTAAAATATATGTTTTTATTCTTAAACGCGCTCAGAGAATTTGCTACTGGTCTGTAGTGTCAATAAGGTTGGTAAACACTGGTAAGTATACACTGAGAAAAAAGTGATTGATTATAGGAATAATATGTGGAGGACGGTAGTAAGAATAGTTGACCCCACTTGCGTGGTATACATTGAAGAAGAAGAGGTTTCTGTAGGGGTTATCTCCTTACATACTTACTAAAAAAAATAAATATTTTTTCAATTAATTACTCGACAATGACTATTATTTAATATTCTATGAGAAAATTCACGAGGTCGCCTTGTTAGTATTAAAATTGTATTGTTTATATTATATTTATTGTAATTTTTTTTTAAAAAACAAATAAAAATTCTGTTCATTTTTTTTAGCATAAAAGTATTTATACTTCCTTTATATTCAAGACTTAACTTTCGAGAACTTCGTAAACAATAAATTTTGTTGATTTTTACGAGGAATAGACACTAAATAAACGTAAATTAAGTGGAGTGAAAAAAGGTTTCTAGATGTCTTGTCTACAGTTTGGCGTAGTTTATGTTGTTCTACAATCTTATTCGTGTATAATGTATAACGTAAATGGATTATAACAATTCTAACAAGACTAAAAATTAATTAAATATCTTACTACCATAGCATTATAACGTTTTTATCAAAATGTATAAACCAAATAAATGTTATACATTTTATAACATAAAATTCATTCCTAATTTTCGATTTTAAAAGCAAGCTAATATTATGATAGAATTAAAAAAAAAACTTAACTGTTAACAAACTATATCTTAATAGTAGGTACCTGAAAATATCCGAGTACCTTTACTCGTTAATTACCTGGGCTATAAAAATGATTTCTATAAGTGAATCTTAAATCTAATACATAATTACTCGTGTGTATTAGTTAGTGTAGAAATTATTATAAAATTTCTCAATCTGTTCAAGCCGTCTCAATCTGTTAATTTACTGTGTTAAGTATACAAATTAAAACCAGAATAATCCCGGGTATACGTATACTTAAGTATAATATTATACGTGCGTGTTATAAAATGTATGTCCAAATAAAAACAATTTCACGAACAGCTTGCTTCCATCATATTATATTCCCATGCTTCTATGAACAATTATAAAATCTTTCTGATAAAAACGTTAACACGTTCTTGTCTATACAGTTGTGTATTTATGAGGATGTTGATTAGAGAGATATAATATCTCCCCCCTCCCATTTGACCTTGTTTTATTACCTATAACTTATGGCTACCTATTTTATAAATTCAAATTTATTTACTTTTCAACTGGAAAAAAACCTGAAACTAATGTTTATTTTCACACAAAACCAATCCTAATCACTTTAATATGATACCTAGACTTCGATTAGTATATCTAAATAGTAAATAAACTAATATTATAATAATTATTAATACTATTGTAGCTTATAATCAATAATATATCTAGTAACTGTATGATACACTTATTTAGTTTTAATAATAATTTATGGACAAATTAAACTATAAATTACTTATAAAAATTAAAAATTAATTAATAATTAATTAATCTTTTTTTTTTTAGCGTAGAAACACACATAATAATGTGTGTATATAATATATTTACCATTTACGGTGTAATGCAATTTCCAAATTCAATATCTCCCTCCATCATTGTGTCTTAACTTGTAATAATAATAATTTTTAATATATGCACTACAATTACCAAAACTATGATCAAAAGAAAAATGTAGTGATACAAAAATTTGAATTTATTATTAACAAATTAGAAAAACCATTATAACCTATATTTGAGTTAAACAAATTTTTAAATAATAATATTAAACCTACTAAGGCTATCAGCTCGTTTGCTGACATTTATGAGTCTTGACAAATTTATCTCGATTCTTTGAGTTGAATATTATGCTTTAAAAACGTACAAAATCCTTAAATATTATACCCTAAAAATTTAAAAATTATCTATATGCAGTAGTTTTGTATCGAAAAATTGTTAGATCACGAAACACGTTTTGCTAAAACTAATCATATTTGTTTGACCAATCAATGAAAATATGCAAAAATGTGTAAATATCCTCTCTAATTATTAATATTATGTACATTGTACCTATACAAATAATTAACATGTTCGAGGTGGAAAAAAAACATTTTACATTATTTTTATTTTTGTATTTCTATTAATCGAGCGTCATTTTCGAATAATAATTATTATAATAATATACCTATCGTAAAATCGGTTACTGTTTTTTTTTTTTTTTTTGAAAGTGATCCGCAAGAATCACTACATCAGTGACAGAGAGTAGTTAGGTTATGTACGTCCCCTCCAGCTGTGGTGTAGTGCAGGCACTCCGCCGGCGGAGTGTATTCGTTTCTGCACTGGTTTCAAGCTTCAGTAGGTTAGTAAGTGTCGTTCGCTCCGTACCTCGAACGCGCCAGTCGCTCCGCCGCCCCGACCATGCGATTATAACAGTATAGACGTCGTTATTTCCTATATTTTTATTATTAATATCGTAAGGTCCGCACGTGCAAATAGTTCATTATTATATTATACAGTATATCCGGATAGTTTTATATTTCGCGTGTGAAGAAAAATAAACGAAAACAATACAATAATATGGCGTAATGTGATCGACGAATTTATTATCGAACACCGCTACCACCATCGTTATGGCGGGTCTTCTGAGGGTACCACAATATCGGCACAGTGGAGGCGGCAGTGGCGGCGGCGAGGACTGCAGCAGGACCGCGGGTCCCGAAGAAGGGATCGATAATTTGTTACTGGTGCCCGAGAGCGTGCTGGACATGGATGGCAATCAACTCCGGGACGACTTGAACGGACTGAGATTCGCTTTTCAAAAACAGTATCTGCAGGCGGACCTCGGGCCCCGGGGAAATATTTGGATCTGTAAGATTAATTATATATACGCGTAATTTTTTTATATATGTTTTTTACTCCAATTCATTATTGCGCGTATGCGATATACGTATGCTAGTGGCCTATATTTAAGGGTGGAAATTATGGAGATATGTCCCTCCCTCTTCTTTTTTTTTTTTTTTTTTGCAATTTTTTCATATTTTAAATCGGAAAAATCAAAAATATATGGGAAATAATCATTAGTATCTAGTTATAACACGATCTCAATAATAATTTTATTTTAGGACGGATTGTATTTTAAATTATATGCGGAAATAAATAAGTTAATCGTCTTTTTTCTTTTTTTTGCCTAGGTATTCACATTATACGATTTTAACCTACGATTTACAAACTCAAAATCATCTCCCTTCTGTTCGGCAAAATCCTAATTGCTCCACTGTAAACAAACGCGTTTTAAGTACGCATACATGGAAATTAATTTTAGTTCAACAATGATATAGGATTGAATTTACGAGTAAAAATGCAGTAAACGGATTTAGAAAACTACGTAAATTCTGTTTTATTATTATAATAATTTGTCCTTTGGTAGTTTAATTCGTGTATTGTATATATTTTTACGGTACAACAAGTAAATAAAAAAAAAATGTATTTTACAATATAATGCTATTATATAAACGGTAAAATGCATTAAAAAGAATTAATTTGTAAATATATGATGTTTAGGCAGGTATCTCACCACGCCCTTTTGTCCGTGAATCCATTTAAGTAATTAATTTAAAAAAAATATATTAGTATATTATTAAAGATACCTTTTTACCTACACGATTACTCAAATGTTACTTAAATGTCACACGAACGATTTTTTTGTTCGCCTGAAAGTAATACACGGTTCTAGACAATTATGGATTTTTCCTGGTGACACTATAAGACACCTCTGCTCATCGTTTACAATTTTCTCTCACGATTTATCATAATTATATTCATTGTACAGAAGTATTTGCTGAATTCACATTATATATCATAAACCTTTTGAACCCAGAATCATTTTTTTTTTTGAATCGGAAACAATACCTGATTAAGTACATAAAAGCGATCGAAAAACTGTCTGTATTTGTAACTTGGCTTAGTCATTTTATGCGGAATCGCCGAGTATATTATCCAAAAATTATTTCTCGTAATTTTGTTTTTTTTCTCGTCTGTAGTATATATTATGCATACACATTTTTTTAGATGTAAAATCGGTTTCCAATTTGCATATTGGTAACGCATTAATTACTTATAAAACAAATATTCTGCAATACAGGTAGCGACAAAAATAAAATATAATATGTTTATTTGTCTCGCATATTATACGAGTTCTTATAATACTACCTATCTTCCTACGTACAAAAAAAAAAAAAACGTGTTGGTATTATTTTCAATTGTCAAAATCATTTTTTTTTTTTGTGTACCTTCATTCATTAAAGTAATTTATTTACTCGGCTAAAACACTTTCGTAAAATATATTATACACCATTATGCGTGGTTGTCATCAGTGAACTCTTAACTTTATAGAGGCTACTTTATGTTATTTTATTTATGTATATAGAACTCGATTTTAATAAACTGTATAAATCCGTTGTTATTGGCAACTTTGAACAACGCGTACGTGTCAGACACGGTTTTGTGATTAATATTTTTTTGTAACCGACAGATTTTTCAAATGGACATAGTTCCTTTTTTTTTCTATAATAGCGTTTATACATATTGAAAAAAAACCCTAACCATGAATTTTTTTACTTATATGCCTATACTATATTATTTTTTTATTTCGAGACTGAAATTGACACGTACATCTATTGTTAATATTTAGGCCGTATCGTGCAATAAACCTATTTAAATGACCATCCAAAGTATACGATGCCCTAATTAACTATAACATATAGGTAGTACTTAGTCACAATTTATTTTTAAAAATAAAATAGCTGTTTCTACTAAAGGGTGTGCCACTATTATTTTAGGATGGAAATTAGAACGAATAATTTATAAATTAATTTAATTTATATCTGTACGAAATGAAATACGATTCTGATGAAGGTATTATCAATCGTATTTTCCCCTTGTTATCTGCAATATAACCCAGAAATCAACAAAAATTATGCAAACAGTTGCCATTTTTTCCTATTTGTTATGAAAACTACAAGAAAAATCAAATTGACCTGACCTCTTCAATGCACTAACTAGGTCAAAAATACTATAAGAAATTTCCTATAAAGTTTTTGGTGGAAAATTTGTTCACAGACAACAAAGATCATATAGTAAAATCAATACATTCCTTGCTACGTTCAGAATCTAAATATATTTATCATATCACTATAATTGACTTAAAATACTTACGCGTATTCAGCTGTAACGTAATCCGTTTTTTATTATTATTATACTCGTTCCTAAAATATTATATATAATATATTTTCATTTTTGAACTCTTGACATTTATGTTTTGGATTTTGTACCATAATGTGATCATTTTTTGTCTTGTCTGTAAACCACTTTTCTACCAGAAATCTGGTTTTGATCTTGAAGTGTAGTAATCTTTTTCGACAGCAAATTGTGTCTGGTTGGCGCGTCAGGAAATATTATTTTAAATATTTCATAGTAGTTTTTTTTAACAAGTCTTTTATTTTTGATTTTTTTTTTTTGGTAGTTCGATTAAAAATAATCGTAAAGTCTTGAAGCATTTTCTCAGAATACTTATATTAGCTATTTCCAAACGTGGGGAAATTTTAAATTAATAACTCAAAATCAGAATAATGTTTTGATTTTCAAACAATTTCTAAACATTATAGCAAATTTAAGCTATTTATTTGAAATGTTCGTGTTTTTGTTTGGTTATTTTATATAGATAAAATTGTTTTGTCTGAGTAGAAATGCTTGAAAATTTAACACAAAGTTCATCATAAGTTGTATTTATTGGAAAAATAAATTGAGCGTAATGAGTAGTTTTCTTTTTATTTTACAATTTACATAAAAATCGTAAAAATTACGGCATTTAGAAAAGCTTATTTGTTCGAACTTTGCCCAGAACCGTTTTTCATTAACAATAATTTGCCATAGCATTTACTTATGTCAATGAAATAATTGTATACATATTCTACCTTCCCAACTTCTCACTTACAACAGTGGCATACCCGTCAACAGTATCAACTCTTTTTTCAAAATGATTACATTTTTTTTCTCGACATTTCTATTTATTTTTTCTCGGTTCTTTACAAGTAGCTTACATTTTATCGTACGTTTTATATCGTTTACCTACACTATTTACCCGCACAGTTTATACAGTGCCTAATGCAGTTAAACTATTCGCACAAACACCTGGTCGCACCATAAAGAACTCCGATAATTACATCGACAATTATCATTTAAATTTCCCGTGTTTTTGTTTTCATTTTGTTGTTTTGTGTATATTATCTAAAAAAAAAAACCGGCAGTTCGTTTATAAATTGTATTTAGAAATCGTTCAACATGATTTCGGTACGTCTAAATATAAAATAATCTTTTAAAACGTATAACCGTCGTAAAAATCTGATATGGCTGTCGAACAAGGCTATTGTAATAATATCAGTAATAATAATCATAGTATAATGATATTCGGCACTATAATAGGATACAGCTAAAAATTCGTACGCACTATGTTTCATTATTATTATTTGTGTATTTTTTTTTTTTTTTTTATAGCTATTCCAGTAATACATATATGTATATAGGTATATAGGTACGCATAGTAATCTGCAGGAACTATAATAATAACAAACAATTGACTGAACACTTTTGAGGTAAAGAAAATAAAAAATTACGCAATTCGCACGATCGAGTAATTACCGTCATTTTTGTCAGTGAAAGTGTAACTATGCCAAATTACGTTTACAACCCGTAACGACAATATCCCCCGCGAATCAAAAGAAACAGCGCGACGTTTTGTAACTGTTCGTTAAAAAGACACACACAGTATAACATTATATTACGGTTAGATGTGTTGTCGGGATTTTTACACCGATCGTACGTTTTCCGTCACAATAAACGCGGCGGCGGCCGCGGATATTTCATAAATTTTCAGCAAACGACTGTTATACATACGCAATAATAATTATATTATGTTTTTATTATTATTCGGTATATTATATTCTTCGACCTTCGACTTGCCGTTATTGAACGAACCCTGACGCGAAGATTGAGATTGAGACGACTATATAATTATTTTCATATTTATACTTATTATTATTATTATTATTATTATACAAATAGGTATGCATTAGTTTTTGGACGTATAACAAAGAAAATGTAATATTATATATACTTTACCGAAATAGTATCTCACAGACGGGTTACCATACGGAATGTAATATTGCCGTAGTATGAGCTCTTGAGAGGGTCGGTCAAAGCTGATCACCTACTAGTTAAAAAAGTTGAGTAATTATATTTCAGTATCATTACTGCATAAATATAGTTGGACAAGACGTTTTCACGGAATCTTATCATGTTTCATAAACGCACAAATTATTGTTTAAAAGACGTGCACATGTGCTGGCAGTGTTTAATGACCATTTTTATTTCGTAATGGTCGATTAAACTGTGTCAATTGTTGTTATGAAGAGAGAAAAAAGCTACGTCTACCATAGCTATGTATGTAGAAAGTAGTCGGTCTTCCCTTACTGTTGCATTTTTTTTTTTTTTTTTAGTTAATTGATGGTCAATGACCACATCGTGTAATTCCAGGTCGTGTATACATACAGATCGTTTTTGATCTGGAAGGTCATTGTAGTGGAATTCTTTAACCGCCGTCATCTCATGCGTGAGTTATTTTCGGTCAGAAAACTAAATACATTTACTATCGTGGGTTTTTGTAATTATTTTATGCGTATCGTATCCGTGGCCGGCATTTTTGACCGAATCGTTTTTACGGTTCCTTAAGACCCTAATGTAATATAAAATGTTATACGTGGTGCAATCGAAAATCCGTATAAGGTATTAGAATTCTACAATTAACCGTTAATTTTTTTTTTCTACACAGGTATTCCTGTCGCCGTCATATACGTGATAGGTATAGTATTATGCATACAACCGTTTGACCTCATTTTATAAAATCAACGCGGTCGGTCGAATCGAAATAAATATTTGCGATTTTTCGCATTTAAATTAAATATATATATAATATACACGTTGTCCGCTGTAGGTAGGTTTTAATTATAGTTGTCTGGATCACATGCGCATTTTCAATTATAATAATTTCAAATCGGTTAGAAGTAATTCATTTTTTGGTACATTTAGACCAATAACCAGGAATAAATATATAAACACACTCCCAGTGGTCTAAATTCTGTTTTGTAAAATTATTTGACTTCGTGTATCTTTTTTATTTATTTTATATTATAATGGATGGGCGTCCAATATACAGGAACACGTTTGAGTATGACAGAAGAAAATATAATTACAAAGACTTGACAATGAATGATGCGTCCCTGTTTGTGAAACGCGTCATCCTTATAATTGCGAATTCTGGTGGTACGACGTAGGGGAGCGAGGTAATTTGAAAATAGCAATGGATCTGGGGGAATAAGAAGGGATGTTAAAGTTGACAAGGGATAGTAAAACCAGGAAAATTTATCTTACGGACATGAGGTATTAGAAAAATATTCCAGTTTATTAGTCGAAAACGTCTTATTATGAACGAATGTCCATGAAAAGGGTACTATCAATAAGATGATCATTAAAAGTCAAAATTTAATTTTCAAATTCTGCAAAATTGAGAACAATATTTGGAAAACTGCTTCTAACCCCTTAAATAAAACAAAAACTACGAGCGACACTCTCTATACTACCTCTTTGTGTACATCATATTTGATACTTGTGATAATCCGGGCAGTAGTTATATATTTTATTTGTTAAAATTAAAATTGTTTTACGGTCATCAGTAGCTCGGCTATTCCATAATGTTATATGAACGTTTATTCGTTTTTAACGTTTATACGTATTAAGAAGAAAGCTGCATCTAGGGCACGCCTTGTGTTCTTATAGGTTATCAAATAGGACATAATGTCTAGCTGCGGATTGAGCATCACTAATGCGAAAATATTATGTGTACACATAGGTATAATATATAGGTGAATTAAAAGTGAAAGTTTGATGAACTTCGGGATCATTAAATTGTATGTACAATATAGTTTTTTAGTTTTTAATTAAAGCATAATATATGTATCGCGGATGTATTTATAAATTATATGTATAGATAAAAACGTGTCGCATATTTGCATTTGAGAACACTATATATAGTATGAAACTAAAACAAAATAACTTTTTAATGGTCAATCTACATCTCGTTCCCACCTATGATAACTACCATTGGCCGGGTGACGATGACGTTAACTTATGCTGAATTATGTTATAATAAATTATTATAGTTTAGCCACTTTTCGTATTTCCTCCTCGCATTGTACAGTTAATTCTTTAAATTAAAGATAATTATAATAAATTTTATATATATATATATTTATTTATTTTTTAACTATAAATCTTTAATCCCGTGTAAAAATAGCTTACGTCAATTATTTTATTTTTTTTATTATATAATAATTTCCCCTTTATTCTTTGCTCTAATTGCCATAAGTTTTAAACATTTTACTGAAACTAAAAAAACCTAAGTCACAATGATGCACTTTTCGTTTGGCAAAAAAGCATTTTGTCATTTAGCAATTTTCAAAATATAATTTGTTTGAATTGAAAACTACATAAAATTGACTTAAGCCCTTTTTGTCTGGGATCAAAGATATATAATTAGGCACTTTAATTTAAAAACAATAGATGGTAACGAAGCAGTTTTCTATCTCTAAAATACTTACCGATTCGAAAGAAAAATAAAACGTAATTAATTATTATCGTTAATTATTTCAATATTGCCTCAGCAACAATAATTGTAAACAACAATACGTGTCAAATAAAATAAACTTTTTTGTTGTCAGTGCCTATATTATATAGATAGGTACTTACTATTTTTATTGTATAAAATCCTTGAATCCGTAGTTGAAAATTTAACTATAAATTCAATGAACTTTCGAGGACGTTGTACTTGATACAAAACTATGTGTATTTATTTGATTTATCTTTGTAGTATATTATTATAGGAAATATTTAAAAAGCATCGAATCGCATACCGGTAACGCCTTAGAATATATAATAATACAATCGATATGTATATCGTATCATATATTATGTATTATAGACACTATTTTAGATTCTAAATATATAAATACTAATTTAACGATGCGTGTGCGTTTTTATTTTCAGTAAAAAAAAAAAGAATATTGCTTCGATAATGTATGTATATATATATTGTGTGTGGGTAGTAGTTATAGATTAGACATTTTTGAAATTTCTCCGCTACTATACAGTTCAGTCGTGTATGCGTGGAGCGAATGTGGAAAACTTGAAAAAAATACATTTAGGTCTCTTGTTATAAAACTAGCGTTATTCTCCTAAGGCTAAAAAGCGGCTCATCCAAAAAAAAAAAAAAGTGGCCCGTCTAAATTGCGGAATGTGCATCAGTAATAGTACAACAATAATAATAGAACACCCATAATAATATTAATATACTCTGACCATACTGTTTGGTTTTTATACTCGCCTATACTCTTCGCTCTTCTGAACAAAAATTCCATGTACAGTCGTATAATGTAGAAAAAAAATTATAATGGGCGGAATTCCAGTTTTGGGCACTATATAGCTTATAATCGTTCTACCTTCGGTGTGTACAGGTTTTCGATGTTATAATATACTGTTGTTTTTATATTTAATTTGAACGCCAAAAATAGAGAAACTCAATTAGCTCGAACCCCTTTTTTTTTATTATTATTATTATTGTTATTTTATATGGTTTTTCATATCGTTTATAGTATTATAATACTGTGAATAGATCATATTTATAATATATATTTTAAGCTCTGATCAAAGTGAGAATTATTATACTAGGTCAACCATAATATATGTTTTTTTTTTTTTCTGTGTCTGTGAACATCTCTTCTATCAGAAATCTTGCTCCAATCTAAAACTTTTAAGGAACTTTCTTGTATCACTGATCTAGTTGGTGCATTAAGTCTTTTTTTCTCTCACTCTTGGATATGTCTTTATTTTTTGTAGATTTATGAATTATTTTGGCAACAAGGGAAAAAATGTGACTAATTGTAATACTCTGTCCATAATCGTTTTTCGTTACCAATGGTTTATTGTTGAATATTATAATATCTATAGTTTTCAATTTTGTTTGTTCCTCTGTATAATAATAAAATTACCGTATTTTGGTTAAATATTTACCGGGGGTAAAATTACATACATACACTCATTGTATAAGATTAATTCGCTTCGCTCGGAATTTAAATGTAACGATATTTCATAAAAATAATATAATACAATGCAATACTAAAAAAATAAAAAATAAAAATTTAAAGCGAATCGTTTACCGACGTTAGATGATGGGGAGTTGTGTTCACCACAATATTTCTCTGCACTTAGAATACTGTACATCGTGTGGAATTTGACGCGCGGTTTTTGTTCACAATGCAACATAAATATTATTATATTTTCGTAAAATAATAAAAAAAAAAAAGTCGATTTTGAGAGAAAATATTATTTAATGATATTTTATAGTGACGGAAAGAGTGGTTGAGATTCCTTTCTTTATATTTTGTGAACTATATACAATAAGTACTTACTACACACTTTGAGAATGGCGGGAACGAAAACAAAATATTTTATTATACGTAATTTGTAGTTCCCGCAAGAGTATTTTTTATCATAATATAATCGCAGTTTAAATAAGTCTGTAGTAAACTTATTATTTACAAGAATAAAATATCTCGAATAACATTCCCTTCGAATATAATTGGTATTGTATAGGTGTAGAGCAGTATAGTACGGAAGTATACTACGCGGTGCAGTTAATAAGAAAGACAAATTAAAGTGTCAACTTAGGAGTTTAAACGTCAAATAAAACAAATTCGTTACAGGCACATTTCTCCCAATTGTTATTTCATTACAGCTGATTATTATATGCGCATATGTGTACTTAAAGTTATTGTTATTTTAAATAATAATAATTAACAACGATGTTTATCCGGATGCGCATTTAAAGACTCAATCCCAGTTTGGCCCAGGCAGTGAAGTAAAGTGTTGGTTTTAACAATTTTACAAAACATAGATATTAATCTGCTTGTTGGTTCAACCCAGTACTGCTCCAAGAAATTCAGTATTCTAAGTGTAAACCTGAGACCTACTATAAAATACTTATTACCTAGTCTATAAAAATCCACCATACGATTTTGGATGAAACAAAAAGGAAATGGTAAAACGTATAATCTATGCTTAATGGTTCAAATCCAATAATGCTGCGAGGGGAAGCATATAGTGCCCTGAGTGTAAACCTAAAACCTATAGACCCTAATCGATGAAATTCCTTGTATTAATATAATATACTGCTTGTGCCGAACTTGAATAGGAACCGTAAATACGCCATCCGAATACCATTAGTGGAATATCGCGTATCTTATACTAGGGATGTCTTAAACTTTAAAATAAATCCCTGGCTCAAGAAGAGTATCAATAATCTCCGTCTGTAGTCGGAAAGTGTGTCGAAATATTTTCAAATCGATTTTTGTACCCTGCTAATCAATGGTACAATAACTACTTGGCCTTGTATAACTCTCCAAGAGTCTTAACCGCTACTGTCAAAGCCGTCCGTCTTTCTCTGTTCTGAATAGTTTCCTTCCGATGTTCTTAAATCTTGGGTTACCCCGTCGAACCATCGATTCCTTGGTTTCGGGTTTTTTTTTTTTTTTTTCCAATTAACGGTTGATATTCTACGGCTGTCCTCGCAGCCTTCATATCTTTGCATAGCGCGTCTAGATGTACCTTTGGAGAATCAGTTACCTACGGAATTTCTCAGATTCCGGCGATCGTCCTTCTACGCCAGCGCCCTAATTCGTCGTCGTATAACGTAATAACGATCGCGGATAATGGCTGTGGACGTTTTCTGTGAAATTCGCGTTACGGGCAAAATATAAATTGTTTTGGTTGTTTTTCGTTTCGGGAACGGTCGCCAATAAATAATGAAAAACGAGGACTTCGTAATACCGACCGAAAGCCGTATAGCCGTATAGAACACTTAAAATACGACCGATTTCGAAGACCGTGCAGAAATCGTTGTGTGTACATTGGAGCAGTGTGCCGACGGTTTATCCGGAGCGTATAACAATTATTATTATTGAAGTCTCCTGAATCGTCGGCGTCGACGGCGGACTCATCAGCGCGGTACGACCCGTTTAAAAATAAAATAAAAAACGAAACACTAAAGCGGTGAACAATAATATTAATAATAATAATAATAATAACGCCGTTTCGCGAGAGCGTTGTTCGTGATGGATTATGGCACGCGCAGCCGCGCGGTAATTAAGTACCTAATACGCGTGTCCGCACGCCTTGTATACGCCCGAATCGAAAACAAAGGCAACGAGAGTGGCGGAAAAAAAAAAAATCGCCAATTACCGAAGAAAATGGTAATTATTAAGAGCGTGTTCGCGCGCGGTCAAACGGATATGTTATGGGTTTTTTTTTTTTTTTTTTTTATTTTTTCGTTTTACTTTTTTCGTTGTTTTTTTCCGCTGTTGTTCCGGCGCAACCGCTTTCGTCGTGTCCACGCGCGCGCGTCATGCGTACGGGGCCACCTCCGCGTGTGCGGCGAACTGGTGCGGTGCGCTCGTACGGAATACGCCGTGTGTGAGCGGTTCGAGAGGACGACGGCCGAGTAGTCTTTTTTTATTGCTTGTCGTGCGCGTATGTATGTCAGTCGCGCCGTCGTCTCGTTAACGTCGGTCGTCGTCGTCGTCGTAAATGCAATGCTCCGCGCCCGTTATCGCGCGAAACGACTATAATAACAATATTATCTTCACCGCGGAGACATTTCCCCGCGCTACGCCGACCGTTCCGGGCGTGTGTGTGCGCCGGTCGCCGCCCGCGGCACCCCTCGAACGTGCCGTTTGAACCTGCCGTCTCGCCGTTCCGTGCCGCGTTCGCCGCACGTCCAGCTCCATGGAACGTCCGCCGGAACCGGTGCTCCGATCGTGTTTTCCCGCGAACTCGCAGTACCGGGCGCACCAGGCGCCCCCGTCGCCGCCGCCCCGCGGCGCGCACGAGTCCGCCGCGCTGTCCGTCCTCCGGGGCATACTGGTGTCGTCGCTGCAACAGTCGTCCGGCGGCAACGGCGGCAGCAGCAGCCTCGACGACCCTGTGCCGCCCGCCCGCCACGTCCCACCACGGCTGCTGCAAACGTCGTTGTCATCGCCGCCACCTCCGCCGCAGCGCGCGCGCCGTCACGTCACGTTCGATAACGACACCGCATCGACGATTACGGCGACGGTCCGCCGCGACAACGCCGACCACGGTACACACATCGATGACGATTGACGATTATTTACCGTTGGTCATAACAAATAATGTTTCATTATTGTAACGCGTTATTATTATCTCGGGACTGAGGTCCGATTCAGGAGGTAGGGGACGGTCAAGGTATATTGACGTCAGCTGGTATTGAGCAGTGTTTCTCAACCTTTTTAAAGTTGTCCGGCCTCTCGGGTAGCGAAAGATTTTTCAACGCCTCCCTATGTGTAAATCCCGTTGTAAAGGGTGCGGCAAAGAATAGGTGGACCGCGGTATTTATTGTACCTGAATTATAAAAAAAAAAAAATTTAACTAACCGTGAAAAAAATATGTTTTAATTTTGTTCCATGACTGCTCGTCGTATTGCTCGTCTAAAACGAAAACACGGTCGTCGCCTCCTCTACCGCCCGAAATAAGTTTACACGGTACCTTTCCGCCGACCCTCTAGGGGCGTATTGTTTCCGATAATATAGGTGTGGCGGTCGCATAACAGTGCGTTTAGACGCCAAAAATTATACGGCGAAAACCGTTTTGTGAACAGCTGTTTGTAATTTTCACTCGAACGTGTTTTTTTTTCGTTCGGGGTCATATATGGACATACGTATACGTATAATCGAGAGTGATGCGTGGGAAGAACCGGATTCATTAGCGGCCGTCCGTCCGTTCTGTCAACCGTAATTTTGCAAAACAAAAAAAATAACCTAACCTCGAACCTCCACCCGGTCGAGTAGAATCTATTTATTCTTTGAACGATAATAATATTGTGTTTTCGAATTCCGACGTTTTCCGATCGTTTGAGCGCAATTTTTACTATTTGTACAGCCCTCTTGACCGCCGGCCCCTCCGCCCTTCCCTCTCCCCCCCCCCTCCTTTGAGACCGTAGATATTTATTAATATATATTTAACATTAATGTATGGAGGTCGAGGGCGGTCTTGGTCTCCGGGCGGCCTTTAAAACAACGAACGATGACGATGCCCATATACGAGACGTTTAATCGAACTTTCGCGATGAGTCACCGCCGCCGCAGTGCGTTCAGCTATTATTATCCTACAATAATCGATTGTTCTGATATTATTGTAACGTCGTATAACGTTTCCGATCGGCTTGGTTATCGGACGATTCGATCGGTTTCTCGTCGCCGCGGAGGAGTTACGATTCGTGCGATTCTCTCGACTCCCCCAGTGCGTACGGACCGCTCCGCCGACGACGTTTTGTCATGTGCGCGTGCGACCGTATTCACTATAGGAGGTACGCGTTGATATTCCGGGCAGTAGGGGCGGCATCGGGAAACGGCATACACAGATGGCGGTTACTGTAAGAGATGTGCCGATTCGCGGTTACCGCGCAACGGTTCGTTTATGCAATACATTTTTTACTGTATACGTGCGTCTGTACGCGTTTACGCGGTTTATAAGCCGGCGGTCGGTGCTGCTGGTGGTCGAATCGAGAATCGTATACCTCTGGGTAACCCACACATAATAATAATTCTGTCCAATATAGTCATCGTCATCGTTGTCCGGTATAAACAACGCAGAGTTCCGTGCGGCGACGCGTGACCATAACGTCCGTAACCAGATTATATATATATTTTATAATGGAATTACAATAATAATAATAATAATAATAACGACGACGACGACGGTACATTCGGTTTAAACCGAAAACCGCGTACGCGTACGGTAAACTCGGCGCAGAGCGTACTCTTTATACAGCAGTTTGCGGTGTGTGTCGGGTATACGACGGCGGAAGAACAAAGCTCCGGCCGTAGGCAGTGATTTTTTTTTTTTTCCTAGTTTCCTAGGAGTGTTCGGCCGCGGCCGCTGTACTCGTGAAGGTCGTGACCGCCATGATGTCATGTTTTTTTTTTTTTTTTCGCTCTCCATCGCTCGCACATACCGATGTATTATTATTATTATTATTATTATTATTGTTGTTGCTGTGTAGGTATTCCGCGGTAGTGCGAAAAAAATAAATAAAAATAATAACAATGATAAACGCGGCGAAAATCTCGTATAAAAACCAGGTACAAATTATTTACGGCGTACACGTATTCTAAGTGCGAAAGTGTGTATCAGTAGTTGTGCACTTTTGTGTGTAATGCGCGATGATAATAATATTATAACGCACGAGTTTGCTCGCGATATTTACACGAATAACCGTATTACGAATAGAAAAAAAAAAAGTTTTTATATATTTATTGTTTTCTTTCTACTTGACGATTCGCGCGAGAGTTACTCTCGTATGTGTTTATTCGGTCCGCGTGTACTACAAATGTTTTATTTTTCGTACGACGAGTCTCGTGAAATGCCTGCACGAGAGTGGGCGCGGACTTGGCGCACGTAAATACCCACTCGAGTATATTGTCCGCGGCAGATGATACGCAATAGATACGTAATATTATATTATCGGGCGAGTTAAATTATTGAGCGCAGTACGTGAGCGCACGCGTTTGGCGGATTGCATTTGTCGCTGCGGCATTTGTTTGGCAACAAAACTGCAAACTCTATAGAATTATTTAATCATGTCGCGTGTGTAAAATTTAACAATACAGTGTACACTTTCTGCTTGTTTCCAACGGGCCTTTGAGATCGCATTATACCTAGTGTAAAGAAATCATGCGAAACTGTAGTCAAGAGAATGTATTCGGTAACCACTATAAATTCGGCTGTGAGCCATTGTCGGGTGACATATTATGAAGGGTACAGTGGAAAAACAGAAAATTCGTTTTTCAATCTGCGAAAACCGCGTTTTCAATTTCGAAACGTAACGATTTTTTTTGTTTTCTCCAAAGTATAAAGTCCGAATTAAGTTAAACGTTGAACTTCAAAATGTATTAAACATAATTCAATTTTGTTAGTAGCAATGCGCGATGAGAACAATCGCACTGAAGTGTCTAAAGTATAACAGAGAAATCATTTATATATTACTAATCTTAAGTAACTTGTGATTTTTTTTTTCCCCTGTATCTTTCATACATTATTAAATAACAAAAAAAAATAGCCGATTCTGAGAACGAGTGCGGCCACTGATGTAGGTGGATAATTGGAAAGCTATAGGATACATAAAGTTATTTTATTATTCGTGTAACCTACGATAAACCATTGCTAACGAAAAAATGATTCGGAGTTAAGTTCGGTTATAAATGTTTTAAAAGGCCGTAATTTTTACGGTTTTACACTATTATCGACAAGTATAAAATTACTATTTTCTTTAAAACCATCTTTCAAACCAAAAACTCCTCTGTCTAATTTCTATCCTCCACAGTCTCTTCGCATTTCACTCGGGTTTCCGCCGCTCCTACATCCCTATAACAACACAATCTTCCACGAGGTCTTCGTAGTAATCGCTTTTCTGTTAGGTTTTTTTCGATTACAAGCATTCTTCTCGCTAAAATGTCTTTTAGTGATGCTGGATGTTGAGAACAATCCCAGATTACCTACCTGCAATAATCTATTTTATTTTTATACCCACACAGACGAATGATTTTTTAATTTTTTTTTTTTTTAGCAGGAGTGACCACCGTTAACTCTGACAACCGGCCAAGTACCGCACCAACACCACCTCAGAATTCTTCAAAAGGTAACGTTTTGAAATCTTATGCAAACAAAAAATTATAAAAACGAAACAGACGTGTAATGTTGTAGTGATCTGCGGATTGGATAAAGTATGAATAATATTTCAGAGGTTGTCTATATATATAAATAAATAAATAGAAAAATTGAGAGAGAATATAGACTCAAGTAAGATGAGTGATGGATGAGTTGAGTACGTGGAATCCAAGATGAGGTAGGCAAAAAAAAAATATGGACATAATTCGCACGGTGGGTGGGCCACTGTTATAGGTTAAAAGTTGGGTAGGTAGGATATAGAGAGGAATTTAATGTATATCTGTATATCATCAACGATTTATCATTGCTAACGAAAAACGATTACGAGCGGAGTTCTGTTGTGCATATTTTGAAAAGCCGTAATATTTACGATTTTCGTCAAAATGTAATATTAAAATTCTTATAAAAAAAAAAATAATAATAAATACTACTTACATTGAACTAAATTTTTTCTTGTTGATCACTTTGCATATAATGAATTTTCTGTTAAATAGTCAAGTATTTCTGTTAGTTCTAACAATTTCATCCACAAAGTACTTACTTAATAAATATTACGTACAAAATAACTAACAAAATTTAAATGTTTATAAATAGCCCAAAAATGGTTCAAATGATTTAAAAATCCCCAATGAATATTTTTAACTGGATTTCAACAAAATTTAAAATAATAAAACAATTCATTTTGTAAACTTTTCCGTTATTTTTCTTTTTTACTCGATTATCATAAAAACTACACGGAAAATCAAAAAAGACCTCCCTAATGTACCGACTGGATAAAATTTACCTTCAAAAAAAGGTTCTGCACTTAATACATCGAAGCGAGATTTCTGGTAGTTAAGATTCTCACAAACACAAAAAATACAAAAAAAAAAACACTTGGTAAAATAAATAGATCCCTCGCTACGCTCCGAATCTAAAATGGCTAGCGCTTATTATAGGAAATTATGAAGGTGAGAATGATATGATGTGCAGTAAATGGAAAAAGAAACGTGCAAGGCGAGAATAAACTTACGTGCAATAAATAAAAGGAGAATAGACTAACAATGTACACAATTTGGACTATACATTGTAAATTCTAATGTTTGCACGTTTTAGTGTAATGCGCAGTAGCACTATAAATACATTATAATATTATTGTTTATTTATTATTCACACTTTATACGTATAATATGATAGCCGTAGTAGCCAAAAATTGATTACTAGCAATAATTTATATAATAAAGGTACGTAGTAATAACTTGAGTCGCAAAAAAAAAAAAGTTTATTAAGTCATTTTTTTTTCTCGGATACAAAATATTTCAAAAAAAACTTTTTGGCTACAGTGGTTTTCATGTCATATTTTGGCGCAACTAGACGCAGAGTTACTTGAAAATGAATCAAATAATTCGAAGGGGTCTACGTCAAAATCTTGAACGGCAACACCTTGAACGGCAAAATCTTGATTTTCCATTCAAGATTTTGACGGTCCCCCATTCGGGAGTACTAAAAAAATATTCCGGAAATACTAATAAGTCTCTCCGCCTAATTGCGCCTTTATGGGTCTTCTTTTTTTCTATTTCCTTTTTTTTTTTTAATAAGTGGATTTGAACTTTCTTGACAATTTTGTACAACTATGAAATCTAATTCAATCTGAATAAATTAAACCATCGCAGTATAGACGTCGCCTATTGATTACGCACTTAATTTACTTGCTCGCATATTAGAATCAAACCGACCAACCCCGATTGTGTATTTACTAATCCAGTCTGGATTTGGCCAGCAACGTAACCACTTATCGGAACCTAATAATGCTCCAAAGAAGCATAGTGACCCAGTCAGTTGCAGATCCATTTGCTCTCTAATATACTCTTAGCTTAATTCATCATTGAACTCATCATAAATGCGTGTCTTATATGTATTTTCAATATTCCCCCCTCTTTATCTTGTTCTAGATCCGCCTGTGGCCCAAGTGTAAACCTAGTATTTACTAACTAATCGATGTAAAGCCACCTCGGAATTAGATAAAGCAGAGAGGAAATTGATAAACTTAATCTATACCTGTTGGCAGGGGCGTAAGTAGGGGGGGAGGTTTACCCCCTCCCCATTGTCAAAATCCCAATAAGTAAATAAATAGGTAATAATAAAAATTTACCTGCCTATTGTAAACAATTGAAAGTCAAACTCCCCCATAAATAATCTATACCTACGCCCTTGCCTGTTGGTCCGAACTCAAATACTCTGGTCCCAAAAGTAAGTCCAATAAGCGACGTCTACTCTATAACTATAGTGTAAATTAGTACTGAAAATTAAAACCTAATATATTATTTGGACGCAAATTAAAATGCGCTTGTCACAATATAAATTATACAATAATCCCTGCATAATTAGAGTCCAGAATTTAAATATCTTGGTTTTTTAATTTGCCTGTAATCCTAAACTATAATTTCAAAATTATTTGTATTATTATTGTAAAATTATTATTTCAAAATTGTTTTCTATTCGATCAGGAGGACTCCATTGGTTTGCCCACGGTGCAGATTCATTTGACTGTTATGATGAAACAGACGAAACAGGTTTACTTAATCGTTCTCGACTTGCCTGAGTTTTTTTTTAGGACATACTAACATACAATTAGATTCGTTTATTTGCCTTATTATTTGATTGTGTAACTAACATTTTGGTATTTTATATTTAAAAAAATAAGCATTCAGTTTTTTTCTGTGTTATTTTAACTTTAAGTCATTACATTCATATACACTCTATTTTTTTGTTTCTTTTACATTACATTGTAAACGAAACTTATAATTTGTATGTATTGTTTTGGGCTACTTAAAGAACATAATAAGTTTAAATGCTTTTTAAACATAAATGGGAATAAGTGTTATGTTCGGGAATCAAACTGCAAAATTTAAGTATACACTGTTGGTATATTCAGTTTTTATTTGGCGCTATACATTTTAGTTTTTTTTTTTAGTTTTTGGTTATATATTTGTTTTTTGGTGTACATTTTTACATCAAAAATGTATGTATATTATTTATAGTATATTTCATGAACCAGCATTGATTATCTATTTAGGTACTTATACGAAAAATTTGTAAGTATCTAAATTAGATTTTGAATCATGAAATTGTTTTTATTTAATTACGCTATTTTCAAAATTTTATCTATATATATATATGTTTTCATCGTATTTATAATTTGTATGATACAAATATAGTCATTTTGTATCAAATTAATGGTTTAATAATTAAAAATGTTTTAAGTTTAGATTGATATGCGATGAATGATGATAAATTATGATATTTATCCAAAATATGTGTGAAACTCCATTCTATTTCTCTATTCTAAACTTTAAATTATTGTTTGCATACATGATATATATATTACTTATAAAGGGTTTTATTTCTTTTTATGTGTTAGGAGGTCGCTACCTATTAATTTTTTCTCCCTCTTACAAACATACGACATAGCAAATTTACGTTCAAGAAACAATTTTGTGCTATTCGTTTTAATATTAGAGTGAAAATTGGCCTATTATCAAGCTTACAGGAAAAAACATTATCTGTGTTTGTACGACGTTGGTTTTAACAATTTAACATGTATACAGAGTGATCAATTTGACTACGCTCAATATTTCGAAAAGTAAATACTATCGTTTTTCAAAAAAAAATTATTTTTGACAATTTAAATAGCAAGCTGCTTAAAGTGTTACATTTATTTATGTCACCCTTATATTTAGGGTTCAAACGACTTCCTACTTTTGATTTTCAAATGGTAACCTATATTAAAAATTTCATAAATATATAAAACTACTTGTTTCTAATTTAAATTATCAAAACAAAAAAAAATGTATTTGAAAAAGTCAATTATTGTCAAAATATTTAGTGTGTTAGTATGTTTTAAGGGTGCATACAACTTTTTTTTAACTGGCCGAGATCATTTTCACGTTACCGAAAACAAAACAAGATTTCGGTTACACATCTTATCAATATCAATACCACGTATACCATAACAATCATACGGACCCCCCTAACTTCACTCTCATCAGTCTATATTAATCAGCCCCCTCTCCCATTCAAAGGAGGGAGAATGAAGGTGTGGAAATAGTCAGACAGTGGGGCTGGAGGAAGTCGAACGGTGGTAGTAGAAATGAAGGTGCTTTACGAGCTATTATTATTGATATGAACACATCGATACGATTTTGATTCTACGAGCGATCAGAGGGCTCACAGCGCACGCTCTATAAACAAAAAAATTGCTGCCCACGTAGAGCCCGTCTCTTGACGAGGTCGATTGTCGTAGTTAGATCAAGTCTATCAGCAAATACTGCTACAGCAAAAAGTTGCACGACAGCGTTAAATCAAAAAAAATTGGCCGTAATTAACAAAGATTTCAAAAAACATTTATATAATTCAGTGTTTAAACCATTGTTAACGAAAAACGATTCTGAACAAAATTGTATTAGTCATATATTTTTTCTCGTTGTTAAGGGTGACTCAGAAATCAACAAAAAGTATTCCAAAAATTCAAATTTTCCCGATTCATTAATATTATTAGGCAAATCAAAAATTAACCTTTCCAAAGGATTAACTAGATGAAAAATTTACAAAAAATTGCTAATAAAGTTTTTGATTGGAGTAAGATTTTTAGTATAAAATTTGTTTGCGGATATTAAACAAACCTAAGTACTCGTAAAACCAATATATTCATGTATCGCCCAGAATCTAAAATACTTATACCTCGCTTGAAAATAAAAATATTGAGAAAAAATTAACGTACGAACACAAATAATGTTGTCTCTTCAAGTTTGAATTTTGATAATTGGTCAATTTGCACTAATGTTGTTGAGACTCACAGTACGAAATCGGTCTTGCCAAACGCAAATTTGCTATGCTATGCGTTTACAAGACGGAGATAACAAATGCATGTCTTCTCTTAATGTCAACATTTTTAAAGTATTATATTGCAAGTAATCGTTTGAAAATGGTGTACAGTAAATAAAATTAGTCGCAATCTTTGCATAGTCAATAATAATAGGTAACTATTTGTTGGCTCGCGATTAAAGTATCACTCTGTATGATAATAATATGCAAAGCGAGCTGTAAAAACTAATAATATATGTTTCCCTTTGTTTTATCGTAATTTTAATATCGTGTGTTCGTGAGTCGTGTGTTTTGATCTTAAAATATATGCAGAGCATTACTACTATTATACTGTATAGCTGTGTATAATAATAGTAATGTTCACGCGTGCTTCTCAATGCCATTTGAGGGGGCGATTGTAGTTATATTATCAATTCGTGGATATATAACTATAATCTGCTTAAATGCATGTTTTGCGCGCGTATGTATTGAAATTGGATTATGGTTTTTTGTCCATGAAGGAAAAGAAAATGCAATCAAAGACCGCGAAGAACGATTACGACTCGTTCGTGAGAAACATGACGAAGAACGCCAACGAAAACTCGATGAACTCAAACAACAAGTAACTAAATTCATAATAATAATATTAGCCTATTACAATGTTTTCTTACTATACACATGGCGCAATGAATATAAAATGATATGAATGTATTCAGATCGACATTAAATTTTGTTTGGTTTTTGTGTTCCGCTACCACCAGGCACTGGCTGTTCAAAGGTATCGAGAACAAAAAGAAGAAGAAAGGCGAAAACGTTTAGATGAGATGCGTTCGCGAGATTTTGAAAGACGACAGCAAGTAGAAGAAAGAAAACGACAGTTATTCGAAGCTGAACGAGAAAAACGGGAAGCGATACTAAAAAAAAATCAAGTACATTAATTTTTAAAAAAAAATCATTTATATATAGGTGGTCGTTTATTAAAAATTAATTATTCATCAATATGCCTCTTATAATTAGGAACGCGAGGCCAGAATAGAGTCAAAAAGAAGAAATGAACGAAGTTCAATTGTTTTTGCGTTTGGAAGTTCGACGCCTCGCATGCTTGAACCGTCAGAAACTGGAGGATCGTATTGGGCTAGTCGGAGGTATACGATTAGAAAATAATTGAATCGCATTAATTATATTCTGTTATTAAAGACTTTTTTTCCGCTTAGTTTTTATCTCACTTTCGATAAAAAAATTACTTTGCCATTAATATTTTGTAAGTTTGTACATTTTACACGAATTTATTAACCATTTGAAATTTTTTTTTTAACCTATTAAATAAGAGCTACATCTACTAGCAATGTGATGATGTTGAGCAGCACGACTCCTATGGGCCCCCTCACGAGGAGGTCATCAGAACGCGAATTGAACGAATGTTCTGGAAAAAAACGAGCTGCTTCGGCTGGCGGACTATCAAATCGCAACGCTGATGGTAAGTTTAACCATATATTCCTTTTATTACGATTTAATATACAGTTTGATGTAAGGTTTACATTTTTGGGAAGGACATTTTTTTTTTTTTTGAACATCAGATTTTTCAGAGTACCATAATAAGAGACTGTCCGTAATGGACGTTTTGCGTTGGAATGATGTGTGTTGTCCCGTTATCCACGAATACCCTGTAGAGGTAGGACGTGGTGAGTTTTGGGGACAAAAATTCCTATAACATTTATACGAGTTCTGAGTTTTATTAATATTGTGATTGTGTGTCGAAAAAAAAATATATAATATTACATATCTAACTAAAAAATAATAATAAAAAAAAAAAAAAATGCATGGATTTTAATATATTGTTGGAAGACCGATAACAAAACTTGTCCTATGAAAAATAATCATTGTAAATTATAAGGTGTGAAAATTATTATATTTCGTTTAATTATATTAACACTGATCGAATAATCAAATAGGTGTTGTGTATATAAGTACTCCATGTATATATCGATTCTATTATCGGCCGTGCATTTTTCAAGGAAATTGTGTGTAAACGGACACGCAGTGTAATATTTGAACACCCTGTAGAATAAGATTTTGCTTACTGTGTGTCCACTAGAAATTTCACATAGTAATTATTCTCGCTAGTGGGTAGGGGTACCTAACTGGGGAAAAGTCTAAAAATTAAAGTAGAGGTTTTTTCTATCTTCTCGTGGACATTTTTTAACGGAAAGGAATAAACACGCTGTGAATATTCACTAAAAAAAAAATGCTCTGCTATCCAGTGTTAGGATTCTGTGAAAAAGTAGCGTGTGTGTTCGTGTTCTATAGAATATTTTTATTTTTTATTAATATAATAATAGAAATGTGTTGGATTTTCTCGAGCATTGAAAAATCCAATATACTTGCTATTATTATAATATAATTTAACAATACTGATTATTATTATGTTGACCGTATCAGCTGCACTTGGTCGTCGGATGAAGGAATTTATAATATCATTTACGGACCTTGTGGTTGCGGGCTAGTTTTACTATCTTATAGACCACAGTTCTCGACGTTTTAGTAATTTTTAGTTGTGTAACTGTTTTAAATAGTTTTCATTCTTCTTCCACTCGATTAACGCGAATTCTAATTAGCTTATAACATTATAAATAGCCACGCCTATTTTATATTCTCTATCCGCTTCCAGCAGCGTGCATTTACCTGTATAATATGTAGAACACGATTGCCGTTGTTTTATGTAATAAATTAATTAATTATAATTAATTAGCTCTATAAACTGCACTATAACAGCGCGGCTACTTTATGTAATTATAACACCCTGCGGCGGAGGCGATTTCGCTATATATCTGCTGCATTACAGTGGCGTTGCGAACCCGTGGACGAAATATATCTGAGCTAACTATTATACGGATTAATCCTCAGAAAGATATTCGAAAATTTTCGTCCGATTTTCATCAACGATGTGGATAAAATATTAGCGAGTTTTATTAATTTGGCGAGTCCGCACTGGCGTGCAGGGACGTCATTTCAGTAATTTTATAAGGTGGTGCGAACATTTTTGATAGAGCCGATTTCCCCCCCCCTCCCCTGTAATGCTCACCCAATTATTGTTTAACAAAATAAAATGTCCATGCATTAACATACTAAAGTAACCTTTTCTTGAAATCAAACATATAACTATACCTATGCAATTTAAATTTCAAACTCAAATCTCTATTTTCGTAAATATTAATTAGATATTCGAAATTCGAACTATTGATTAGCCCTTTGATAATTTACAAATATTTTGCACATATTATTTATTTACTCTGGTAAACCATAATCCTGGAAAAAACGTGGAAAGTTCAAAACGGAATTTCGTGATAACCATGAAACTGTCTATATTTATTTTATGTATGGATATTGTAAACTGTAATCAAAACGAAAAACCTGGGTAATACAATTTCAATAAAATAAAATGGATATTAAACCCGAATTCCACGGCCAAAATATCGATTATCGCCTAGGCCAATTATGTAAACGCCCTGCCCCAAATGGCGCCCCTGACCGGTACTTCAGTGAGGTAATTTTTTAATTTTTTATAATATTCCTTGTAATTTTGGTTTGTTTTGCAATTTGTTAGGAAATAATTAGTAGAGACCGAAAAACGTTTTAGTATCCTTACCGGGGCTAATCGGTACTCGAGTCGTGACTTAATCGACGACCGTTCACAACGCCACTGATGATACGCTAATATAATGCACATATGAAATATTATGTATCGTGCGCGCTGTACATAATAATATAATTTATTTAAATAAATTTTATTATATTATATGGACGTTACGGCGGCACGCGCCGCGGCGGTGATGGTTGTATGATGGTGGTGATGGTGCGAGTTTGTACATGTGTAACATATGTGTGTTTAGAAGGTGGTGACGGGAGCGCCGAACGGAAGGCGGCCAGACGCAAGACGGACCTTATGCCCACCATCTTGTCTCCGCGTGATCTTACGCCGTGCAGCCGTCCCGGATCAGCCAGTTCGTCCCGTCGGTCACCAGGTAGGGCGAGTTCGATGACTCGGCTGGACGGCGCCGCCGCCGGGGCCGCGTACGGTGGCTACGGCGACGGCGGCGGAGCAGGAGGACCGCGACTCCTGTCGTCGGCGCGCAGCATGAGCCATTTGGCCGGCGGCGGTGGCGGGCGATCTGTTTTAGGCGCCAATAAGGATCGCTCGACGCACCACCGTAGTATGATCGCCTTGAACCCGGTGCCGCCGCCCCGACCCACTAGAGCCGAGCGACTGCGCAAGCGCGCCAGAGAATTCGCAAACGGCGGTGGTCCAGGTACGTGGATGATGCCATGGGGGCACAATATAATATTCAGGGCGATCAATCTCCCGTATGACAACGAACATCGTTATCTCGGAAAGTATATTTATATGTGTATAGCACTTCTACTACGTGCTCTTGATTTTATTCGCTTTTCCGCATGAAACCGACCAATCGTGGCTATTTTGATTAACAAATGACCGGCCTATATGTGTCGAAAAAACCCACAGTAATGGTGGAATGAAATTTCAGTCGAAATTTCACGATAATAAGTTGTCATTTGATAATCAAATGTTGCAGACGGGTGTGCCAAACACGGTGCAGGGTGAAAAACCCGAGGGCGGTGTAAAATTATAGAGAACGACGCGTGCAAATCTTAATGATTTTCTAAACAGAAAATTAAAAAAAAAAATCATTATTTTTCCGAGATGGTGATAACGGTTGTCCCCGGGAAAATTGATCACCCTGTATACGAAAAATATTAGTACTTATTTAGTATATAGTCGCCGACCACCTCGTTCCCGTTTTCGCCACCGTGTCTCCTTCCACGCCCAATTTCCTACACTAACCGAAGATAACAAATTTTTCCGCGGTTTCGCAACAAATCTAATGAAATTCTACTTTCATTCGTGTTATACGAAATTATTCGAATGTTCCTAATTAATAAATTCTATTTACGTATATAAACTATACTACATATTCAATTTTTGTTTTCAAATAGCTCGTCGATAGGAAAATATTTTATTCTCTTTTCTTGTCACATGGCAAATCAAAGTGAATCGCAGATCTATAATCTTAACGACAAGAACATGAATTTGTAATCACGTCGGTTTTCTCGATATTTATTAATTTTCAAGCGACATAATACATATAGTATTTATTTTTTTTTTTTTATCATTTTCTATTTTTCTTTGATTTAAATTTTAAATGTTGTGAACAACTGTACCCACCACAAGCTACGCTTTTGCGGCAGAGTCAAAAATTTTTAATTTAAATTAATGTTATATATGCGTTTCAAAAATTTTTTTTGACAATAAATATTTATTATTATTGTTATTATATAGTACGCATTTTCAATAATTGCGATGGTTCACATTCTCGTAGTGTCTCGCTTAAAAATTAATAAAATATATCGAAAACAATCGAATTAATCGCGCAGATCTTGTCTTAAAGTTTAATTAAATTGGTAGATTTACTTAAAATTAACATCCCGAAATCGGTGCTACCGAATGCAAATTCGCCAAGCATGTCGTACGTTAGTAAAACAGCGCACGAGAGTGTGGAAAATATTAAGACATATCGATTTTTTCATACGCGATTCTTTTTTGTTTTCACCATACGTCTGGATACGTAATAATATATTATTACCCTTATGTTATTGCGTTCAATTTTCTTTCTCCGATAAACAAATCAACGAGGTGGAATTACGCACGTTAGTATATTGCGTTAACATAAGTGCTGTATAATAGCTATAGTATAGCATTTGCAATATCATAATGAATTATTTTATGCTTTTTTTACGCTTGTTTGTACTTTTTTTTTTTTTTACTATCCATAATATTATTATTATCACGATATAACCCTATTAAAAAAACATACTTATCGGACTTGGACTACCGTACAAATTTAAAACAAAAAAAAAAAAATAGGTAATAAAAATACAGTTCGTTACTAGTAATGGTATCCGTTTGTGCAAATGAATCTCTTCTTGAATAATTTTAAACTATACATATTTTCTATAAAATTTGTAGGTATTGATTTATTTTTTTTAAATATATAAAAAAAATATGTGAATTTAAATTGACGTTTTCTTTTTTCCCAGAATGAAAATGTTCCGTTTTTCTCGTAATTTTATTTAAAAATAATAATTCCGATTCGCGATCGTCACAACAAAATATAAAATATCGATTCCGCTTTAAAATTGAATAGTTATGCGTTTTGTTTTCTCTGTCCGTCTCGCTGCGTGTAATATAGCGACAAAGGCATTCCGCATTTACACCATTGCGACTCTTCGGTCGAATTTATCTGTTTATTAGTTAAATAGACCTTTAATACATTTTATTAGAAAGATTGTTTACGTCATTATATATTTTTTATGCATGCTACAAACTGCTCTTTTAATATTTTCATTTCTTTGTGGGTAACGGTTACGATTAAAAGTAAAACGCTCATGATAAAAATGAAAATATTGAAAAAAATCGATCCCGAGATCGCTGTATAGTAAATACTATTCTTTATAAAATGTACAATAGATCTCTTTGCCCCAAAAACTCGACCGGTAATCGAAACCGTGGAAACGCGGAATTACTTTCTCGTCGTATTACATACGGGATGATCACTTTTGCACTTTTCACCTAATTTAATTGATCAAACTACATTTAGATAAAAAAAAAAGGTTTGAAAACAATTTCTTTTCCCTTCCCCTTCCCCAGCAGGTTTAGGGCTGACAAGTGACAATGAATTTAATCATTGACGTGATAAAAAACAATTTAATTTTTTTTGCATGTTATTAAATTAAAAAGCCTCTTTTTGATCGTGTCAAATCATTATTATAATTATTTAAATTTATTTTTGTAGTAATTGTAATAAACTGAATTAAAACGATAATAATTTCTACATCGCACATGTTCCGCACAACGGCGGAAATTTGCGTTTTCTTAACTTATTGTAAATTAGAATTATTTCTTAAAACATTTTTGTTGAAACGCTTTTTTCTTGATCCGAGTGCAATTACTTTTTTTAACCTAAGTGAAATTCGACCTTACCCATTACGTGACGCGAGAGACTGAGAAAACAAATGCTAATGTTCAGGATCAGAACTCCTAAGTATACTCTATACTTTATTTATTCTAAACCGTGTAGTTCTTGTTTATTTTCAAAGAAATACGTATTTACTGTATTTAATGTGGGTTTTTTTTAATACTTTTTACATTTTTTTTTCTTTCAAAACATTAATATAGTATATATATATCTAAAATGCGTAGCTGTCTCATTTACGTGATAACTGATTAAAACAAGGCACGCTTAATAAAACAAATATAACAATATTTTATTATTACTTTAAAATCAAATGTATTTTTATTAAGTTCTTTTATCCGTACTTTCGCACGCCTGTAATATTAATGAAAATAAAAATTACAAATTGCATGATGCTGTTAAAGTTTTTCGTTCGGTGCATGTGCATGGTGTGAATTAAATAATATATTGTGTAACCTCACCCGAACCCGATAACAAAAAAAAAAAAACAGTAAGTGCACTTTATTCAACAGGTGGCGGTACTGAACTTTGGGCCAAGGCGATTCATATACCCGCACCGATAGTTTCCGTTTTAATACATTTTTTTTTTTTTGAAACCTATCTAATTTTACTGATTATTGTGTATCTATATAATAATAATATATTAACTGTATATAATATTCTAATATTGTCTAATATTTTCTTTCCAGTCTCTTTTCGATTTCAAATTTACCTACTAAAAAAAAGAACAAAAAAAAAAATGTTAATCTATATTTTTTTTTTTAATATTTACACACGGTTACAGATGCCAATTGTCATACACGTAGGACGTTTACGGTATTTTTGCTATTTCATATATTTGTACCGAAAAAGATAATATCGAATAATTTGTGCGAATTTAGTGAAAAATAAAATCTAAAGCTTTGCACCCGACCATTAACCTATCCGATAAGGACAAAGCCTTTGGATAATAAAACGTATTCTTTTTCCACAATGGCCTTTTTAAGAAAATCGCATACAATTAAGTGTATTGTGATAACAAATAATAATATAATAGCGACGATCGTAAACAAATAACCAACTGACTATCGTAAAATAATAATATTTGCCGAGCATTTTGTTATACCAAACACATGAGTACCTATAAATTATAATATCGTGTCGACTTTTTCTACGTGTATGATTTTGTTGGGCAAGTCTTCTTGTCTAATTCTCTTACGTTGTTGATTTCGTTTTACGTACCTACTTAATTCACACTTGTGTAACTGTCATATAACAAACGCGCGTCGTCTTGACGAGCAACAATAAAGGCTAAAGCGTGTGTCGATTGGCTTTTATAGGTATGAAATCCGGTGAAATGACTCCAGTCAATCGTCCTCAAAGTTCCATGAGCCAATCGGCCTACGGACCTGCACCGACCCAGTCGAGGTCCAGGCCGGTGGCGACACCTCGCAAACCCCGACCCATCAGTATAGCGGTGACCGGCGTTACGTCGTCCGATCAAATAGCCGCCGCCGCCAAGTCTCCGGCCACCGGTGAAAGGCCGCCTCTGCCTAAAGTAAACGTTACCAAAAAATCGATTACACCCAAAGTGGAAGCGAAAAAATTCCCCAACGACACCAATAAACAGTCTACTCTGAAGGTACACAACAACAACGTTAATATAGGGAAACGTTATTTAAAGCGTTTTAAAAAATATATATATATATTTTAATCGGTATGGTCGATGTAAATCTCAAATGTATACGTGTACTTTTTAAAGGAGAAAAACAAAAATGAAAAGCCTTCGGAATCCACTGAAAATGCCGAATCATCCGAACAGCATCACTCCTCTGCTGACGTTGTCTCCTCTGCAGCTTCCAGAGACGATGAAAGTCAAGACAATTCAATTCAAGAATCGGTTAGTAGTGACTTGGCGGAATGCGACATGACCGCTTCTATGTTGGCTACTAAACAGAAGATCACGACCGAAGAAGAAGCCAAGGCTGCTTTGGCAGAACGCAGAAGACTGGCGCGTGAACAAGCAGAAAAAGATGCAGAATTAGAAAGACAGCGATTGGTAACCATACAAATCTTAAATAGCTGTATATTTATTGTATTGATTTTTAAAAATGCTTTTGTACTTATAATTATCCGTTTGATTTTCTCACAACAGGAAGCCGAAAGATTAGCTGAAGAAGAACGGTTGCGTTGTGAAGAAGAAGAACAACGTCGTATGGAAGAAGAACAACTGAGACTATTAGAAGAGGCCCGGAAATCTGAAGAACTAAGATTACAGTTGGCCATAGAAGAGACAAGAAAACGTGACTTGGAAGAAAAGAAACGTAAAGAAGAAGAACTGAAATTAAAATTGGAAAAAGAAGAAGCAGACCGTAAAGCAAAAGAAGAAGCGGAAAAGTAAGTCAATTATGCATTTGCAATTTTAAACATATTCAAAATAATATCTCTAAAGAATACAATTATTCATTGTCGCCCATACATAATAATTATCCATTTTCTGTATTTGACAATTTTTTAAATATATATTCTAATCAAAAGCATTTGTTTTTTCAAGGCTGAGACAAGAAATGGAAATTAAATTGAAGAAGGAAGAAGAGGACAGACAACTGAGACGTAAAAGAGTTGAAGCCATCATGCTGAGGACTAGAAATCAAGGCAAAGGAACCGGAAACGCATCTACCAAAGTATACATTTTTCTTAATGTTGATTGGTATCACCATTGATGATCATATTAATGGTTTTTTTTTTTTTTTTTGATTTTTCAGGATGAGACTGAATCTGTTGAGCCACAAGTCGCAGAAAAAATAGAAAAATCGTTATCAGATCCAATGACTACTAGTCTAGGCCCCACATCTGAGACCGAAGCAATGTTGTCTGCCGAAAGAAATCATTCGTCATCATCATTAACAATGTCAACACCTAGCGAGACATTATCCAATGGACTGCAACTGACCAGTCCTAAACAAAATGGTCATACAAACAACACCATTAATGAGATTGTGCACCACAGCAATGGTCATCTGACAGAAAATGGAAACGTTTTTGATTCAGATGTGTATGTATTATATACAAAATTTTAAGCGAAGCATTTATACTTTTTCATCCAAATAAATTTTCCTTGCAATTTGTTCTGATATGTTCTTTGTTGTAAGAGTATTATCCTAATTGTTCTATATATTTAGTTTTTACAATATTATGTACATATCATAGTTCAAATTTCATATTATTAAGTTAAACAGCCATATTTTTCGTCTGCGTACATTTTTCAAGTTATTAAAACTGTATGAAACTAAAGGGAAGTTATTTTTAAAAAATTCATCATATCATCTTCAGTCTTGGATTTGTATAGAGTCTATTTGCAACTATGTTATATTGTGAAATAAAATATACTAATAATCTTTTTTCTTCTCGTGTCAGTCTTCATGTTCCCTTCCCTTCCCAATAATCAGCAATTTGTACTGCCTTGTCTGTAATATTTCGATTTTTCGTCATAAAATTTTCCTTTCTGTACTTAATTGATAGTAGTGGACACACAAACAGATGGTCTATATCCTCCTCCCTGCCGCATTCGCACTTTTCATCCTCTTATTTCTCATTTTTTCATATTACCCACTATCCTTCCAGTTTCAGTTTTGCAATCTATTTAATGTCTTCCATGTCGACCATTGTAGATGACTTCCAGTTGGTAAACTTTCTTCCAGGTTCTTCCATAACTCTGAATTATGCCTTTTGATTTCTTCTTTTCATAGACCTATTCTTGTCGCATCAGGCATTTATGATAGAGTGATTATTGTCTTCAGAAAGTTTTTCCTTGATTTAAGTCAACTCCTCGTAAGGTTACCTCCATATAAATGATATCTTATGTCTGATTCTTGATTTGTTTTCTCTATCCTTGCTGCAATCTCTTGCCTTATGTTGTAATTATAACTACTTACACAATGTAATCTGTTCTCTAGGCAATTAAACAATGTGACAAACAATCTACTGGACTTATCATTGGAACCCATTCCATCAGACACATTATCCACGCAACAAATCATCGACATTGGAATCGGCAAATGCATTCAAGACAACCCCACTGATTTTACCGCGTATCAGGAAAACAAAAGATCAGATCAACAAATCGTCAATGGTAAATATCAGATATTTTATTGATAAAAAAATTGAGATCTAAAGGTTCTATAATATTTATTTATTTTTACAAAATTAATACATTTTTGCTATTATATTGGCAAATATAAATTTGTATTGATCATTCTACAAAATGTATCCAAATGGTGATGTTCAGTTTAATGAACAAATTTTCTCAAAGATTTGTCGAATTTCTAATCCATTGAAATATATAACTGTCTAACGTTATTTTACCTTCTGTCATTAGATTGTATGCATATTTAAAATGTAAATGAAAATTATTTTAATATTCAAATAATGTCAATTGAACTATTATTTTTATTTATATAGTATTAAAAATGTCTATTGTCAAACAATACCTTATATATATTTTCAGATCATATTGTCACTTAATTGTTTAACTGCCTTTTTTTTTTTGTTTATTAATCAAAACTAATAGATTAAATTCTTTGAATATTAACACAGCATTTACGGTTAATTTAGTAAAATTGAAATATTTAGAATAATAAATTCAAAACTGTTAGACTAATAACAATGTTTGCCTATTTCTGAATATTTAACTTTATGTATATTTAGCAATTTTTTATATATATATATATTATTTTTCAAATCTTGAAAAAAAAAAATGTGGTATCTATGTAATATAGCTTATTAATTTATATTTTTGGTTATTTTTTTTTTCAGATTTACTATCATAATGAACACAAAAAGTGACAGGGGTAGTACGTTGTTATGGGTATTATTTTATACTTGGCGGTAGATTGAAGTATTATAAACACGAGTGCTACTTTTATTGTTATTTTATTATTTTTATCTAAATTATTAAGTAGTTAAAAAAAAAATTTTAAAAAAAAAAAAGGTATATACAATATAACAGTTATTATTATTTAGTCGCATCTAGACTTCTACTTTGATGATGAATATTCAGCGTAATATATTATGTATATCTAATACATTTTTTTATTCTTAATGTTTGCCTCATATTATAATAACAATAATAACTTATATTCATGTCAACAGCTGTTCAGTTATTATCGCGTTTAATGTGTTATAATAATCACTCGACACTTAATATACATGTGACACGTGTAACGACATAAAAGATTGCTTTGTCTTGAAAATGAATGAAAACCCGCCACCAAATATCTCTTAACGCGGAATGAGGTACACACCTCAATGACTTTGAGAACAAGAGCGAAACAATTTGAATTTTTTAGATCCTATTTGTTGTGCATTTTATTTTTTTTAATAATATAAATTTTAATTTAAACTCCTATAATTACCGTCACACTCAGTTCTGATAATCTTTTTATTTTCAACGAGAACATATACACCAGTGAGATTTATTTTCCCTGAATCTTCCTGATCTTAGGAAAAAAAAACTGAACAGGTAAACCAACGAACAAGATTTACCTTTTTTATTTTGTTTTTCTAAAATGTATTTAGGCAGCTGCTACAGTTGGTTTATTTTTTTGTCCGTCCTCTATATAACATCGATCATTATTGAATTTTGTACAATAAAATACTATTTTACTTTCCAACGATTTAATATAATACGCTTAATTGCATGTGTATGACTAAGCATGGGTCTATTTTTATTATTGTACGGAAAGACAAAGCCATCTTATGTTTTTATTTTTTTCTTTATTATTATTGTAAATTGATAGTTACATGGGAAAGTTGTATAAAATAGTATCTAAACTTAACCATTATGTTAAACATTGATTTTTATTAAACATTCTGGCAATATTTATCTAACCAACAGTTTAATCCCTATTTAAAATAATAATATTTGTTTTATTTTCTATTATATATATATTTTTTTTTTTTTTTTTTTTAATTCCCTAATTTTTACTTTTTTTTTATGTAAAAACCGTTTTTAAATATAATTTGTATTTTTGATGTAATAGACTATGTTATTGAATTTTACATATATTTTCAGCCATTAATTATATACATATTATATTATATTTTCATTTATTTTTTAAACTGAATACATGTAAAACTTAGCAATGTATTTTTTGTCAGCTTATTGTTAAAATTTATGTTCAACTGAAAAAAAAAACTACTAAAATAATAATATATAATTTGTAACTTGTAAATTGTTTTTATTTTTAATGTTATTAGTTAGGTATTATATTATAATAATTATGTAAACTTAATTAAGAACTATATCTGATTTATGTTTTTAGAAAAAAATAATATTATATATCAACTTAAACATTACACTCTGTTATATTATGATACTTTATAACTACACAAAATCTCAATGAGACATTAAAACTCCTAACATCGCCACTACACTCATTATATTTAAAAGCTATGACTTTAAAATACCATTTAGTAACATAATATAAATTATAAGGAAACTACAAATTATTTTTTAATCTTATTCAAATCTATTCTACAATTATACTAATATTTATCAGCGTGTCTTCAAAATGCAATTTCTAAAAACTTTAAATTGCTCTCAAACATAGAATTTAAAATAAATTAATGTGATTCGATTTATTTAAAAAATATTTTTATATTGTCTTTGCAAAAAAATTATAGTTGTCCATTTAAATTTCAAAAGTTGACTCCCAAAACCCCCCTTAAAATACTATAAATATATATATCCAATTCATTTTATATGTATATAAATCAAAAAAAAAAATGTCTTATACATTTTGAACCATATGGTATATCAAAAATATTATATCTAAAAGATATACAAAACTTTAAAAAAATACATTCCAAATAAAGGCCATAGTTATATTTACTTATTTTGTTTATTTATTAAACACACATCATTCAGTAACTGTTTTCTGGCTATTCGACATGAGCAACCATTTTCTCTAAATTTTCTTTTTGTGATTTTTCTGTATTCAAAATAATGATGCATAAATGAGTAGACTCTAGTATCAATATTATTAATAGGAATAATTAAAAAGTTTTTATAAGCGTCCAAAAATATGTAATATTGTGAAACCTGGACTTCTCACCATAAATTCATTATTAGTACTACAAGAATTAGTTGTTTTATAGTTAAAGAAAACTGTATAGGGATAAAAAAAAAATGTATTTATTTATAAAAGAAAGAAAAAAAATTATACATAATACCTCTAACTATTGAAAAATTACAAAATAATTTTCAAATCTTATAAATGCTTGTCCTTGGTAAATTTACTGTAGCAGATCCAGTAGGTGAGGCCCCAGACTATTCAAAAGTTTATTTCCACAAATAATTAACTGTTTAAACCATTATTTTATTTTTCTGTCTGAATAAATTTTCTACTAGAAATCTAACTCCATTAAAAAATTAAGTTAGCAATAGTTTGTCAATATAAATAATCTTATGTGTCCTAACTTTCTCAACTTACCACCTACAACAGTGGATGCACCCATCCCCAATATCACCTCTATTTTACTTTTCTTTGTAGTATTTATTTCTAAGAGAGCCCCAAAATACAACTCTAGATCCGCCACTGACTCATACTATGCGGGTATTTACTTTTTCCATACAAAAGAACATATTGTTTATTTTCTTCTTTTTTGTAAGTTGCTAAACTTAAAAAAAATCTGAATCTAAAAATAATTGAAGTGATAATGAATGACCAGCATTCATTAAGAAACTACTACTTCAACTTTAAAGTTTTGTTTTTAATACATTTATAAAAATTATTATTACAAGAAGTGTTAAATAATTTTGTGTCAATGTCTCCTGATGTGAATTATTCAGTTGTATGACAAATCAATCAAAACTCTTAATTGTTCAAGTAGGAAATATGGTAAAACTTGCCAATGTTGGTGATTTAGATACTAGTCCCGTGCTACATATTTTAAAGGTAAGCTATTATTTTCTGTAAAGAAATTCCAAAACGATATAATTTGTCCAACAAAATTCAAATAATTTATTAAGTAGATTTAACCTAAAACAGCATTTCTATAATGCTTAATAGGATAATTGCTATAAATTATCTATAGCCGTGGTATGGCCACAGTTAATAGATATTAAAATAATTGAAATTATTTGTTTTAATATTTCATCAATCAGTTTATACATAATTTCAAGTCTTAATTATTCTTTAAATGTGCATATCATACTTACTGAATAGTTATTTTTTTAATTTAATCCTTAGAGAGGCACAATTTTTTCTTGGAAAATATTAAAATTTAGCACTCATATTACATATAAAAAGGAAACAAATATAGATGGTTTCATTATAATACCACAATGCCTCAAAGGATTAAAACATTTGTTGATACTTGAATATTGTGAACATTTAATTTTATATGTCCAATTTTAAATTCTGGGCAGAGAATGGAATTTATTGGTTTTTCTTTTCTGAGAACAAATACTCTACCAGATATTTTGCTCAGATTTTCAAGTGTAACACGTTTTATCCGGTTAGTATGTGTGAGATCACTGTCTGATTTTCCAGTTTTCATAAAAATTGGAAAACAATTTTCTTAGAATAAAAATTGTGCAGATTTTCATTTTCTAGACTTGGTAACATTGTCAAAAAATTCAAGCCATTTAATTTTGAGTTTTTTATACATTTTTTTCATACTTAGTAGATATAACACTGACCAAACAAAAACATTGTAAAGTTAATAGGAGACTAATTATAAGTCAGTTTGTTGTAGAAAAAATTAGGTGAAGTAAAATTTTGTATAATTAGACTTTCAAAACATGACCAAACTTCCTCAACTTCTTGCCTATTGTGACTCACCCATTGTACAATGTCTACAATTTTTTTTCTTTCGATGAATCATAACTTTCATTATCTACTCCTGAACCAGTTGTATTTAATTAAAACTAACCATTTTGTGACCAAGGTTAATAATGCACATACTGCAATATTAATAAGGTTCTCTAAATTATAGATATATTATGTGCACAAGGAACAAGGATAAAATTTGGTAATCTAGATGAATTAATTTAATAACTATAATAACTACATTATACCACAAATTTTGAATAGTGGAAAACAAATGCAAAACTAAGCCCAACTAAAGGGTGAATGATAGTTTTATTTCATAATACAGTACCAATGTCATAATTTCAAATATTCTTAATTTGGTTAACCAAAACAAAAGAAAAAAATAATAGTAAGATTTAAAATTTTGAAATTTATTTTGTTATGTAAATGTAATGTGTTAATTTTTATTTAAATTCACCCATAACAATATTATTTTAAAATTATTGTGCACCACCACGGAGACGGAGAACCAAATGGAGTGTCGATTCCTTCTGGATGTTGTAATCGGAAAGTGTACGTCCGTCTTCTAATTGTTTACCAGCAAAGATCAAACGCTGTTGATCTGGTGGAATGCCTTCCTTGTCTTGGATCTTTGCTTTCACATTTTCAATAGAATCGGAAGATTCTACTTCCAAGGTGATGGTTTTTCCCGTAAGGGTCTTCACGAAAATTTGCATACCACCACGTAGACGGAGAACCAAATGAAGTGTTGATTCTTTTTGGATGTTGTAATCGGAAAGTGTGCGTCCGTCTTCTAATTGTTTACCTGCGAAGATCAAACGTTGTTGATCTGGTGGAATGCCTTCCTTGTCTTGAATCTTTGCTTTCACATTCTCAATAGAATCGGAAGATTCTACTTCCAATGTGATAGTTTTTCCAGTCAAAGTTTTGACAAAGATCTGCATTTTTTATCTGAAACCAAAATATAGAAATTAATTACTTAAATATACAAATTACAATTAATGCTAGAAAAATAATATTATAAAGTAATTATAAAAGTTCAATTAGTATATTAAATTCAGGATAAAATCCATGGATGAATTAAATAGGTTATTCAATGTTTGTTTTTAATTTATAAACTTCAGAAATATGTTTCACTTACATTATTACCAAACTTACGTAATGATAATGTCTATTAAAAAAATATAATTATCAAACAAAAAATATTTAATACACTATCAACGTAAAATATTTATTAGTTGCATACCATTTTAATTTAATTACTTAGTGTATTGGTTTTTAACCAATATTTTAACCCTATAAATTGACTTATTATTATGATTATTGTGTGAATAGAATCTAATAACAGTATAACTATATTTTACTCAGATAAACAAAATATATAGGCAATTTAATAGTAGATAGATCAACGAGTAATAAAAAAATTAACTAATATAAATGAATAGGAAGAACCTATATAAATACATATTATACCATTTAATATAAAAATGTATAAAAGTAAATAATCTTTATAAAAAAAAAAAATAGGAATTTCACTCAAATACAAATTCTTAATTTAATAAAAATGATATCCTTGTCATTATAAAATAATTTTTAATAGTGAATCTTCTATAAAATCAAAAACTTGTGATTAGGTTTAGCAAGTATCTATTTATTTAAAATACAGATAATAGACATATATAAAATTTAAAAAAATGTCAACACCAATCTATATTAATCAATTTTTTAACAATATTATTATCAAAACAAAATATAAATTCGAAATAGAATGCGATTAAATCTTTTTTCTTTTCTATCCAACTTGCGCAATATTACATACTTAAATAAGTACCCGATAATTATAAAATGAAAATAAATTCTTTTAATGAAACACTACAGGATTCAATCTCTTATTTGATAAATAACTATATTATTAATTGCTTTGTTAACTTGTTAAAAATTTACGAACAAAAACCAGAAATTGAAGATCGGAAAGTGTGACGTACCAAAACTCACAAAGTAAACAACAAAGGAGAACAAAAGCAATATGGCGGATGTCAATGGACGGACGGACGGAAAAAATCGACGATCAATTACTTCAAATATTACTATACTTATCATTGGGTAATGGAATCATACGGAGTTCCAGAGCGAAAAATTTGATGTATTACGTGTGTATAAAAACCATACGCGACGACCATTTTCGAATCGGACATATTGATCTATGGGAAACGCCCAGGAAAATACAAAAAACCGAAAAAGCGTAAAAACGTTTTCGGATGAACGCGAACGAACGACGACGGAGTAAATGAAAAACAAATGAACAGATTGCGATTCGGAAATTATACTTACATATATTTGTGTATCCCTGGAACTGAGTGTGAAAACGACTTAGGGTAGGAATTGCGTTGGCTCGTGCGGTACTGCGGCAGACTTCCAGTAACGACAGCGTACAAAAGGTTTTTGAGCTGCGGTTCGGACGGCACCACGGTCGTCGGGTGACGGGAACTAGGTTATTCCGCAGCGAAAACGGCCGACCAATGGCGTACGTTCGAATGGCACAGTCGGAGTGGACAGCTGTTCGGCCACGGTTGAGCGGGGTTGGGATCAACGGAGTAGACGCCGCCGCGATCAATGTTACCACCACACGAAAATGCGTTTGGCGATCGTTGTACGTCATGAAGTCGACGCCGCGGGCCAAGGCCGACGGGCCGAACAACAAAGGAAATAAAAGAATCTTCTAGAATATTCGTAACGCGATTAAAATACCGTTTTACCCGTGCGGCGCATGTATCTCTGTCCGCCAAAATAGCATTTGCTTCGCCGAACTCAACGACCTCGGCCACGAGCGCGTCACGGACAATAATATTATTGTGCTTGTGTAATAATACATTGCGTGACTCGGTAGATAAAACTCGATATGCAACTACGCAATAGAACGCCACAAACAACGCAAACGTTATAGTTTGTTGTACCTCGACGTGTTTAACGGTGTATAGGGATATCGTACCTACCCTACTGTTTCAATCGTTTTTTTTTTTTCTTTTTTCGTGTTTTCTTGATATTCTCTGGCCACGATTTAATAACACTACCATAGAGGCTACAAAACAAATAATATTAGGAGCAATGTTGGCGCGTGAACGTTCTATTTACAACGACGCAGCACTTACAGTGTTCAACGCCCGTTGAATTTACATAGGACCCGTTTTTTCGTATCACGGTTTTATTTCAAATACGTTACATATGTAACGATAGCGATTGTGTTCAAGGAAAATTGACGCGACCGTGACGCGGCTGCGTAAATCTTATTTAACCCCGGTCACGCCGCCATCAATTAGTGGTATTATTATTTTTCGGTACAATTAATGTTCGTGATATCGGTACCCAAAACTCGGCGGTTTCAATTGCTGCGATGAACACGCGCGGGCATAATGTTCATAAAACCGTTGTTAATCGTTAATGTTGGTGGGTGCGTACCTATTTGCGGTGTTGCGCAATACGTATTCATTGCGTATATGACTCGTACAACTTGACGAGTCGGGCATTCGTGATGCGTGACCGCATAACGTAACGTACGTCAACAACGTACTCGCGTTTGATACTAATTACGAATAGTGTATTACGGTTACACAATAGGTTCCTGGTCACTGATCTACATTGTACCGACCGTGTATACGGTTTCGAATTCCGAAGCTATAAAAAAAAAAAAAAAAAAAAAATAGTGAATATAGCGTTTCAAATACGTCGCCTGCGCCAGTTAGGCGCTCGTGCCGATAAAACGATACCTAGGTACTACTACACGTTGACAATAATTGTATAAAGTTTTTAGATTAATGCGACCAATTATCGTTCACGTGCACGTTTATAGCGGCGATTTCGCGTCTTGGCGGTGAAACGATATTGAGTATTATTTCATGTTTGATATAGGTAGGCGTATGTATGTATTGACTATAGAATAGAATATTCTGTAATCGATGCTAACGCTAATGCATTTTGTTACATTAACTATCGTGTATTTATGTCGATTTTTCCGCGGATATATTGTCCTTGCATTCGTTTCGCAAATTGTTGGCCTTTTTTAACGACGTTAACATTACAAATTATTTAGAAACCGTGCGTAATTCGCGAAACGAACGGCGGCCGTTATGACCGGTCGAACATCAGGTCCACGTCATTATTTTAGCGGCGGTGAAATTCGCATCGGTACATTTTCTACGAGTAAAATAATAATATTATTCTCGATTACCCCCATATTACGCATAGTCGGAGAAAGTCGACTCAAACGCTATTGTCGGAAATTTGTACTCGTGTACTTTGTCTAAAACATCATTTCCTAAACATTATATTCACTCGTATATAAACATCAACAAATTAAACTGGCGATTTTTCCGATATAAAAAAATGAAGAAATTTGGAATTAAAAAATATGTTAGGTTAGGTCATACGAATAATAGTTACAAAAAAAAAAAAAAGAAGATCAATGGGGCGACTGATAATTATTATTTCTCCACTGTCATTAATAAGTCTATACCAACATTTAATTACTGCGCAAAAATAATGTGAAACATTAGAAATACGTCAAAAAATGTCATCATAATATCATATGAGAGCAGCGGCTCTCGAAATGTGCTACACGTACCACCAGAGTGGTACCTTCTCGGTAGACAACATGGCGTTACGCAAAAGGCCGAATGGTAGCACTTCGGAAAATGAATCAATACAATATTCGTACAAATGTTTTTCAATGGATTCTATTTTATAATGTTAATTATCTATATTGTAGTTATTTTTTTTTTTTGTCTTATGCTCTTATCGTTTTGAAATAAATGTATTGACATTGTGAATAGTTTAATTTTTAGCCATAAGCGGTACGCGACAGATCCGTAATACATATAAATGGTACTCGAAAATAAAAAAGTTAGAGAATGCTTTACAGCAATCGTACGCTGCACGAGCGGGCTTGCAACTCGCGGGGTCATCGAATGAAACAATACGCTTGCGCACATCGAATCAATATTTTATGGGCGTGTTTCGGTGGGTTCGATACACCCTGTGTCAGTGGCAAACATCAGCGAGAATGTCACGACCGACACCGTTTAAAAATTGAGAATTTAAATAATTTATCACATAGTATTTTAAACTCCACCCTATTTAAATGCGAAAAAAAATTGTAACTGCAGCAGCCGATGCGGTGACCACTCTCTATCAAGAAAGTCGGAAGGGGGAGTAGGTAATTTAATAAAATGTATATCTATACGCAACGACGAACGATTATTAGTCGTGTTTTTCACTTTTTGTCAAAGGTAACCCAGAAATCATAAAAATAGTAAAAAATAAAAATTACAAATAAAATAAAAAAATGACCTCTTCAGTATAACAATTAGATGACAAATGCTGAAAGTTACCATACAATTTGATTATAGATTAAGATATCCGATTTAAAATTTGTTTTTAAACAAACAATTCATAATGAAACCAATATACATTCCTCGCTCTTACAGTCTCTTTGATTAGAATTTATAAAATAAAGGAACGTTTTAATTTTTTTATGTAACAAATAGTACATAAATTAATAACATATTACCTACTTAAAACTTGCCTCAACCATCGTAAATAGACGGCTATTCCTATACACCTAGATATTTTTACGTTAAACACACACCCCTGTAAAAATGTATTGTGAGCCATTTCCTTATGCATTTAATGTGCATATGCGTATGATTAATAACTGGATTCCTTTCTAATATACCTATTTTTATTATATTAATTAATTACAGTACATTATTCGTTCATTACACATTTATATTATAATATACGCGAATATTGAATGACATAATAGAGAGAGAAATAATATCTTGCGACAAGTACAAATGTTAACCATTAACATGCAGTCGAAAAAAAAAAAATCATTAATTTGTCATGTCAATTCATTATAGATTCTGAGCAAAGCGAAGAATCTATCGGTTTTATAATGTTTTTTTTTTTTTTTTATCTGTGGACAACTTCACTGTGAGCAATCTCGCTCCACTTTACATGATAGCACTTTTTCTGAAAGGAAATTTGACTGGGATGGTACTTTAGGTAGGTCAATTTTTTGATTTTCTCTATTATATTCATAATAAATAAAAAACACCAGGAAAGACATGGGAAAAGCCTAGGAAAAACGGGAAAATAGGTACAATATTAAACTAATATTATTAAAGAAAATATATAATGCATATGTAATTATTTTACCATAATATGACGTATACCAGAGTGATTCACTAAACGTGCTCACATCATTTTTTTAGTTAAATTTTGCATACGTTTAAATTTTGACTGGAGGAGTATCTTGTGGCGATACCAACATTGGTTTTCAAATGAAAACTTATACTAAAAATTCCGTAAATAGATAGAGTATTAACTAAATAAATTCTCGTGCTAAAATGTTTGATTTCCGTTAACGAAATATTCCACTTTTAAGTTTAGATAGGGGGATAGTAGCGGAGCACCATGCCACATAAATAATACTCGAATAACTCGTCAACAAATTGAGGTAAAAATAAACATTTTAGCACTAACATTTATTTAGTTTAATACTTCATCTATTTATGGACCAATCTACAACAGTGACCGCACCAGTCTCCAGTATTGGCTCTATTTTTTTAACATGTTTTAAATTTACCGCCAAAACAGAGTATACCAATTAACAGATCCCTGTTTATTTTTAGGTTATGTTTTATCGCTACTCTTTTGTAATCTCTGATGTTATCAATATCAATCAAATAGCGGTTTTAATTTTTTAAAGTTTAAAAATATTTTATCTTTTAATTTCTGTATCTTGTGTTATAATTTTTTTTTTACCCTTTTTTTCTCAGGTATTGGTTGTAATCAATGTTAATATTAATTTAAATTAATAATGGAACATAATGTGCATCAAATAAGCAATGCTGTAATGATTAATTCACTAGATACTATAATCGAACAAGAAAGTTGGAAACTTGAGATGGATAAAAACACTGGTTTGCTAGCAACAAAATCAAAAGTAATGAATGTAATATGTTAACAAATATTGGAAATTACTTATTTTATTTAAATTGTGTTATATATGTCTATTAGAATATTAGTTAATTTCTCATCTAGAGTTTTTAATAATATAATTTACCTACTCTACTTACAATCTACCTATTTAACTGTACCTATGTGTTTTATTAAGCGTAAAGCTACCTACTTTAAATATATAGCTTAAAATAATTTTAGTAAATAGTATTAAAATATAGGTTATTCAAATATTTATGCTGGAAAATATTTGTATTATATAATTTTTATATGAAAACTATCGATTCTATGTTTTCTGGTTTTGTCAATTACGCCAATTTTGGGAGAATAGGTAGGTACCTATGTTATATACATCCATTTTGTAGATCCAAAAAAGGTATACATCAATTGTGCCAGATCATTTTAAAATATATCAATTGTTAAAAATTGTATGGATGTTGCTACTTGTATTGTATTTGAATGTTTTTTTTATTGTTGTTGCAAATTGTAATGTCAATTTTTACTTATCTAAAAAATATATTGAAAAATGCATAGGTATTAAAAATCTATATAAATGTAGATATTTATTTATGTTATTTACGTTTTATTTGTTTTTATACTTTAGATTTTTAATCTTTTTTTTTTATTTCTCGATAATGTTCATTCTTATGTATGACTGAAGTTGAATCATTTTCAAAAATATTAAGGATGCGGTAAATACAAATATTTCCAAAATACTAAGTGAAACGGTTCACAGGCTTTGTAGTTCTTTCACTTAATATACCTGATTATGTGATGCCCAAAGATACAGTGAAAAAGTTGCATATATATATTAACGAGATAATCACAAAAGTATACTTTTCAAATTTTTATATACCTATTTATAAATCAATCAGTGCAAATGATATAAAACAATATAATACATTCAAATATTGATTAACGCATATAATGTTTAATTTTTTTCTAATAATTAATTCCTAATTATTCTATAGTTTTACATTTTTACCTGTGATTTCCGGTGCAATTGATATATCTTTAACTTTTCAATATGCAGAATAATATTTTAATTGTAGGTACTATTGTAGTTTTATACATTTTTAATGTAAGTAAATACTGAAATATATCCATAGTTTAGATGTATTAATAATTGAAAGTGATTCCTTATTAACTTGGTCAAATTAATAATAATTCACATACCTTTATAAGTAATTAGATAATTTTTTTGAAAAATATCTTAAATTCTAACATACCTACACCTAATCCAATTATCTTTAATACACTCGCTGTTGTGTTAGTACATACCTAATTGACTATTCAGTTTTTAAGACTGCTAACCTCCACCAATACATTGAACATTTAAACAACAAACCCTGACACTGCCAAATATCTAGGCCTAACCATTGACGAATGCCTAAATTGGGCCAAACACATTCACCCAACCTAATTAAAATTAAATAGACAACTTAACCTACTCAAACCCATCCTAGGCAAATTCTCTAAAAACTCTTTCAAAACCAAAGTACAAGTCTTTAATTGCTTAATTTAACATGTATGATTGTTTGGTATTTAACACTGAAACACTAAAATACTAACATACAAAAAAATCCAAATATTCTAATTAAAAACTCATTACTTATTAAAACTCATAAATTATAGCTAATGCTCTTCCCATACATCTGAAATTGTACTCTTCACACAGATTTTTATATTTCTACAGTTACTAAAACAGCTAAGCTACTCTAAATGTATAAATTGCCTTAAAAATCATACTAATTCCCTTGCCCAAAAGCTATTATCTATCTACATTTCTGAAATCCCTGCAGGATGCTCAGGTGGCAATGGCCCCAAAACCTTGTCAAATAAATTTAAAAACAAATTCTTAATTACTTTTAGTTCATGCCTAAAGACCATAACTGGTTGGGTTTCCCCAAGTCTTATTGTAATATATGTATAAATAGATTGTATAATTATATAAAAAAAAAAAAACAAATTTTTAAGACAAAATAATATTATATACCTACAAAAGCTACAATTTACAATGTATAACATTGATTTTAGTTAAAAAAACAAAATTATTTAATTTAGGTATTATATTTATATAATATATATCACATTATTTATGTGGTTTTTGTGTTTTTTTTTTTTTAAACAAGTTTAATTGTTCATAAATTGTTTATTAATGGAATTATTTAACAAAGTAATATTATTTCCAGATAAATCAATCAGCAAAACCAAACACAAATACAGTCTCTCAAAGTATATCTCTTAAAAGTCATTCAACAAAACTAAATCAATCATGTGATCGTACAACTGAAATTGATAGGTTGGCAAACTTATTTACACATTCACCTAGTTACTTTACAAAAAACAGTAATGATAATAGATTTGATGTCAAAAATAACCAAATGTTATTGAATGAGAAAACGGCTACACAGACACACAATGTAAGTACTTGGCGTTACCATTAATATTAAATTGAAGTATAATTAATGATTTTTAGGTCTTGCAGTGAATATTTAAAATTATATGGTAATGTAAACACATTTATTTTATAATGTTGAGTACACTGAATGTCGTTGTACTGAATACATAATATTATGTGTTTATAATAAATGTAACAAAATTATCTGTTTTCAGGTATTTTATAACTACAATAATGTTTTAATAAATACAGAAAATAGAGAAAATTTAGTGTCTCCAGATATCAAGGTATTAATTATTAATATTTTTATGATTAAATTTTGTAATTTGTATAGTATTTGTTTAAATTATATAATGAATCTGTAGTTAAAAAAAAAAGAAAATGTAATTTATTTTAAGGTGAGAAGAAATGTTCGATTTGGAGAATATTCACCGCTTAATCCAGCCAATCAAGTAAATTCACAACCTTATTTAGGCATTGGAGAATATGAAAATAAAAGAAAAAAAATATTAGAGTTACAAAGAAAGGAATATATAGAACATTTATCTAAAGTAAATGTTCAAAATAATTAATTATTTTTCTAATTTATAGATTATAAAATTAATAATAAAATATATAACTTTTATAGTCGAAACAAAAAAATAATGTATCAAATTTACCAAAATTGCCAGCTTTTTCTTGTAATGAAGCATTTAAATCTGCAATGGTAAGTATTTTCTGTAATACACAAAAAAAATGAACAATCGCTTAGTCTTCAAGATTATCTTAGTTTTTCATCAAACCCGATATAAACACTTACCCAGACATTTTTCAATGGCTCTATTTACAATGTTGAAGCTCATTTAAAGTATCAGCCAAAATATTTTTGAAAGTTTCTCCAAAAAATTCTTGGGTAGGATATCTAGTATGGTTAATTTCTGTAATAAACCTAACTATAATATTACTAAAGCAACAAATTAGTTGTCTAAATATTTTTTTTTTGGTCTACTCTACTCCTTCGTTCAATATAAAATTAAAGAGTTAAGAGAATTTTAGATGTTTGGAATTTCACACTATGCGTAGTTTTCTGTGACATCTTATAAATGGACTGTATACGCATTACAGTAAGTTTTCCTTTGGTACTGATGGTATAGCAGTTGATTTTTTATTTAATCTGACGAACATAATTATATGGCCTGTTTTTCATAAAGTCATTGACAATTATCCATTACTTTAAAACCAATTCTAAAATTCGGTAATTTGTTAATATGGTTGAAAATTAGAGGCCAATCATAACTATTTACTTTATGATATAATTGTTGAGTATTTTGGTTCCTATCATTTTGTTCTGCTTCTTTGGTTATATTATGTACAAATTTCCTTTTTTCGTACCTTATAATATTATGAGCTTCCTTTCTGCTTGATCTAAACAAAATTTCTTTTAGATTCTGAGCGCAACAAAGAATGAATTGATTTTATAATGTTTATTTATTTTAATTTTATTTTTTTGTTTCTTTGAACAACTTTTATACTAGTAATTTTGCTTCAATTTTTAGGTGTAGAACTTTTTCAAAATCGCTCAGAATCGTTTTTTCCATATCCATATCTTTTTTAATATTATTAATATAATTTTGTCATGTTTTTCTAACTATTTTTCTCTTACTCAATGCTTCTTGGCATATTGTGCTTGAGCATCTTAGTTAACTAATTTATATCCTAACTTATTTCAGTTATAATATAGCATTGAGTTAATGACTATACTAATGGTATTTGTACATTTTGATCAGAAATATATACTAGGTATTTAATAATTTTAATCATTTTTGTTATAGGAAAATAATAGTAATTCCAAACAAATTAAATTAGGTGACAACATAGATTGTAAGTATTTAATTTGTATAAATATTTATTAGGATGTTATAAAAACAATTGTTTTGTTTAGTGCACCAAGAAGACACAATACAAATAGTTCCTCCATTTGTAGATGGTGTTGAATCATGTGCATGTTAGTTACTCACCAATTACATTGAATTTTTCATTATATATTTAATATTTACATTAATAAATGTGTATTTAATTTAAAACTTAGTCAACGAAGAACAGATAAAAGATGCAAATAAATTAAAGCAAGAACTCTATAGATTTGAATTAAGTAAACAGATAGAGGAGAAAAAGAAATACGAATTAGAAAGAAAACATAAAGAACAAATGGAAGATGACAAAATTGAAAGAGCAGCAAGAGATCAGGAAAACAAAATAAAGAGAGCATATGAGAAAGAAGCTGAGAAACGAATTATGGCTCAAATTCAGGTTTGCGTTATATTTTTAAACAGTTAATTACTGTTCATACAACTTATATTGATCTAAAAAGTAGTAAAGCTCGCAGTTATCGACCAAACTAAATAAACTTCAACACTTATAAGAAAATACAAGATTTATCAACAAATTGTTTATGGAAAAAGATATGCAATTAGTTAAAATAAAATTCTATTAGTATATATAATTTACATATGTGACATATAATGGACTGACATTTCTTAGATGAATTCTAAAGAAACATACATTATATGAAAATTATATTTTTTATTTATTGAAAGTACATATATTAAAATTTTTAGTAATGTTTTAAAAATTATATCTTACAAATATTGACTTTGATTGGCAATACACATAATATGGTGTAGTTCTCGGAAGTTTTTCATTCTTTGTCTTTAGCATGACCTCCTTGTCCCCTTGTGACCATTTCCTATGAGAATACCTTAAAGGTTTTTATTGTCATCTAACCCTTAAAGAACTTCAAGCTATTTGTGAAGCATTTCTCAAGTTATGCTAAAGAGAGACAAGAGTGATATAAAACTATCAGGAATCCATATTTGCATCGACTATCAAGACCAACATTTCAACGATATAGTTTTTAAAAATTAGATAAACCAATCCTTACTATATGTACTTTAAACAAATAAAAAGTTTTTCTTATCCAATTTATTTAGAATTTACCTCAGAATGTGAAAGTCCATTATGTTGCATTTTTTACTGTTCATTATATATTATAGATCAAATTAATGATTATATTATATTAATGCATTCTAGAAACAACTTCAACAAGAAAAGTTAAATCATGAAATAATGCAAAAGCAAAAGGATTTGGAAAAAAAATCTTGGAGTATGCCATCAGTTACAGTTCCTCGGCAAGAAAATATTAACGATAAAACAATGCAAAAGCAAAATGATTTAGGAACTAAATTATGGAATATGCCATTAGAAACACTTCCTCAACAAGTTACAAAACATGTACAGAGTCGTGGGGATTTGTTTGAAAATTGTGATACAGAAGAGTTTCACTGTCCTCAGAGCTCTTTTGATAATGTACCTTTACCAACTACACGTGTTCGAGTACCTAGAAAAGTATTTCAATTGTGTTATTATTACTATTATTATTCATGATTCTGTTTGTAGATGGTACAATAATTTCATTTTAGATCACTTATGACGAAGAAACTGATATTGTTGATATGAATGTATCATGTAGTGAAGATATATTTGAAAAACCATGTATTTCCCCTCCGGAAATTGTAAGACAAAAAATGGAAAGAGCACATGTGTCTTTTGCCAGCGATTCTCCTATGAAAATTAAAGAGCATAATCCTGCTGCTTTACTTCCAGTAACTAAAAATGTCATTATTGATTCTCCACTTACTCTTGCATTGGCTGGAATGGGTGATAATGTAGAAGACTTTGAAAATGTTGAATCGATTGAGCCAATTGAAGGAACTTATAGAAATCCGGTAAAATAAATGATTAGTTTTTAATTAAAAAAATTAATTTGATTAATATACAAATTTAAATAAGGTTTGATAATCATGTACCTATGAGTTATTAAATGATTTATTTTTATAATTGAAATTATTACTTTATTTTATATTTGACATTTGGTGCATCATAATGTATGAACAAATATGTTTTAATGGGTATACTTATGTGTACAGGACAATAATTCAAAATGGTATTATCCTCGTAAATAATGTAAGTAATAAATTTCAATTGAATAACTTTATGTAGTACCTATAGGTTTAGAATAGAATTTCCTGACTTTTGATACCATAATGGTTTATAGTCGTAGACCATCTAGATTTGCTCGATTTTTTTGAAATTAGCTTTATTTGAAAAACAATAGATCGTTAGATAGATAGTACAAATAAATTACACATAGGCCAACAAACAAAATGTATCACCACTGTCAATAAAGCCTTTGAATAACTAATAAAAATGCATTTCATCAATTTTTCAATATTCATTTATACTTCTATTTCATTTATGTTGATTTTAAATTTTCAATTCCTATACATCTTGGAGAGTGAATGTAAAAAAAAGTACTATAAATTCATAATTATTATTACATTAGTTTTAAACTAATTAAACAAATAGCTGCTTGATAATTGTATAACTGGTTGTTGTATACACAAATTTTTTAATTTTTAGATTGAATGTGCTCATTTTTATGGAATTCAACTAATCTTAACAAGAACAATTTTTTATTACTTATATAATTGTCATGATCATTTATAAATAATAATAATACTTATGAAGTATTTATATAGTGCAGTACAGCAAGTGTTATGTAATTTATTACAATTTTTTTTTTTAAAATACATTTCTAGATCTCTAAAAAGATGTTACTAGGAAATAGTCACAAGTTACCTACTGACAAGCACCTGATATCAAACTTGGGAAACATAAGGAAACAATTGGATATTGAACATCAAAAGTTAAAACAACAAGTTCGAACAACGCAATAAATTAATTTAAATTGTATAAATATTTTATTTTGTACACACAAAAAAAAAAAAAAAAAATATATAGATCACTTATACATAATGATTACATGAATGTAATTTCATTTATTTTGTTCATTAATTTACATAGATTACATATTATTATCTACTGTATATCTATATTACATAAACAAATGAATACATGCATGTGTCTTATACATATCTATTATTATTCGGATCTTAATGCAATTTTAAACTCTTGACTTTTAAACAAGAAGATTGTTCTCCATTTAATACAAAATTTTGATAATCCGAGATTTAAAAATTAATGTTATTAACAATAATGTGTGCAATAAATGATACAAGATAAATATAGGAAAATACAGAGGTCAACAAACCTTACAAAATATTGTTACCTCAACAAGATAAATAATATTTTGTAATCTACATATTATTCTTTAAGAAAACTACATGGACCTAAAACATACAAAAAATAAAAAAATTGAATGAAAGGCAATACTTTCTGATATAATTTATATTAAGCATTAAACGAATAATTTGTAAACAAAACTGAATTTTTAAAATAAAATTATCTTCGAGATTTTACCTTTTCATTAGATCTAGTATAATCTCAGATGAGTATTTCAAGATATATATTGAGAAAAAAAACTAAAAGATTTTAAATGGGAAAACATATATCCACACCTACAGTAAAATATTCAAAATATTTGATGTATTGTCTCAAAAATATTTAATTTATAATACCTACTTATCAGTTTTATTATTGTTTAAATTTAAAAATCATATTGTTTTTTACTAAGGTTAAGTGTTATTATGCATATTTATTTACTGTTCTAAAAAACAAAAAAAGTAAATTATGCAGTTAAATTAATATTACTAAAATTATGAAAATAAAACAATAAAGATTATAAGTCTTCAGAATCAGGATAATAAAGAAACATTACAGTTAAAAAACCATTAGTTTATCAATCTTGCCTGTTTTAATGCGACAAAATCGATAATTTTCAATTAGTTACAAATAAAGTAAATTAATACTACATAATTCAATTTTATATTTTATGCATGTTATAGATTATTACAAAGTATAAATGTAAATTAATAATAAATGGTAGAAAATGTTCAGTCTTAATATTTTTAACTAAACTTCTAGATCAATAATTATATAATTTATGAAGTGGTATTGTTATTGCTATCATTATCAACTATATCATTTTCATCATCTGAAGCAGTCAAATCAATATCTGAAAAAAAAATAATAATAATAATAACAAATAAATTATTAAATCAGAAATCACTACCACAAATATTAAATTTAAGTTTTGATTTGATTAATAACAATGCTGTGTTAACTAGTTGCCACCAACCAGTATAAACATTAACTTTGTGTTTCAGAAAATTTATAAATGGCCTGTTAATCCTATTAGAAAAAATAAATTATAAATTGTATGAAAATTATTGTAATATTGTAGTTTTAACTATATAGTGTACTACCTCTTATTTAATCTAACACTAACATTAATATTCATATTAATGACTTTAAAAGATATTTAACCAGTACTATATTAATATTGTATACACAACAAATGTTTGGTTTTCATTTAATAATTTCTAAATTAGAAGATTTTAAAACAAACAATATGTGTAGAGCTGGTTTAAAAGAATTACATTGAACATTATCTCCAAAAGCAGAACACATAAATTAAAAATTTAAATAAAGCAAAGAAATTTAATTAAAATAATAATTAACACTGAAAATACCATATAATACTAATCCTAGACATTATTTAATCATAAATTGTTTTTATTAAAATATAAAAGTAAAATATTATTTACTAAACACAAATTCTATCATCTGTCAGCAGTGCCATAGTACAAATAAAATGTATGGAAAGTCTGGGTCTAAAATTTGTTTGCGATAAGTATTTTAAATGATGCCAAATTCAGCAAAAATGGCAAAAATAAATGGTACGGTAAAAATTATTTTAGGTATAAATCAATGTGTTATGTAGTATAAAAATGTCGATACTGGGATGAGCGTGCGGCTCTTTTAGGTGGTAAGTTGAGAAGATAGAAATACATGAAGTTTTTTAATTTATATCCGGAAGCAACAATAAACTATTGCTAATGAAAAACGATTCAGAGTTAAGTTTAGTGTTGCACATTCAGAAGGCTGTAAAATTTATTATTTGTCAAATTTTGATATTGGAATTCTTATAAAAATAAAAATACACAAAATACATTTTGTTTGTTTTATATTCCTTATTTCGAAAAGTATGAACTTTTAAGCAAGATTTCTGGAAGAAAATTTTGCACAACAAATCGAGTTATTTTTTGAATATAATCGCCAGAGCCAGCAATAAGCTAGATCTCTAGGTACACTTAAAATGCATTTGTGTTTTTCCTACTTAGATAAAAGGGGAAAAAAAGTGCAAACAATTTCTTTTCAAACCCAGGACCCCTAATATAACAATACTGAGTTATTTAAAAATAAACATGTAATTTCGAATCTTATTCAGTCCTCTCAATTCTGACTTTACCATCCTTTTTAAATCGGTAATAATCATAAGTTCAAAAAAAAAAAAAATTATAAATTAGATTTGTTCCGCATAATTTTTAACTCAATTTTACTCAACAGTTCTTGTCAAAATGTAGTATCCAAATTCCTTTATAAAAACAAATAATACATTAAACTCAATTTTTTCACAGAGTACCTATCAAATACAAATTATGTACAAAACTCTCAAAATTAAAATGTCTATAAATAGCTCAAAAATGGCCTTGATTTTTTGAAAATTTTACCACTTTTAGAAAAGGCAAATACAAGTTTTTTGTCCAAATTTCAAGTCTCTACGAATATTTTTAACTGAATAACAACAAATAACAAAATTGATAAAATAAAAGCATTAATTTTGTACATTTCCCATTTTTCTTAAGTTTTATTCTGGTTTTTCAGATATTATGGAAACCACTTGGAAAATCAAAAAATTACCTCCCAAAAGTAATAACTGGACAACATTTTCTTTGGTGCCATGCGTATAAAATATTTGAGCAAGATTTATGGTCAAATTTTTGTACACAAGATAAATTCATCTTAGTAAAAAACCAATATAATCTTTGCTGCATTCAGAATCTAAAATAATAAACATTATTTTCGTAAATATCCTGTTTGTCCCACATTTTTATTGAGAAAAATGCCAGGAAAATCAAAAATGACCTCCCTAAACTTTCAGAAAAGGGTTTATACCATATATACGTCAAAGCAAGATTTGTGGTAGAATTTATGTACACAAGATAAAAAAATAAAAAAAAAGTAAAACAAATACACCCTTTGCTATACTGAGAATCTAAAATAAACCAACTGGGAATTGATTAACACTTACAAAATTATTCTCATTACTACTTTTAACTTTTCAAAAATAAAAAAAAGGTTATAGGATTTAAAATTATCAGTTTTCACCAGTTCTTAGTCCTGGTATTATTTTGAAAGTTACTTGAACTGAAAAAACAAAATGTTAAACCGTAAAGCAAGTCATTTTACACTTAAATTATTACTTACAATTCTGACAAAATTAATTAGTTTTTGACACCCAAAATTGTTCTAAAATTTGGATTTAAGAAATAACATCACAGTATTTTTTTAAATTTACATCAAAATTTAACTAAAAAAGACACTGCCAAGACATAATAATTTATTTTAAAAAAAAATAATATTATATACATTAAAATACTTACGGCTAGTTACAACACATAGTAAACTTTTATCTCTCAATTGATTAGCAATAAATCTGCGAGGAGCAATGTTTCCAGCTACTTCTCCGAGTGTCCCAACGTCACTTATTTTTGGATAGTTAGGATCATCATCAATAGCAGGGAAATAGTTATAATGATATTGTAAAGACATGTCGTCTTTTTGTTTCTTCCTATTGTCTTTTGATGTTGATTTCGGTGGTTCAACATATTTTAATAACTAAAAAAAAAATAATCACAAGCCAAAATAAATATTTTAAACATAGCTAATAATGATTTAATACAATTGGTAACTTAAGCAATGTCCAATATTAGAGCTATAATCACAAAATATGATTGGGTACAATAAAATAAAATATGGTAGTTCATAAAAATAAAAATAAAGTTTTAGGTGAAAATTATGTCTCTTCTAGGGATATTTTTAAACAATCATCTGTTCAAAAATTATTAGAAATTAATCCGAAGTAGTAGGTTGATACTTACCAAACAGCCTTATTCTCAAAGTGAAAATGTATACATTCATAAAACACATTCATGTTGTACCAACTATCTAATTAATTTTAAATGTATGCATTTCATTTAAATGAATTAAAGAACTTTGTAAAAACATATAATAGGAGCATTGTATATCAATTATAGTAATATAGTATATTAAATATTTTAATAATATAGAGCAAAGATTTCATTTTTAAAGACACAAGATTTATTTACATATATATGTATATACATATTTTCAAAGTGAATCACCTAAATGTGCACCAACTCTATTTTATTTTATTGGTTGGTTTAATTTTACATGTTGAAATTTTGAAAATTTTTCAGTGTAGATGAAGACAATATTTTCATTAAATTTAAAAAGTATCATGTGGTGATAACAACATTAGTTTTTCAAATAAAAACCTAGATTGGTATAGCTACAGGATACTTTTCCAATGTTGTGAATAATCCAAGTATATAAAAATACTGTCTTTAAATACACTTAAAAATTCCAAAAATAGGAATTTGAATGTATGATAAATGTATCCAAAATAATGGGGTGAATACGCTTAATGAAAAACCTCCCTGTGTATATGTTTTATATGTATAACTAAAATCAAAGTAAAAAATTGATCCATCAGACTTAATTTTTATTTTAATTGAACATATATTTAACAATTATTTGTAAAATACCAGAACAGATAGAATAATTAATCACCCAAAACAAGAACCATTCCAATTAAAAATTATTAGTTTTGTGCATAAAAAAAAGCTGATTAGAATCTGAACAAAGTCAAGCATTGATCATGGAAGTCTATTGTTAGTATATAATTTTAATTTCATGATTTAAATCAGAGCAGACAAAACACGTTGAAATAATACTTATTTTCACATAAAATTATTAATTTACTTTTTCATCTTAAATAAGTTTCTTGTTTATCTTTTTTTAAATAATATATTTTTTTAAAAATGCATATTAAAGCACATATTTACAATGTTTAAAAGGATATAAAAATCATATTTAAGCTTTTTTTTTAACATAAAAATCCATATAGAAATTATAAAATTTGCTTTTAATCCAATAAGACAATCATTAGTGTTTTTTTGATTAATAAAAGCAGTTAGATACTAGATCATGAATTAAAAGTAATTGATTAATGAATTGCTGAGTTAAGTTAAAAAAAAAAAAAAGATTACTATTTACTTTTAATTTTGACGAAGATAATATATATATTGCATTGTTGAAATGGTCTAATATTTACAAAAATTAAATGAAAATGTTCTTCTAAAGAACACCCTAAAGTACTCATGTTTTGAATTCCTAGAACATCAAGAACAAGTCTGAAATACATAAAAAGCAGAACACCATATACTAAATGGCCAAATGTGGAAAAATAACTTTTTTTTAAAAAAAAAAATGTCCATGGGCTATTGCTTAAATATCCAGCGTAAAAAATATTAGAGTTGTTATCTTAATAATAACATCTGAATGTGTATGAAATATATTTAAAAAAAATTAATTTACCAATACATCGCTGTCATTACTTTCATCTGAAATAACTATTGGAACAGGTGGTGATGTTGATGTAGATGGAATGAGACGATAATTTAATTCCCTATTGTTATTGTTAGGTCTTGGAGATTCTCTCGTTGACATCATAGGTAGAAAATGTCCAGTTTCTTCAAGAGATTCAGTGTATCTGGTTGGTTCAAAAGATCCCGCGTATCTAGATGCCCCAAGAGATCCCGAGTTTCTGGTTGATCCAAAAGATCCCGAGTTTCTGGTTGATCCAAGAGATCCTGAGTATCTGGTTGCTTCAGGAGACTCTACATGTCTGTTTGCTCCAAAAAGTCCAACATTTCTTGTAGCTGTTTGATTTCCTTTACTTGTTGATGCTGCACAATGAATGTCCATATTTCTCGTCTCTTCAAGATTTCTCCTTTTTCTTTTTGCTTTATGAGCTTCTACATTAATAATTGGAGCGTCACGAATTCTCCTACTTCTATGAGTTCCATTAATAGCTACAGTATTGCTAACAGTTGCCGTTACAGTATTACTGATAGTAGCTAAATTTAAATTAATTATTTTAAGAATTAGAATTAAATAATACATTTTAAGAAAAATACAGCATAAATTACCACTCTTTCTATCTGTTTTTGAAGAATTGCTTTTTAATTTTTCTGTTTGCCTTTTTTTCGCCAATTCTGAAATGCATAAATCGTATGTATTTATTTATAGTTTATAATAAAGAAATGCCGAAGAATTATAAAACAAAACAAGTATTAATACTACTCATTGTTAGGTTTTATAAATTATCTTATTATAACAAAATAGGAAAAAATATGATTATTCTAACCAGTTAGCTCTATGCACTCGGCGCATACCCATTCTTGGTCAGCTTTTACAGAGCTGCATAACTTATGTGTACCACTAGAGCCACATGTAGTACACAAAATAATTTCCCATGACCCGCTATATATATATATATAAAAAAAAAAAAAAAATGAAATTAAACTTGACTCAAAGTTAAAATCTAATAAAGTAACATACAAATAGCAGCAACTTACCTTTCTTGATTAAATCGTCTTTTATCACGGTGGGGACACATACATGATGTAGCATCGCACGAGTTATGTCTTTCTAAAAGTTCTGCAAAAGCATTAGGCACTGTTTCCCATGAAGCGTCCCTGTGATCAATTTTTTTCATGTAATGCCTACAGTATAAAATTACGACATTCACAGGGTACCCGTCCAAAAACGATTATTTATGTATGACTAATTTTTATCAACTTAACTCAGTAGGTTAAAAATATTTGTTACAAGAAAAAAATAATTATCATCAACATAAAAATAAAATATCTAAACTATTTAATTTATCATTACACATTTGATTTGAGCAGGGGATATTTATATCTATAGACTTTTTAATTTGTCCTAAGCACGGCCATGCAGTAACAAATTTATTATATAAGTAAATAAACTCCAGAGAAAATTTAATGAATTATCAGTAAGCAACAATACCAACAATTAATTAAAAAAGAACAGAGATTAGGTACAACTAGTTTAATTTTTATGAAGATGTAAAGTTTTAATATGAATAATAATATAATATAAGTGATATTGGTACCTTGATGGAATATAAATTCCCAAATACAACATTCTGGATTTGAATTTTTCAACGTTATTACACAGTGGGCATTTAAAAAAATAACCCGTACTTAATGCCAAGTCTTGTATGCATTTACGATGAAACCATGCATTCCGTCTACAACATGGAGCCCAAATGGAATCTGGTAATGGTGTTGGTATAATTCCTTGCTTACAAATTGAACATTCTACTGGTGAACTATTTTGTAGGTCAGCTATGTCGATTACCTGTGCCTTACGATGTTGTGAACAAAAAGATCTGGAAATAATAAGTTTTGTTTAATAGAAGTAAGAATTTTAATTTATCTATTTAATATTAATAAAAATATATTTCACCAAACAACAATGATCAAAAGTACTAACCACCTACTATGGTCAATGGCTGTGCTTTGGGTAGGAGTTCTAAACATAATAAATAGAAAAAAGAAATACAAAATACTTTACACATTTTTAACTAAACTTATCTGTTATATAATTTAAAGTTATAACTTTAAAAGAAAAATTACCAAAATCTCAATCATTTAATAATGCTTACATAAAACGCCAAAAGAATCAAATTTAATTATTAAGAAAACACAAATTATACAAAACAAAAACTATTAAAACGTATACACATTTTTGAAACAATAATACAAATTGAATTTTTAAATCTTTTATTATATAATTATGAACTACAGTATCAATAATATACTTACAACACAAATAAACAAACATGTTTATAGTTAAGTATACGCAAGTTATTAAGACTAGTCTTGAAGATAATATTATTTTGGTATACTCAAAAAAAAGTATAAAAGAATTAATAGTTATATTTAATCTATTTGTAAGAACACTGAAAGTACTTCCCCAGAAGAGTAAACCATACATAAGAATAGACTTAACCAAGTATGTATATGGCACTCATTCATTTTGTAGGTAAGATGTTTTTTAAAATACTAAAAATAAATTTTTTTTTAAAAAAAATTTTATTATCAAAAAAAAAAAATCAGACATACTTTTCACAATGAGTGCAGCCACTGTTGTTAGTGAGAATTCGGGAATGAAGGGAAATTAATTTGTATTTATAGGCAACAATAAACCATTGTTAACAAAAAAAAAAATCATTCTGAGCGGAGTTCAGTTAATAGTGTTACTTTTTCAAGCCGAGTCCGAAGAGTCAATATAATATTTTAAAAATTTTACCATGCCTAGAAAAAGCAAACATAAGTTTTCTATTCTACAAATATACTAAACAGAATTACAAATAACAAAATTGAAAAATAATAAGCATTATTTTTGTAAATTTCCCATTTTTCTCTTTTACTTGAAAACTGCCAAGAAAATGGAGCTCCCTAAAATACCACCTCAAAAAAATTTAATTTCAGAAAAAGGTCTACATCATATACACAAGATCAAGATTTCTGGTAGAATTTTAATACACAGTATAAAAAAATAAAAACAAATAATAAGCATATTTCAAAAAACCAATAGTAATACATTCTTCGCTGCACACAGAATCAAAAATTATATATCTAGCAATATCTAAATATAGATTGTCAATACAAAAATGAAGATAGTAGAATTATTTAGTGTTTCATTGTAAAGAGTTATTACCTACATTTACTGTCATAAAGATTATTTATTCAGCAATTATTAAATAACAAGACAGTATCATTCGCAAAGCAGATAATATTACTATCATTTTAAAAATCCATTCATATATACAGGATAGAAAACTGGACCTAATACTATCCCAATTGATACACCAAAAGTAGTTACAATTTCAGTACTAACAATTTTTTATTTTAACCACTTGAGTTTTATTCAAATTATATAAATAACCAGAGTCTCACAAATACCACAGAACTCCAGTTTATTTATCATTGTATTTTAATCAATGGAATCTAAAGCTTTTAAGTTTCTAAATAATCCTAAAATTTCATTATTTTTATTTATATTCTCATCAAAATACCTTATTATATTAATGTGAAATATAATGCATGATAAGTGAATAATCTCTTTCAAAAAAAATTATATTTATCTAAAAATTAACTAATCTAGTTTAATACATTCTTCAAAAGGTTAACAGATTGTTAATGCCAAAGAAATAGGTCTACAGTTATTACATAACTTTGCATTGTCATTTTTTTAAAATAAAACAGGGAATATTCCAAAAAAGAAAAAAGTATTAAAAACAATTGACAACTAAAACTACTGGTATTCTTTTAGAACGTTATAAAAAATATAATTTAAAATGGATGTGATTTCATAAAATGTATTAATTCACTTACTAAAACAGGGATCCAAAAAAAAAAAAAAAATTAAAAATATGAAATATGCCAACCACCCATTAAATTTAGAATTGTTAAAATTCTATTTCATAAAATTATTTTTTACTTACTTAAATTTTTGATAAAATTGATGCATTGAACCATTTGCCATTCCACAGGGAAGATGAAATATTTTTCGACATCTTGGTTCACAGCAAGATATTGTAGCACCATTCTTCTTGCAATAAATGCAAATCTAAATCATAGGTAATTATGATTATTTAAAATACCTATTGTATAGGATACCTATTATTACTTCTCTTGATCCTCGATTCAATTCATTTTTAATATCTTTAATTAAAAATCCCAAAATTCCATCTTTGTCTTCTCCGTTTTGAACAGCTCTTGAAGATAATAACTAAAAATAATTTATCAAGGATTATACTTTATAAATCTCTTTTATGTGTAATAAATCATTATTTAGCTAGAAAATGCACTTACAATACAAAAATAGTGAACAACAATGTCATTAAACTGGTAAAGTAAACCATATGATCTTTCGCTTATTTCCTTTTGACCGCAAAACATACATTCTTTATTGTGTTTCTCTTCCAGTGTGATTAATTCATCCTTGTGTTTCACTACAGCTTGGCGTGTTGTTACTCTTCTTGTCTTTAGATTTTCTATTCAAATTACAATTTTAATAAATAACAATTATCATTAAACACAAAAATAACAAACTTTATAAGTAAATCATCATTCAACAAAACATATACTATGTAAAGATTATGAGGCTTATACCGGGTAATTAAATAGTTTGTACATGCCCATAGAATAATTTTATTAAAATAAGTAAAAAAAAACTTTTATTAGAAAAAAAAAATTCAGTGAACAGGTCAAAATATCTGTTGCATGTGGATTGAATAAGAAAGTAAAACAAGGTACCTAATTATTTGATAGTTTTTTAACTACCTATATGTTTCTATATATATAAAAAAAAAACAGTAAGCAGTACTTAAATGGTCCATTATCATAGCTGTTATTAATAATAATTGAGCAAAAATGTACTACGGAATAGTTAAGTGGCTACAAAGGCCAAATATGACAGTTAAAAAAAACAAAACGGTTGTTTTAAAAATTAATACCTATTAATTGTGATTTTTTGTCTATCATAAAATATCATTTTATAATAACAAATTTCAATTTTTGACCACATTTGTATAAATTTCAAATATGTGATTTTTTTATGGTTTATATACAACTATAATAGTAAGTATGATAGGCAATTTTTGATTATACCAATGGATTAAGCGTTTAAAAACAAACGTTTTGGAAAAATAAAAATAAAACATTTTTAATTCTAACAAAGAAATACGCTAAACAGAAAACCCGAATATTATAAAGTTTCCCTCATAACTTCCAAACAAAGTTTGTCTGCCATTTTTATTACATTCTTAATGAATACGTAAAACGACACATTTAAAAAAAAAAAAAAAAATGAAAAATTTGCATGGACATTAAACTAAATTCATTCCAAATTTCTAGAAAAAATTATTTCCTATTTGAATCTGTGATTAAAAAAGTGTAGGGTTTGCTAGTCAAAAATTAAAATTGGGGACTAAGGACTTAGCCCATAGGAGTAAACAATTGAAAATATTATTCAAATATAACAAAATACAAAATGATAAAGAAAAAAAGAAATTAAGATCACTTACAATTCTCCAGGAAAAAAAAAAAAATTGATAGTGTATGATTAAAGATTCACTCTGTACATTATAGGATTTTTTTAATTTGAAATATGGCAGTTTTAAAGTTTTTGAAAGTAGAGTAAGAAGAACAGTTAAGAACATATTGTTGGAATAATCAAAAAAACAGAATATTTGCTGAAATTCCTGAAAGCCCGTATCAAAGAATGGTTTCAGATTTTCTCATGACATAGGGTGTTATACACATTCTCTCAAAGATACTGAAAACGAACATTAACTTTGCAAGATATTGTTAACTGATGTCAGTACTGATAACAATTGTTTGCCAACAGTCAATGAATTTAAAAATTTAGTTAAAAAAATGATCTAAACATTATAGGTACAAAAAATATTGAATTGCTTAATAATGTATACATTGATTCAGTTCCTTTGTTCACACGCTAAACCAACGCTAATGGCTTTTGGTGTTTAGTAAAAAGCACAATAAATCTAGTCTGTTCAAACTGATTAGTGATACCATTGAGTGGTTAGCACAAACAACAAATCTCTCCCTAAATAAACACACATGGTTAAACTAAGCTGAATACGGCAATGTAACAGGTAACCAAAATAAAGGTAAATATGGATTTTGATATAACCTCTTATTTCGTACGTACAGACAGATAATGTCCGGATAAGACATAATATCCGGAACTGTGGCTACGATCTATGCGGCCGTTAATTGTTTACTATATACTCACTTTTTTTTTTGGCAGCCGGCGCCATAAAGACGGTGAACGTTGACTTGCGTGTAGACGTTTGGCGATAACGACGCTCGTGATCTTGTGACCGTGTCGCGAAACAAGCATACAAATGAGCAGATAATCACAACCTAAAGAAATTATACAATACCATTTACTAGAATAAATGATACTAGTAAATGGTTTACACTGAAAAACCAGTAACGAAAAATATAGTACAGGCGAAACTTACCGAGTGCGTACAATAAAGTCACAGTGATCAGTGAAGTTGACGTACAGTAGAGAATAGCGACTGGCAAGCAATATAGCACCTGGGCGGCCGTGCGTTTGACGACTGGCCTACGTCACAATTCATATGATTGTGGATACAGTGTTGCCACTAGAAGACGATTTCAAACCAGCTAGCAGATTGGTTTTTGGCGGGACCGTCAGTGATTGGTTGGATAATTATATGGCTTTGTGGAGATTATATCATTGCTACGCTTATTGTCTGTTTTACTGTTCTGTATCAACTATAAACTTCATGGGAGAAAAAATATGGAGATGGCGGGCCAAATGTATCGGCACAGCATACCAGTGTCAATATTAACATTCAACCATTGTGTGTAAGACTGTTAATATTCAAATCTGACACGGTTAGAAATAAAATAGTGATACTTTATAAAGCCACTAAAAAAAAAGCCACGCGATACCTTAAAATATTCACATAGCATCCACTATTATTAACCCATTAATCCCCAAGGTAAGAAAAAAAACTAATTTTATGTTTTTACTGTATTTACACCGCACGCCGTCTGGTTTTGTGTAAGACCTATCCGGTCGTTCATCCATGCAAATGCCACCCGATTATGATAAAACACCATCAATAAAATTCGAAAAAAATCAAGTTATATAAAAATTGGTAAAAATGACGCATTTAGAAATTGAGCATCCCTGGCAAAAAAAATTGTAACTAGAAATTATTTGAATTATTTCATTGATTTAAGTGTAATTATATTGACAAATTTACAAAAACGTATAGAACGCAATCCCGTTTAATTAATTTCCGTTTTATTGTATGTTATTGTTATTAAATTATTTTCAATGTCATTGTCTGAACCGTTCTATTTAAAGCTAAACGGTATGTACAAAAACCCAACTCACGCGGCGACGACGTACAGTGAAAATAAATTGTCGTTTCTCGGAAACCGACACAGCACCGATGGCGATGATTATTGATTAACACATTTTTTATGAAACAATTAGCAAAAAATTAATAAATTGTGTGTAAAACAAGAAATAGATATTCAATTTTTTAAAAAAACGGAAGACATTAAGTCGCTTCGATGAAATCTACCAAAACATAACATTATGAAACTAACGAAGAAATAGAATTACGAAATTTGTGTTTTTATAAAATGTTAGATAATACGATATGCGCTTATAAGATTTCAACAGGAAACAATCAGAGTTATATATACTATGGGAAATCTCTTAAATTAAAAATTAAATACAGAGGAAGCTGCTATTTTAAAAAAAAATTCTTAATTTCTGGAAACGAATTAATGGCGAAAATAAGATCAGACTGTACCAACTAGAAATTCGGCAACGGCATTAAGTGAATGGATTTAGTGGGTGCAAAGAAATTAAAAATACAAAATGTACATGGCTTTTAATGCAGCAATTCAAACTTTTTCTGTCATCCCCATCCCCGTGACAAGTTGCTCTGGTGAAAGATCATTTTCGAAATTAACTCACGTGAAAACGGATTTAAGGTCAAGTATGAAGAAATAAGATCGATTGGAATCACTCATGTTATTATTTTATGTCGAACAGAAATTAACGGTCAATGTTAAAGCTTCTGAAGTTATAGAAGTATTTAAAAATATTTTGCCATTTCAAAGACGATTATTATTATAAGTTATAAACTAATAATTATATGATAAACAAATTATACAATTATAATCAAAATAAAATTATTAGTAACTAGTGGCGTTTTAATGTATTTATTACTAAATGTAAAATAATATTTTATAAATAAATATTTTAAAAAGTTAAATAATAATATAGTATTGGTTGGTAAACACGTGTTGAATACTTAAAATATTTTAAATTTTGTATATTTTATATACAGTATTATAAAAAAAAATGCATAAAGCGAGTGAATTTGTTTAGTCTCCTCTCTATATTATAAAAAAATATACCTATATAAAACACTGGGCTCACTCAAATGTAAAACTTAAGGTCCACTTATGATGTAAACACTAAACAAGGTTCGATTAGTCATGTTTTATGTTATTAAATGGCTTTTTGGCGCAATATGCATAGATAACGCATTTTTTTATTATCGTTGATAATATAGTATTTTTTTGTCGGAATATGATGATGAATTTTTGTCGAATAGCTCTTTGTTGTTATTGCGTGAGTTTATATCCATAGATCGTTCCCATCGCCTCCAAAAGACCGCCACTGCCAGGGGGGGGAGCACATAGCCAGGTTTGTGTGTGTAGGGAATATTTTGTTATCGCTGTATTAAAAAATATAATTATTGGGAAAATATGTTTATGTGAGTATGTGATATCGTAGGTACTCAAAACTTAAATACCTACTAATTACATTAGTCTGCTGTCTATACTCTACACTACATTGGTAGTTGTTGCTAATTGTACCGCAGAGAGAGCATTTTCGAAGTTGGTTAGAATTAAAAATAAAAATAGATCTTCGTAAACTCAAGATAATCTGTCATCATTAATGATATTATCTCCAAAAAATGAATATTCTATCAAATTTAAACTTTGATAAAACCTTAGAACTATTTGCTACACAAAAAGCAAAAAACTTTAACATAAAATCCGTAATTAATTTTATTTGTAGTTATATGTATTAAAATAAAAAATAATATATTTTTAATATTTTTATTAAACATAATTAAAAATGTTTAAATTTGTTTTATTATACATTTTTATTATTTTAACAAATTTTTCTCATTGGTGGGGAACTAAAATTATGTATTGGCCACTGCAGGTCTCCTGAAGCTCTAAATCCGGGCTTGAAAATAAGACAGCCGAACTGTAAGTTGGTCGAAAATATTTAATCCGAATAAATCTGAACAGAAAAATAATTTTAAAAGTATTTCAGATAACTCTAGAAACTCCAGTGGTTGATTACTTTAAATTTCTTATTATTGTTTAACAATACCAATGATAGTTTTTTTTCTTAATCGGAAAATATTGCATTGAAAAACTTTGAACATCGATATCTTAAAAAAAATTTAAAAAGACGAACAAATGAACAATGACAACCGCAGCAGCTGCTGCCGATCGACGGTCACCACCATAGACGCATAGTTATTATGGGTCACCAAAATCTATATAAATTTTGTATGGTCACCATCGTATCTATAGTATTATTGTATTAACCATGAGTTATCTATAATTATAACCACTAATGAGTCATTATCACATATTTTTATGTTTCTTTACGATAGATAATTAAGAAATGAATAGGACCAATGTAGATTAATTCATGTACTATTCAAAAACCAGTTGCTGTGTTCAGTAGCGCACGTAGAATTTTTTTTTCACGAGGGGTTTTGCTTATAATAATTTTCTAGAGAGAAGATAGCACATATAATTAGTACAACGCACTATTACTTTTTTTACTGAATAAATTACCAACGGTGATATTAAATTTTATTTTATTCTGTGATATAAGATATTATTATGTTGTTGAATGTAAAACTTCATTTAAACAAATATAGTGAAGGAAAACATTTCAGAGGGTGGTACAGTTTAAAATCTGAACAAAATTTCTGGTAGATAAGTGATCAAACTTGTAAAATGTGAACACAAAAACAGCTGTTTATCTGATTTTCGATTAGAAATGATAATATAATACAATATAATATATTTTTTATTTATTCAAAATCTAATATTTAATCAATTTATACCAAGTTAATAAATAATTTTACCAGGGTTTATGATTTTATGAGACTAAAATAACCATAACACGATTGTTATATTAAATTTTTAACCAGCTATAAAACCTGATGAAAAAAATCGTATAACAAAACTGGAAGAAATATTTGGACAAAACAATAAAATAATTTTAAATAATTTTGTTTTAATATTCTGTAAATTTCGTTTTGTGATAATGTTATTAATAAAATTATTTATTTTTTGTTTAATATTACGTTTTGTAACATTTTTTTTTCGTTTATTTACTACGTTTTCAAATTATTTCAATCGTTTTATGTTCCATATAAAGTTTGCAAGCCCTGGTTAAACATGTTTTGAAATGCAGCAGTTTTTACGATTTTCATACAAGTTAGAATTTTATACGTTTATAGATAAAATTACTTCACTCCGTTCAATCATTAATATCATTTAGATTTTGAAGGAAGTGAGATGTATTGGTTTTACTCTGATATATGCTTTCAGATTCTTGTAGAGCAATAAATATATTGGTTTTACTATGATATGTGTTTATGAATTTTGTTTTTAATTTCTTCTTCTTTTCGGCTTTTACAGACCATTCCAGATCTTTCGCTGCTTCTATAATTTTCCGCAACCTCTGCTTATTTTTACTAGTTTCTAGCTCCGTTACTTGCGTAACTTTTTGCAGGTTTGCTTTCAATGTATGATAATGTATCCATCTATCTATTTTTGAGGCCTCTATTGCCTCTCCAAATGTGCTCTGCCCACTTAATTCTTTTGCTTCTGACAAATACCTTTATGTTTGGTTTTAAAATAGCTGGTAGATTTCCTCGTTCCTTGGCAGTACTCTCCATTTGCAACAGTTGCACCATGAATTCGATGGAGTACATTCCTTTCAAAAACTAATCATTTCTCTTCGTCATGTTTTGTTACCTACCACGTTTCGCTAACATATGCTATAACTGGGCGTAAAAGTATAAGTTAATCTTTGACTTTCTGGATAAGGGTATAGATTTAAATAATTTTACTCATGCAAAATATCCTTTGTTGGTTGCCAAATTTCTTAAATTTATTTAATTTTTCTACCAGAAATTTTGCTCCAATCAAAAAATGACAATTGTCATCTGAGACACATTACAGATATTAAATAAATATTAAAAATACAAAGAAGATATTCAGTAGATATTCGTATAATATAATTTTGCTGTATGGATAGATACTTTTATTTGTAGAAATTTGAACCTAGATTAATAATGTGGTTATTTTTTAAATTCTCTAGCAGTTTTTATAATAATTGAGAAAAAACCTTTAAAAAAATGAACGTTAACGATTTCATTATTTTAAATATTTTTGACGTTTGTTTTTCTGCTAGAAATCTTGCACCGAAAGTTGAGCGAAATATAGTAGTTTTTTATAATTATGTTAATATAAAATTTTGAAGAAAATCGTAAAATCACGGTATTTCAAAACATGTGTAATCAAACTTACCTTAGAATCGTATTTTGTTAGCAATTGTTTATCAATTTGTACAGACATAAATCCAATAACTCTATGTAAGCTACCTATCCGACTCCCCACCTATAACAGTAGTACATTCATAAACATTATCAGCTCTTTTTATTATTATTTAAGTTTTCATCATCAGTTTTAAGTTAAAACCATAAAGGTATATAAAGGACACGAGTATTTCGAAAATATAAAAATATACCTAAGGAGTATAATAATATTATAATAAAGAGAAAAAAAATGCATATTAAATAGATATAGTATAATTATACGAAAAACAATTAATTTACTTGTTTACAGCTGTGGAAATACTTAATTATTTTAAACGGCAAATGTTAAAATAACAGTTTGCATTATACTTAATTATTACACGCATATTTAAGTAGTATATTATTATTATGATTATTAGTGATTATTTAGTGAAATGCGAAATAATGTAATATCGAAAAATATAAATAGTATATAATTGCTACAGCTACGTACGTAGGTATTATATTTAAAAACAGTTTTTAGTGAACCGGTTCAAAATCGTGCAAGTGAATTTGCAGTTTTTAAAAATCCATAATACTATATTATCGTAAATCTAGCAATGCGATCATTTTTATTCAAAATTGTATGTTGTATATTGATTATCAACGTAACATGTAAGCATTTTACTATATAATCATAATGCCTACTAAAATATAAACATTAAACGTATTAAATTACTGAATCTGATTAACTATTCAAATTTAAATGGATACCTATACAACTCCGTGATATACATTTCAGCAATGTATAAATCTGGAATAAATAGAAATTTACCGCTATTGATATTAGAACGGTACAAACTTAGAATGTAAAAATCCAGAATGTACAAATCTGGAGAGGAAAAATGTTGAAACTTATAAATCTTGAATCGTTAGGTTAAGTTAGGTTAGAGTAAATGAGATGAACTGTTTACTTTCCTAGGCCAATTGAAGTGCCGCAGCCGGCCCTATTTGTTGGAGGAGAATATCCACTTTTCTAACCTAAATTCTCACCTGATACTATTGCAAGGAAGGCAGTGTTCTAAATATAAATCCAAACCTTGTTAAAGCAAGTATAATTTATTTTTATTTAATAATTTCACTTTCCATATTGTAATAAATTTCCGGATTTTTGATGCCAGGTTTGTACCGTTCAGATTTCGATATCCGTAAAACTTGAAATATATATTTGCATATTTTAGACTTTTACATTCCATATTTATAGAAAAATTCCTAAAAAGTATATTCTAAAGTTTTCTGGGAGTACTATCCAAATTTCAATCAAATAATTAACTTAAAATTTGTTTCGTATAAGATTTTAAATTTAAACTATTTTAAAATAGATGTTAAGTATGTATATTTTAAATGTTTGTGCTTGATGAAATATCAACATAAATTATTATACCCCAGTTAGATTTACAATTTATGTTCGCTTATAAAACCCATAGATCATTCAATTTTCAAATCAGTTTGAAGAACAAAACTGATTACCTGTTCAATTATTTAACTATTGTATCATTATTGGAAAAAAAAGTCTTAGAATAAGAAAAATTTACGTTAAGGGAAGAAAAACTATCTTTTATATAGATTTAGCCTATTGGAGTGGAGATAAGGATAAGTGGAACAAATCACATGTTTTGGTAACAAATTGAGGTCTATGCGAAGTCTAGTGAACATAACAATTATAGATCAGCTAACTTCAAATTATGTATTATCGATCTGCGCTCGGAATCGTCTTTCGTCAACAATGGTTTATCGTTGCTTACAGATATAAATGAAATAACCTTATGTATCTTACCTTCCAACTTCCCACCCAAAACAGTGGCTGCACCCGACCTCAGTAACAGTTTTTTTTTTTTTTTTTACTTCCTTTTTTTCCGAACCCCCATAAAAACAAGAGTACGAGATTTATTTTATTATAATTTATTAAAATAAAATTGTATTTATTTATTTATAATCTATTCATTTTTAGAAAACATTATTTGAAATGTTTATTGTTACTCATTATCAACTGTAACTCAAATGTATCTTCTCATAAATAAAATAATGATAGTATACTTAGCTAAAGGTAAGCAAAGATATCAATGTATTAAATACAGAACCAACAGTTCATAATTTATTCGAAGTATATATTCAGATAAAATTATTAAAACAAAATGTAGAGCGATAAAGACAAATGGCTAATATATAATGTACAGTTATCTGCAAGTTGCAGAAAATGTGTGTATTTAGATCAAACAAATATTATCATTAATGATTGACAAAGTTTCACTATAAGGCATTTTATTTAAGATAAGGTTTATTCAAAAGAAAAGAAAAGAAAAGAAGATAACATTTCCGGGAACACAAAAATTTTAGAAAATAAAACTAATCAAATATTAGATTCTGAGTATAGTGAAGAAGCTTATGGTTTTACAAAGATTTTATTTATTTATTTTTTTTTTTTTAATCTGTGTGAATTTTTTCTATCTGAAATCTTGCTTTGATTTTTAAGGATAGCACCTTTTCTGAAAGGAAATCGGTGTGGGAAGATTAGGTTTCATTTTTCGATTTTATCAATAGTTTTCTCATCAAATGTGAAAAACCGTGAAACAATCTTGGAAATCTAATATATTCTAACCTAAACGTAGGAAAACCGGGAAAATCGGTACATTAAACAAATATTATTAAAGAAAATATATAGTATATTTAATTATTTTTCTATAATATGACATACCTATATATATTTGACAAAGCATCACTATCAACTGAATTCCGCTCAGAATCGTTTTTTCGTTGAAATGGTTTGTCGTTACTTACAAATATATATTAAATTCCCTTCTGTATCCAACCTTCCCACCTATAACAGTGGCTGCACCCGTCCCCAAAATACAGTTTTTTTTATTTTGAAATTAAAAATTTTAGCCAAATTACTAGGAAAAAAGCTTGATTTATTTAATAAAAATTGACTTTTTTGGATTATTTTTTTACAATCTCTCGCTTTATTCTCTCTCTCTCTCTCTCTTATTTTCTCTCTTTAATCTCTATCATTGAAAATTTCTGGGCACTCCATTGCAAATGATTAGTGTAGTAAATAGTAGATATTCTATTTGAAAACGCGAATGAATAAATAAATTTTGTTTTAAATGTATAGTTTGTAGAAGTTGTTTTAAGAGTGCGTGCAGAGCTTCTTGTTACGCTACCGAAGGGATTGACTTTGGTTATTGTGAAGACGATTTTTGTAAATGTTCACCGCCGACAATTTTCGTTTTTGATGGTATTGGTCGTGATTTGAATGACAATCAAATCAAAAGATCGTTGAGTAATAACAATCTCATTCAAAATACAGTAAATATTATATTATTTGATTTATATTTTTCATACTATATAATAAAAAATAGTGGTAACATAAGAAGCACTTGGTAGAAACGCACAAGGGTACACAAATTATCATGATTTATGTACCCGTAGGGGGCTTTGTCCCCATAATACTCTCTTAAAATATATTATTAGTATTGTATTTTTACGATATATTATTATTATTATTATTATATATGATGCTGTCTAAACATAACAGATCATAAAATCACCAGGACAAATACAATAATTGAGTAAATTTTTACATGGAGTCAGTGGTGATAATCATTAAACTGTAGCAATTTATGATAAAATATAACACTTTCTCACTATAATCCATTTTGAAAATATAGATATCAACGTCCAATTATATACACAGACCAAAGGCGCCTAAATTAAATGAACTACACGAAAAAAATAGGGTATTTTTTTTTTTAATACGATGTTATATAATAATTAAATTATTAAAATTTGTATTATCTGCATGTGATTTAATTTAATTAATGTGTTTAGATTTGGAGAAAAATTTTGATTAAAATTACCAAGGAATATTCGTTTATAAAAGAACACGATTTGAAAAATCTAAAAGCCTCACTGTTCAAAAATATAACAATATTAAAATACTTTTATAATCTGTTGCTCCGTAAACCGTTAGTAGACGTATTAAAAGAAATGAAAAATAAAAGACCCGCAAGTATGTCTAATGATTGCGAAGATCTTTTGAAACGTTTACGAAGGCCACGTGTCGTAAATAATAATCCTGAAAATTTAAATACTAAACACCTATCATCTAGAAAAGATGAGAGCGACACGGATGACGAAGTACCAAATCATAAAATAGTACTCGAAGTATCAGAAGAATCCGTCGATGATGATGATGGAAATTCCGGCGAAGAAAAAGACGTGCCCAAGAAGCCTGAACAAAATCATCCACAGGTTGTCAAAGATGGTAATGAACCTACAGGATCATATTCTGAATATGAATATGTGGATGACGATGATGACGAACGTGTCAAGGATAAATAATAATACTTATATAATGAGTAATATTGGTGAAACGTACCTATATAATAATATGTAAGGTGTTTTATTTTATTTATACAATATTTGCAATATTGAAATTTAATGAAACTGTAGCTTATTATTATATAATTATGTATTTATTTAAATATCTATGCGAATAGAATAAGTGTAAGATTTACACAAAAATCGATTAAAAATGTATCAATAAACTAATACAAGTACCTAATATTATTTATTCAGTTTTATGTTATTATATTATTTTTACAACAATTATATCACCAAATGTGGTTCGGGTTTTATTTTTTTTTTTATTCGTTTAGATTCTCGACGCGAAGGTCAGTTTTAGGGTTACTTTTGACCTGCAACGGAACGTTTCTCAGAAGTAAACGAGAGAAAATATTACTTAGTTATAAATATCATACTGCGCAGAGTGACCGGAGGTTATAATCTCATACTATATAATATATATAAACATGTGTGTAGGTATTTGTATTGCTATACAAATACATACTATTCGTATTTATAATACAAAGACCGAATGTTTCAAATGTTTGACCCTCGGCACGGGGGTTTCTTTTGTATAATATTCAAAAACCATTTTAACGATATTTTTGTGTAAGGGGTTCGAAAATGTGTGCGGTCATTGGACAAATAATACCTGCGTATAGTAATAGTTATGACACCTGAGGTCAGGTGTAAAAAGAAAAGATGGCTGACAAAATAACACCGATTGGTCTACCTGGTGTTCACTCATATCCTACATTATCTAGGCACAGGTAACAATGAAATACATTTATTCGCCATTGATGAAATTTTCCAATAATTTATTTCACATGCAGTATATACAATATATATAAATCTACAAATCTTAATAAGAATCCCTACCCACAAAAAAAAAAAAGAAATAACAATTACAATAAATAATTAGTTATTTGTTAAATAATTAATTATTGTAATTGGTAATGTTTTAATGCCATAATACTTTTATTTCAAATATATGTTCTACGAATTATTGTTACTATGAAAAATAACTAGGTATGACTATAAAAAAAAAAAAAATCATAATTATTTTTGCTCTCTCAATTGCATAGTTATTTAATCTAACCTAACCAAATGTGTTTTTTTTTCGGCATTCCTGACTTCTGTTTGACTGACTCGGGAAAAATTCGGATGATTCCTCCGGTTCCATTTTAATTTCGCCTCTGTACGCGTCACGTATACGAATGCATTCCGTTAATGTACGATGACGCGTAGGTATTTCCGTAAAGGCCGTGCGATATAATGATGCTGCGCACGGCCGATTTAGGAACCAATTGTTGGCGCGCAGTGTCATATACGAAAACCGGTGCGGCGTCGTACGACAACGAAAAGGAAGTTGTCTCTCTATTATACATATCGCATATATATGTGCGTTATTATATTGTATACGCGTTCGGTGCGGACACGGTGTGCGTCTGGAATGGCGGCAGCTGGGGTAGGGTGGGCAGCAGTGTTGTGCTGCTGCACGCATCGCGGGTCCCTAAGGGTAGCGCGGCGGCGGCGGCGGTTCAGACAAGATACGAGAAGCCGGGTGTCTCGCGACGGCCATCAATCATGGCGAGGTCCAATAGAGGCTCCTCCCGCGCGCGCGATGCAGATGTACCCAGCGGCGCGGCGGCCTGTACATTATAATATTGTACACTGCACACACACACACACACACACACACACACACACACACATACATGCACGCGTATTACTGTACGCGGAGTGGGGGGTAGCGCGCGTATGTAACACCTCCTCCCGGCCACCGTCCTCCGACCGCCCCCCACAGGGCCCGGTATCGTTCTTAATTTAGAGCACGTTCAAGGACCCGCCATATCTCTTGGTCGTCGTCGTTGTCGTTGTCGCCGCCGCCGCTGTAGAGATCGCCTCTGCTGCAACAGTCCCTTCGGCGGTAAAAAAAATACATCACACGCACACTCCAGCGCGGAGGTCCACGCACGTATATACATCACGCACACAACATCGTCGACTTCGTACATAGGTGCACGCACAGCGATTCCGATACGGACCTCGCGCGCGATTCTTCCGCACACAACACTATTATATCTCGCACCAATAACAATATTACAGTATTTCCGTACACACTCGGGTCGCATACAGTAAATACGCTACGACGGTAATAATAATATTGTTGTACGATATTATACACGAGCACTTTCTGCAGTACAACCCGCAGCGGTCGCACCACCGCCACCACCATAATCATGATGATGGACTCCGACTCTTCGTACAAGCCGAACGGCGATTATCTCATGTCGCCGTACAGCTGGCACAGTACGACGGCGCAGGACTTGCAGCAATTCGCCTGCAACGCGCCCGCATACTCGTACGGCGATTACGGACCGGTGGTGGTCAAGACGGAATACGATGATTGCGGTGGCGGCGGCGGCGGCGTCGGTGGCGGAGGTGGCGTCTGCGTTGGGGGCAGCGGCGTCGGAGGTAGCAGCAGCAGTTCTCCCGGTCTGGAACTCCAAGACTCCGCGGAACCGAAGAAAGGTAATAACCAATACGCGTATATTATCACTCTTCCGTTGAATATTGGTGTGACTGGTATATGCATGCCAAATATTTATTATTATTAAAACCGGGTAATTTAACGTCATATAGCTGAAGATTAACACCAATAATTGGAAAACCCGGTATCGGTTACCGTATCGATTTATATCGTGTAACGGTTTTCTATATTATTTTCACATTTTCTACAAATCACAAGTAAAATGTTTCTGTGCTATAACATAATAAGTATTTTGGGTTTTCCATACTTCAAAAGATGGAAAACGGACGAGATATTGTTATAGTTTTGAGAAAACGCAAAATACGATTTTAAAACCCCAGTTTTTCGCAAACAGATGCAACTCCGGTCTCGAGACTGTCGGTTACTTTTGTGTAAAAGAGCTGAATATTATTATTTTTTTATATTTTTACATTCTGAGCATAGTTAGGATTAATTTTTAGGATTGTCTATGATGGCTTTTCCGTTTGCAGTGAGTCACTTTTTTACAAGAAATCTTTCTCTGATCAACAGTTGCAGACGTTTTTTTTTTTATGGTAGGTAGCAAATTTTGTTTAGATAAGTTTATTGCAAGGGGGTCATACTTAATTTTCTATTGGTTTTCTTAACGATTGGTGAAATCGGGGAAAACGTCGGAAAATCGGGGAAAGGAATTTCGAACATGAAAAATATAATCGACTCGTAATAATTGGTCTAACCGCAATTTGAACGACGATTGACAATTATTATTAACTCATATTATTACAACTACAAATATAATATAACTGTCAAAGTGGGGCTCAGACCCCTCGGTCACCCCATGGATCCGCCACTGAATATATTATTACATAATTTTCATAGTGTACGGAGCTATCAGATTATGAGTAAAAGTTATTCTTAACTACCAATTTGAGAAAAAAAAATCGTCTTATCAAATATTTTAATACTTCACTCCCACAACCAAAACCACCACTACCACCATCGCCGCCGTTACTAACCGTGAAATCAACCCGAAGACGCCGTCCCTGCAGCATAAATACATATAATATTAAAACAGATAAACAGATTATATGTTGTTGTATTTTACATTATAGGCAGAAAACGGACGTCGAGATCCAAAGAATTCCAAGCGCCATCGAAGTCGAGGAGACGGTCCCCGCAAACGCCCGAAGAGATGCAAAGTCAACGGGTGATGGCCAACGTGCGAGAACGGCAGCGGACGCAGAGTCTTAACGAAGCGTTCGCGTCGCTCCGGAAGATCATTCCCACCCTGCCGTCCGACAAACTGTCGAAAATTCAAACGTTAAAGTTGGCCACGCGATACATCGACTTCTTGTACCAAGTGTTGCACAAGGCCAACACGGACGGCGGTGAAATGTCCGCGGTAGGACACGCGGACTCAGATTCCCAACACTCCATAGGTAAGCGTTAACTTCACGATAACATAATATTACTAGGCGTTTTTTTTTTTTTTTGTGTCCAAATGGACGCACGCCTATTGGACACCCTAGAATAGAGTACGATTTCGATTACTGCGTGTGCGTACAGTAAAAAATAGAATTGGTAAATGATTAAGTTAGTAGATTTCGAGTAGATAAAATAATCTCACCGGCGGGAGATTGGGTCAGCCTGTAAAAATCCAAAAGTAGACAGGACGGGGTTTTTTTTTTATCGGAGGGGACACGCAGTAGATATTTCCTAAAAAAAAATGTCCCGTACCGCGTCACAATTTGGCAGGTCTTAAAACTGTTATGACACCAAGAATAATTATTTTTTAAACATCAACACAAACCTATATTGTCGATACGTACCAGTATAAATTACTTGATTTTTTTTTTTTTTTTTAAATAATTACAAAGGTTATAAAATAGAATTTTTGGCTATAACCATTGAATATGTTTAATATAACATTACAAAACTATATAAATCCGTTGCGCTGGATTCAATATTAGAAAAATAATATTTGCTGTTTGGAAAATTGACTCAATATAGCGACGATGGTTTTTTTTTCTCCGTATAATAATCGTGACAAAAATATATTACACACGGATTTAAAAACGATTGTGTTCAGTGCTCGCAACAGTCACATAATATTATATTATAATATTATTTCGCGTAAAATTACATACACATATAAATAATTTTCGTCGTCGAGTTTGCATTCCGATACTTGGCAGTCTTGGAAAAAAAAAATGTATTTTTATAAGTATACTTGTCAAAACTGTTTGCGGCAATAATGGTTTATGCAAGATTATAAATCGAATAAAATATAAACAATATATTATTACGTCTGCAGCGTCTATCGAAATTGCAATAAAAACCACTGCAATAACTTACATGAAAAAACGATCTCAATTGATTCGCCAATGTCGCCGGACAAATTATCACGATATTTCTACGTGGGTTCATTAAAATATTATCCCCCGATAACATCGGCAGGGGCGCGAGGTTTTGAAAATACCATGGGGGGGCTCGCTATTTTATGAACACGTGTACAGTTTCACCTAAATTTCATCATATATTTCTTATTTTTATTTTTCTTAGATTGTTCGTTGAACAATTACTAAATTATATAGTTTTTTGTTGTTTTGTATGCCATAACATTTCAATGGTATTAGCAAATCATGAAAAACCACAAGACAAAAATTAAAAAATTCCAAACACCATTTAACCTGCACGAGTTCGTGATAGATTACCAAAATTTACATTTTTTTTTCTCTGCTATCAATACTAAAAAAAAAAAAAAAATGTTTATCTTTCTCAATTAATTTGTTATTAATAAAATTAGTATTTTGATGATGTGCATGACAAATATTGATTTTTTTTTTTATAATATATGAGTACCGTAGATGGCTAAACTCCGCCTTATAAAGCTCATGGGATAGGGCTGCAGCCCCGGAGCCCCCTGTACACGGCATCTCTGATATAGGGACTGTTGCACCTATGTATTGCGTCTATCGTATACAATAAATTAATTATTATGTATTGCGTATTGTTACGTTTGGATACTTTTAATGACCCCGTCTGGACCGAATCGCATGCCGCAATGAAAAAAATCGTAAGTATCTCGCTTTAATCTCTTTGGACAAGTAGAGATACAAACCTTTTTTCGATATGGCAGGTGAAATGAGCCAAACTCGGGAATATTATAAGCCTTTTTTAGGCGGGTTACAGTGATAACATTTCGATTGAATTTCACCATATTGTTGCGGAAGAAGCGTTTTTTTTTAGCTTTGTATAACCCTATAGTACAGACCCCCCAATGGATTCGATAATATGAAAATTTGTTTTGGTGCAAGTATTGAGTATGTGCCTTTTTGGGTTTCAACTTTCAACCTCCCATCCAACTATTTGTGCGCTCAAATTTCACGTTTTCAAAAGAAATGCCGGGTTTTAAATACTCCTAAGGGACTAAAATGTAATAAGAAAACTCTGGCAAACGTAAATATATTTTATATCAATTGAAAAAAAAAAAATGCAATATTATAACGGCGGCAAGTCAGCTAAGGGAAAATTTGACTCTAATAACAGAGCTCTGTTATTCACGGCGGATAGTTTTTGCGAATTTCGTTAAATACAAATATACAATTATTACGCCGCACAGTGGTTCCAAATGAAAATATGCCGGTCAAGAGGGGCAATTTTTAATTTCAAAATTTAGTTGTTTTAATAATCATGCAGCTCTAATGTAATCGAAATATTTATCATTATATCATACTATACGTCAAACTCGGTGAAAAAATATATTAAAATGATGAGTCAATCGGTTTTAGTTGGGGATTATTTTATTATATTCGTTGTAATCATAATAATAATATTTTAGCAGGTATCGTATTGTTAAAATTATCAATAACATCATTAGACTCTTATTTTATAATATTGTGTTGTGTTGTATTACAAAAATAAATTATTTAAACTGGATATATTTAAATAATACAAACTATTATATGAAATTGTCATCTATTAAACAACAATATGATTTTATCAATATCGCATTGCATATTTTGCGAGAGTAAAATCAATATTTATGTTTCACCAATACATATTAATATCTTTTAGATACTCACAAATACAGTTGCTTAATTAGAAAAACCAAATTTTAAAAATTAAAAAATGACCGGCATATTTTCATTTGGAAACACTGTTTCCAATAATTCCGTAATAATCTGAGCAATTTCGGTAGATTTTTCTTAATTATCGGTACCTACATAGGTAATACGATCTGTTCTAATCCGTAGTTCTAATTTCTAATACCCCAAACGTGCAGTACCGCGGTTTCCTCAGCACGTGCGTATTGTATAATATTACGTCCAGTATATAAATATATATAATGACGAAGTTGTCGTTCAATAGGATAATCCGCTGTTTCGTCCCTTATTATTATTTACTCGTGTCACAAACGGTTTACGAAATAATGTATAATAAATATAAGAAAAAAAAAATATATACATATTTATAAATACAGCATGCGGTCCATTATTATTATACACTGTAACACGGTGTAACGAGAAAAAAGTCACGTTTCACACGATTTGGGATATTATGATTTTGTACTATATAAAGAGAACCGGGAGAAGAATAACCTAAAATATTACGTTTATTATCTCAACGGTTTTCGATTCTTGTGTCATATAAGCATATATTCATGTAGTATGCAACATCTATACATTACAGATTCTATGTAACATAATAAACAAAAAGAGGGATAACGTTGTTATAATATTTTGTTTTATTTGTCGATATACGAAAGAAAAATAGACAAGATATTGTTCGTAAACTCGTGTATAAATAATGAATACCAATAGGTATACCAGCATAGGCAATACTATAAAGTCAAAGTTCTAGACGTGGGATTTTTTAGAATTGTACATAAAACGTTGATTTATTTCGTTTTGGATTATCAGTATATTGTGATGTATTTAGTTTAACTCTTTTACTAAAATGTGCTTTTTTTACTTTTTTTTTTCCAGTAGTAAAAATGGTCCGTTTTCCATAATGTATCTACTGCTGTCTCGTTGTTTTATTATCTGTAACATTTTTTTCGACATTCTTAGAGTTTCTAAGCCTGGACCATTTTTTTTTGTAGTTTTCGCGGGAATTACTCTTTTGATTAAACGCTCATAAAAATATTTTTACATCATATACACGGCGATTTTTGTTCGGCAATATTAAAATTTAAACAATTTGTCTAGATTGCCCATAGTTTCTACATTTCAGAGATCAAAAACACTAACAAGAAATTTTTCATTTTTTCCAAACAAATTTCCCCTGAAGCTATTGTAGTCTATAGTGTGAGTATATTTAAATCGTATAACGACGACAGATAAACCGTTTAAGACGCTGAGCGTACCGACCAGCGAAAAATGTACTGTTTTTTTTACAATATACCTGTGTTTTGTTTTTACAATTTATTTTTTCTGCCTGTGAAAAATTTTTCTTCCCAATATCTAGTTCCAATCGTTTAGTAAACAATTTTCCAAGGTAATTCTTTGATTTTCTCCAAAAAGTACTTGCACAATAATGGTAAATATTATTATTTTATGCATGCGGTGTACTGTAATAATATAAAAATCAAAATTTGAATGCGTTTGAATTAAACCATATACGTAACGGATTTAAAATATAATAATAATGCGAACAAATTAATATCGTTCTACTGCTGATGTGGCTGTTGTATTTCAACAAAAATAATTTTTTTCGTACGACACTGTCACAAATCTATATATCTTATTACAATAAAAAATATTTATGATAAAATGAATGTACTATATAATATAATATATGCGTAAATAAACTCGATATCCCTGGCATTATTCCGAAATTTGTTCTCTCCGATAAACAATATTATATAATATCACTAATGCGTTTAACTCGGTTTTTGTTTATAAACCGCGATCGAGATAAGGTAAACAATATTATATTATGCGCATTTTCAAATTAAAAGAAGATCAAATGATGATTTATATAGGTATAGGTATTATAAATACAACAGATATTTGAAAAAATAAAAAAAAATAATCCAGTAATTTAATTTAAATGTCTATTTTTGTTGAGTGCGGCAATAATTTTCAATTACAGAGGGACCCATGCTTAATAAATCGGTTTTTACAAATGCATAAAATATCTATATAAACCCTGTTAGGTTGAATATTTAAATATACACTATGAAATATAATAAAAATTATATTATAAACTTTATACAATCATCCGGCAATGTTGTTAATCATTTTTCAGGGTGAAATATTATACCAATAATATTATTAGAGCTGTATTCATTTTGAATGGAAACAAAACAGAGATACAGAGATATGTTTGAATTTTCGTCAATATTATGTATAGTAGTCGATAACGATATTGCCTTATGGTAGTCGAACAACGTGACAAGGTACACGAAGATCACTAAAACCTATAACTACTATAGTCGAAAATCGGGGGTCTTTAAGGAGGTTGAGCCCCCTCAAAACATATAAGCAGAAAAATTATCCCTTCAAATATACCGAGTGTTAAATGGTCAGAGGTCACTGGTCACTACTAGAAATAATAAATGTATAGGTGATGTACATATTATTATACGGTAACTTTTAATAACTAAATCTACGAATGTGCATTGTACAATTTGATATTTTTTTTTTAAATTTGCAATACTATGCCAACTAGTTGTTATTACTGTAAAGAAATATTCGTTTCTTTGTTTTTCTTTGAAATTCTAATAACGTTATCAAATCAACATTTTTTAATTTAAATCTCGTTATTAAAATTAAATTATGAAATGTTTAAAGTAATTGTTAAACAAAAAAATGGTAATTATTATTACATACCTAATCGTATATTTTTTTATTTATTTGAATTGTATACACAAAATATGAGTAATGGGCTCCACTGAGATTATAAAAATTACACTTCTATTTATTAGGTAAATGATTCAAATTGCATTACCACACAATGATTATACCATAAATTAAAACTAAATTAAATAACGTTTAGGTTTTTCATCAACAAAATTTTTGAAAGCGTATTGAGCGGCTTTGATATACAATAAAATATTTCCGCCTATGAACCTACCCGCGATCGTAAATCATTTTTCTCACTATCTCATAACGATATTGTCATATATTTTCGCCGATTAGAATTAAACACATTGTGTAGTATAACCGTATTTTCAACATTATAACAAAACGTTTCCGTGAATTAATGTTGAATATCGAAATATTATTAAGTGTTCGACTGTGCCACCGTCGGTGTTTAAGGGGCTGTGTATAGGCAATTTTACGTCGTTTTCGGAAAATAAAATTGTATTGACTCGAATATTCAAAATACATTCGCAAATAGTCCCGTGTTTATTATCATAAGTATTTATTGCGTAATTTGTGACAAATCATCCTTTTTTTTTTTTGTGATCTTGTTCGTTCTAATTTGGAGTATGGATCAATAATTTAGAATCCGTCCGAGCTTGGCCTTATAAGCCGTTTAAATAATATTCAATCATACATCTTAAGATACATTTTATCTTTTAAGTTTAGGCTACTTTTCCTAATAAAGGAACTTGATTTGAAACTGCGTATGTAATCACTTTCCTCCAGATGTAAGTATAATAATGCATCATTTATTTGAAGAATTTTAAATAATGATATTATTTGTCCCGATTTCCTTGAAGAAATAGGTTGGTTCCAAATTTTTACAGCGGATCCAATATTACATTTACGGGTCATTTCGTTCTCAAACTTATAGTTTTAATGAACTAGAAATACATGGATTTTCAATAAATATAGGAAAGGAAAAAAAACAAGTTTTATTAGATAGGTATTCAGTTATACAAGATATACGATTACCGTTTTTATTATACTTTGTATTTATTTTTCTTCCATGCATCAATAATTAATTTACTGAGTTAAATTATATTTGATTTTATTTGTTCATGTACACTCTTATTGCTCTTTTGGGAGTTAATAAATATTAAAATACTATACGAAAAAACCGATTCGAGCGGACAAAAAACTACTTGGGCTGTGAACGCATGGTGTTCAGAAACCAAATTTCCTCCGTAAAACAAAGAGAACACTAACTGTGCAACGTTGATTTTAGTTTTTCCATTCCGCAATAATTACGATTTAAAACGCTTAAAATGATCAGTTTTTTAATCAATAATAACTCATTTTCGTATTTGTACAATATCGAAAAACCAACAATGTAAGTTCTGCGTTTTTTATGGTGAAAATGATTAGTTTCGATTCCTTAATCTAGTCTGCAGCGAATGATTTTCCTCAGAATTATTGAATATTAGAGAATTATTATCTGAACTGCAGGATAATATCGAAGTATATTATGACTATTGTATTATCATTTTATTCGTTATTATTAGACAATTTTGTTATGACTAATAATATTCAAACGGTTTTATTGCATTTCTTGAACCCACTGGTTAATGTAATTTTATAATAATACCATTATTTATAGATAGTGTCTATCTATAAATCAATGATAATACCTATTTTAAACTAGGAATCAATTGAAATAATCGAACCAGACGTCTGTGCCCATATTAAATAAAGTATATTGACGTAAATACCCGTACGATTGAAATTCAATTTAAAATGAAAATAAAATGTCTACTTAGGACATATGTCCGAAGTTACAAATGAAATGGGTACAAAAAAATTATTAATTAATTTCTATATTCCCATAATTGCATTGTGGTGTGGCAGATAAAGAAACCATTAAAATTCAGGGGTTTATTAATTTTTCAGTTAAAATTCCAATGAAATATTTCGATTTAATGCAATATTATCAAATGTGCTATCGTGCGTTATTGTAATATTGTTATGGTTAAGGCCAAAAATAATTTGCTACAGTACGGTTTATATTTTTGTGTTGGCATTGTTAAAGGTATTATTATTGTGTGGAAAAACGTCTTATGTAATTTGCTCTTACAATGATTTATAATAATGTTTTGTTGAATTCAGGCGTTCAATAATGTTAAGCATTAGCGTACGCAGAATTTTTCAATGGGGGGCTTGAAAATTGATAATTAATCAGTTGTTTTGTCACAAGTTTGAAAAATAAATTAGGTGCATTCTCAGTTCTGACTGATAATAAACATAAACTAGAGGTACACAAAAATTTTTAAAAAAGACGGACATGATTCGCACGTGGCTACTAGATGGGAAGTTGGGAAGGTAGGACTTAAATGGAAATTGAATGTATATCTGTAAGCAACGATAAACCATTGCTACCGAAAAAACGATTCTGAGCCCTCTCCCCCCGAATTTTCACCTCCGAGCTCTTTGAGGCTAGGCCGCTAGGGGGCGACGAGCGTGTTTTCGTATATGATGCGCACAATAAACTTCATCATCCATGGAACGATATTAAGTTCTTTTTTTGGTTATGCTTTTAAATTTAAATTTTTATCAATAAAACACGTTTTTGCGTTTATTTATTTTTTGAATTTTACAATTACAGACATCACTTTTTCTTCTTTCCCGTACCCTTTTAAGGCGTAATAATAATTCCGGTATTTTGGCCTGAAATACGAAGGCGTCAAGGGATTTTGCTTCAAAAGAGAGGCGATAAATTTAAAAGCGCCTAATATTTCCGTACGATTGATAAAAGGTATTTTGTATTTTTTTTTTCAGAACAAGTATCCTCCGGTACTTCCTGCACGTACGTCGCTCACGAACAACTTAGCTACGCGTTCAGCGTATGGAGAATGGAAGGTGAATGGAACAACGTCAATCAAGAATGACGAACAATAAAAATATTTTCATTTGAAATTTGCGGGTGCTCGTGACAAACGTGTTAAGTCACCAAATTGTAAAAATTGAGTACACGCCAGGAAAAAAAAACAAAACAAAACCAAATCTCTATTTTTCGTATAAGATAATATGTCAAGTCAATATTTCTAATATTGAACGTGATATTTCAATGTGCGTTAGGTTAGGATAAGTCGTGATTTTTCCGTCTTAAGTTATGCCGCGTACTGCAGTGATTTAATTAACTATATATTATAATGCACCTTTCAAATGCTTAGTGATAAGAAAATTGAAGTCAATTTAACCCATATTATATTATGTTCCTGAATCCAGTGTCAATTAAGTCGAGTTACTGAACAATATTCATTAAATCAATGTACATAATAAGTTAAGTCCCTTTTTTTTTCTTACATAATTTATATAAAAACACCCGAGTTTTGAACGTTAAAACATAATTATAGCAAACTGTTCAAATGCTGATCTTGCGTTTTCAGTTGAAGTTTATTTTTGTTCTACCGAAAAGTTCTGAAACATTAACACCTTTTTCACGCGCACCCGCGGATTGTTATAAACGTTACAGGGAACATAGAGGGGAGGAGAGCGGGATTTTTGCCCTCGAAAATTATTTTTGATAATATGCAACCACAAGTATTTCCTTTCGCGTTATTATAATATGTATTTTATATATATAGGTATTTATTTATAAGATAATATGAAAATACATATTTATTTTTATACATATATAATATTATGATGTAGTTTTTTTTATACTTTTAAAACGTTAAGATATTTTTTATTGATTTTTATTACAATTATTATTATTACTTTTTTTTTTTTTTGTACAAAAATCACTCTGTGCAGTGTATATTATACTATATATAAATATATTTTTCTATTAAGTTTACTATTTTACTATTTGTTTTTTTTCAAGAACGTGCTTGGACAATTTTTTTTCGATATTTACTGCAAAACTCCGTCTGGCGATCTTTCGGGGGAGGAGGAAGGAAGGGAGGCCGTTCACATGCCTTCGGATTAGTAATAGCGTCTAAAAATATACATTCGCGTCTCACCATTCCCGGGGGCAGATCAATCGATTGCATTTCGCGTATGTGTGTGTAAAGTAAAGCGTAGACTATAATATTATGCTAAAAGAGGAGTAGGGGACAAAATATTATATACCGGACGTAGTCGATGATGTTGACTTCCTGTGGGCCTTTAATGTGATCCCGGAAAGTGCTAAATTTATCAACACCACGCCATTTCTTCATAATATAATATGAATAGTATAAGTAGGTGCCCACTGTATAGACGACTTGTGCCAATGTGAATATAATATATTATACGAAAAAAAAATTTCTCACGTAGATATACGCGTATAAAAATAAACATAATTAATGTATCGATTGCAATTAAAATGAAATTCGATAAAATGATTAAAATATAATATTATTATATTGCAGGGTCAATAGACAAAAAACGTATAATTTTTTTATTGTAGATACCAAATTACCAAAAAATAACCTTCGTTTTAATAAAAATCATTTATAGTTTGATAAAAGTTTATTTTTAGATTCCAAGTGTAACGAAGAAGGGGGGCACATAAAAACCTGGAAATTACATATGTCAGGAATACACAAATTTGGAACTTATGAATTTAGAATCCCAATTTCTTTTATGTACGTCGAAATCTGAACCGTACAAATTTGAAAAGTAAAATGTTTGAATTATACTTAGCTAGGTGTTACCATTTGGTAATTTCCCATATTCTAAATACTCAATGTCATTACTCATATTCTTTTATCTCAATTGCTGAATGTGCATACTTATAGATTGTAATTTACTTTACCAAATAAAAAAAAATTATACTTATATGCGTACTCTTATCAACTGTTTAAAACTAACGATTTCGTTAGAATTCAAAAATTATACTTTCTAAATTTGTATATTATAATTTATACTGTCAGTTTCGATTCAAATGTACGTTAGTTTTGGTTTTGTTGATTTTTGGGTTACCTTGGCTACAAGTGGAAAAAAAAACCCGATTAATACTATATTCCAGTCTGTAGATTTGTTTTTCAATTGCAATGATTTATCGCTGCTTTCAACAATATATTGATTTAATTACCTATGATATTATATCCTATACATTTCTAACTTCCTACGTACGACAATAGTAATTTTTTTCATTACTCCAGAGTTAAAAAACTAAAATATCCTTTATTATAACAGAAAAAAACTCGTTGAGGATTGTATTTATTGGTTAATTTAATTTCTTTATGAATACTGAGCCTCGCCGAGGTTATTACAAATAATATGGACAACGGACGATTGATACTATTATACGCTAATATTAAAAAGCGACTGCGAAAAACAGAATTAATCTACACTGGATATTATACATTGGGAGCAGGAGTATACATAATTATAATATTATTTGGTATAGGAGTTGTTCGGAAATCCGATATTCATAATAATTAGTTGTTGGTCATTAAAATTGTTTAACAAAGTAAAGAGCTCACGGAAAATGTCTGTATACATATATTATACGTATAAAATTATATCACGACGTTTTTTTCAATGTATTTGACGTATACAGTTGCACATCGGCGTGGTGAGTTAATTGGATCGGTGAAGGCGGACGGAACGCACTCTGAAGATATCGGAAGACCATTAAAAACAATGTCTGTCCCGTATATATACAGTGGGTATCGTTAAAAATATATATAATATCGTGTTTAATGAGTTGAAAATGAACCGAAATATTTATGTGCGTGCGTCTCCGGCAGTATTAATTTATACAGAGTGTTTTAGCCGACTGTATACAACGATTTGACAAATCCAATAGTAACTCGGTATTTATTAGTCCTATTACCTATTATACATTAATGTTCAATCTTTTTAAGTTTTTTTTTTTTAAATAATTCATAATTTCATTTTCATTTAAATAATGCACCAACTAGATCGAAAATAATACAAGAAAGTTCGTAACATACATTTTTATATACTACACGATTTCTGATTTGAAAACACACACACACACACACAAAAAGCACATCATAGTTAAACCAATATAATTCCACGCTTTGCTCACAGTCCGAAAAAAATTTAAATAGCTATTGGAGATATATTCATGTATAAAAAAAATAATAATTATTGTGTTTGTCCGTTCGTGTACACTGAAACATTCTGTATAACGTACTGCAGATGTAAATTATGTGCAATATGTATTATGTATTCGATATTTTTTATAATTATTGTTATTATTTATTATTGCGGTGTACAGGACGCCACGCGTGAGATATTATACACGAGTATAATATAATAGGTACAGGACAGTCTGTATACGATTCCGGGCATTTGGTTCTAATTAGATACCGGGGGAGGGCAAATCTCCTCGCGACAGGCTCTACGGTCGGATTGTGATCCCTGTGACCGCCGAGTAGATGCATAATGTTGTAGTATACCTATTATAGCTATTATTATGTAGTATAATATATATATATATATATCGGAGTATATACACCGACTATACAAAGGTAATCCGTGTAAACCCTTACGAAGTAATGAAGTATACATTATATTACTCGTGCAAGTATTACAAGCGGACGACAGTGGCGTGTACAGGGGGCTGCAGCCCTCCACCCCCGAAAAAAATTTCAGAAAAATTTTCAATTATTGTTTTAAATTAGTTTTTCTTTTTTTAAACATCGAATTTTCGTTAGGTTGTAACGTGATTTGTAACCGATGAGCAACTCCTACAAAATATTCCCGGATACGCCCCCTAACGCACACATATAGCAAATTTGCAGGGTTCAGCAGAGCCAATTTTACGCTTTTGGTTATGATTTAAGAGTGAATCGACCAATCGTTATCAATCAAGGCAAGAACATTCAGGGACGGACAAGGTATTCGATACTTTTCAGAATTTTATCGTGAAACAAAAATCAAGGTAAATATAGACTATATATATAGTTATAGTTATATATATATAGTTATTAACCTATATAAACTTGTGTTTACGATATTCAAAAATAATTTTACTCGATCCCGAAAACATTATCGGTGTCCTATATACGTTAGTTTTTCCGGTATTTGAATATTGTCAAACGAGATATTATAAGCATATAGTTTTTAAACTGTGATATTTCACACACAAGTACCCGTAACGAAAAAAACCGACGTACAAACACTGCGCGGACAATACGTTTTTTCGTTCAAGTTTGATTCGCTCTATAATATTGAAACTCAAATCAAATCCACAGAACGGAAATTTGCCATGTCGCAGTGGCGTATTTGACTTAGTTTCATGTGGGGGGGGGGCGGCATTAAATAATTATACATTAGGTTATATTCTACCCTATTTATCTTAGCATAAAGTGTTTTATTTTTGTGTCTGATGACACTTTTCCAGCAGTATTAAATTTTTGTATATACAGCAAATATCTACACAAATGAATTGATGGGAGGAGGACGATCGCCCCCATCGCCTTCACCCCCCCCCTCTTAAATACGCCACTGCCGTGTCGTGCGTATGCAATAGGACGGAGGCGGCAAAATAATGCAACGCGTATCGCGTCCTCTTAATAATATTACGACCGTCTTCCGAGATAATATTATAATTCATTATGTACGGTGATGCCGACTGTCGTCTATTCGTAATGCCGTGAAACCAAAGCGCACGATAATATCGAGTTACGCCGAGTCGGTGAACGATAGCATTTTCTTTGGTTACCATATATATAATACTGCGGCGGCCGTTTTTTCACGTGTCATATTTTTTTTTTAATTCACAAAATATGATATATGTGGCACAGCGTGACTCCGCTCGAAACTGTACTGCGACACTACGTCATACGAACGCCTATATAAGTGATACCTATTTGAAACGAAATGTTCGGCCAAATAATAATAATAATAATAATATTTTAAAAAAAAATTACCCGAAATCTTATTATTCCTTTACGTTTCGTCATAGTTATTTATTTACGGTGCGGTGCTAATCCTGTAGTATAATACCGAATGTTAACCGTGTGATAGTTTGTATAGTATGAAAAAATACAAACGATAAATCACAATAATAAAAAAAAAAAGATAAACAAATATAATTAACGGCATACCGACATCCCATTCGACATTTCGACCGTCGGAACACCAGTTAAACATGAAACAGATACCCGATTGGCCGATAAAGATAAGAACATTTCACAAAAAGTTTTTTTAACATCACGGACTATTGATTATTGTTTGTACAAAATAAACAATACTATCGAGTGAATGATTCCATTGATATTTATAATTATTTTAATCGGGTTTGCACTCTTCGATTTTTCAATGGGGGAGGGGGCTAAAAAAAACCTACTGTAAAAAAATTGTTTTGCCAGATACATACTAATTATGTATTCGGCAACTTGTATTTGTACATAGTTGATTAAGTAATAGAAATGTGCAATGATTATTATTTTATTAGTAATATAATTTGTCAATGTTCAATAGTTAATATTATTTTTTTTGTATTTGACACGGCCAATGTGGGTTAGGGGTCTAAAGGACTCCACATTAGCCCTCCTCCTGGATACGCCACAGCTCAGTGTAAAACCTATGTTCAACCTGCTGGTCTAAACCTGATACCGGTATAAGAAAGTCAGTGTCCCAAGTGTAAACCTAAACTTCGGCACGCGAAACCGGACTTTCGGTGACCTCCATTCGTCGAAGATTCAATAGTGAAAATTTTCAGGAATTTTTCCAACGCATTTTGGATTAATTCCAAAAATGCTATATTTTAAGGTTTATATTCAAAACTTTAAAAATAATTCATTGAAAATACTAAACTTTAAACATTCCTCTTTACAACAGAAAACCTGATTTTTTTTCCAAAATTTCCAAATAAAATTCGTCCGATATTATTGTTTTTATTTTATCTTTCTTAAATTCTTAATGTAAACGCGAAAATACACATTTTGAAAAAAAAAAAAGAATCGACAAGTCGCAAAACTAAATTTACGGTTATTTTTGCAATAACATTTCAAATCTGTAAGCCGTATCTGTTCTTAGAGCAACACTTTTTAATCATACTACGTCGTTAAATATTTATCAAATTTATTCATGTTTTACTAAAATTACACATTAATTATATTCAGGGACGTCATTTGGGGGTTGCAAGATGAGTATTTACACCAACTGTTTTTAAAACGTCTTCTTTGGCCTATCAAAAACAAAATATAAGCGCTAAAATACCAAAGTAATAACATCATAATAACATCATTTAATAACAATCATTTAATAACATCATAATATATTAAGTTGGTATTTAAAAATACTATGGAGGTGTAGAAAAATGATGGCCGACCCCATTTAATAATTGGCAGAGAAGGCAAAAATGAAGAAGACAAAGGGGGTATGTCCCCACTTGACCGCCCCTACTCAAAAAAAGTGTCCATAATCGTGGCCTGATAATGATTTGAAATTGTTTGCAAACATTTTGACACCAACAATAAAAACAGTTGAAATTGATCTCATCCCTGATTATATCCTATACGCATGTTAACCACCTCACCGGTCGTTGGAAATAATTTAAAAAATGTTCATTGATCGTAGTACCTATAATATGGCTGTATATATTTTCACGTGGTTTGACAACCGTAGGTACCTAATGGCCCAGAGGTGCAACTAGAGGGGGAGTTGTGACCCTCTGAAATATGTTTGTTAGTTTTTTACGAATTTTACATAGTTGTATGATTTTCATGTCAATTGGAAACATAATATTGTAACATCATGTATGAATAAGTGATAACAACTATCATCATAAAGATTATTTTCTACACTTAGGAGGCTAAAAACATATTCAAGAAACACTACAGGACAGCAGAAACTTAATGCAATGGCCACTTTAAACCAGATTCAGTGCTCAATGTTGAGGCACTCTACTCGAAAAATTAATCTTAAACTGTAAATTATTATTATTAATATACAAGGTGGACCATTTAAACCTTCGGAATGTTTTTGGTAATATTATTTTTAAAAAAACACAAATTATTAATTTTGAATAATTGTTCATTTATTTTGGAAATTTGTTCTGATTACTTTCTAAAAATAATACCATGTAAGTGGTCGCCTTCAGAGCGAGTGGCATAATGTGCTCTTTTTTCGACATTTCTCCTCACTTTTTGAAGTGTTTAAGGTTGAATGGAGCCATAAATAAACAAAATTGTTGGTTCTAAGCCAATGAAAACCCTCAATTAATCCACAAACAACCTCTTAACAATCAACGCGTGACTTTTTGGGCCAGAATTTTCGTTGGACCATTCTACTTCGAAGAAGCTGGGGCAGCCGTATCCATCAACAAAGAGCATTTTCGGGCCATGATAACGGATATTTTGATTCCATTTCTGACTGCTATCGGCATAAACGATTATTGGTTTCAACAAGACGGCGCCACAGCTCATACTCATCGATCCATGATTGCTTTATTGAGTCCTTTGTCTCTTCGGACGCTTAATTTCAAAAAAAAATGGTAATTTGGACTGGCTTCCGCAATAACCCGACTAAACGCTTTCAGAATTTTTCCTGTAAGGTTATTTGAAGTCTAGATTTTACTTAATCTGAACCTAACCACGGAAACCCTAGAAACGTTGAAAGATAATATATGGCAGGAAATGGCCGCTATTCAGCCGGAAACACTTCGATAAGTGATGGGAAATGCCAAAAACGAGCATATTACACCATTCATTCTGAAGGCGACCACTTACACGATATTATTTTTAAAAAGTAACCAGAACAAATTTCCATGTCTAAAATAAACGTAAAATTATTCAAAATTAATAATTTGTTTTTTTATTTTTTAGTTATTATCAAAAAACATCTCGAAGATTTAAATGGCCCACCATGTACTTATGAGTGAAGTATATATTTTAAATACATAATTAATATGAGTCTAAATTGTTTTCCAATATGCGTTGTCTATAAATGAAAGTCAAACAATTTAAAGATTTTGCTCGTAAACCTAATTAAACCTTACTCCCACCACCCCACCAAACACCATCCGAAATTAATTTTTTTTTTTAAATTCATAAAACCCCCTCCGAAAATAAGTCCTGGTTGCGCCACTGCCTAATGCATACTAAAACTACTGTGCACAACACTTAATATTTTATATACCACATCACATAAATGTTGACATAAAAAGTATGTTAAATGATGGCGAAGGGACATATTATGTCGTATGTATATAATGTTATATACGCCTCGCGCATATACTCGAGCTCGCGGAGAGGTCTGTCTCACGACCCTCTTGTGGGAAGATAGGCACGACAGATGTTGGTGATTTGTGTTTTTTTTTTTTTTTATTACTTAGCTTCTGAAAATGACGTAACGTATATTAATCTCGACGTCGTGCGACTATAATATATTGTTTTAATATTGTCGCCACGCCATTTGCTGTAGGTACCTACATTATTATGATATATGTTAATATTATGTGTTTAATAACGGTGAGAAATCGTTAATGACAATCGAAAATATTTGTCCGCTCGTAACCAGTGGCGACGGTTTCTGGGCGTCAAAATCGGCGAGTCAAATATTTTAAAAATTTCAATAATATACATAAAGACGAATAATAGTTAGGTATACTCCCAAAATAGAAAACGAAATGACGTTATTTTTTTAAAATTACTATTTGATGTTAAACTTCAAGTTATAAGTAACTAATTAGAACATTTAAACATATTTAGGAGATAAGTATCCACATTTTTCTGAAACTGATCAATACTACACTTTGAACAAAATGTTAAATTTTAAATGATCATAGTGGTATAGCCTATGCCCTATATACATCTTATATTGCAATAAGAAAATAGTCGATAAGACGGCACCTCACTCGTCTCATACCCTCATTAGTCGCGCCCCCACTGCCTGAAACAAATACTGTTTTACAATTATCAATATTATTATGGTCCGTATAAGTATTTGGAATTTTGTGTAGACTGGAGGGACAAAGTGCAAACATGAAAAATGTTCAATTGTCACCCCACTGTTAAAAAGTGGATAACCTTCCCAGTTCCCCCATTTTTATGTTTCAACACTAGTACGATTTTTTTTTTAAATTCTAGATTATGAATGGAGCGAAGAAGCTTAAGTTTTACAAAGATGTTTATTTTTTTTTCTCTGTGGACAACTTTTCTACCAGAGATCTTGCTCCAATTTTTAAGTGTAGCATCTTCTCTGAAAGGAAATCGGTAGGAGTAGGTACATTTTTTCGATTTTCTCAAGAGTTTTTTCATTAATTGTGAAAAACTGAAAATAAACCGAGGAAAAACGTAAAATATACAAAATATATAAGTAAAATATTACAATTTTTTTTTCTGCAGACAAATTTTCTGCCAGCAATTTTGCTCCAATTATAATGACAGCAATTTTCCTAAAAGGAAATTTCTTTGGAGAGGTACTTTAGAGAGGCCAGTTTTAAATTTTCTCAAGAGTTTTCTCAGCAAATGTGAAAAACCAGGAAAACACATGGGAAAAACGGGAAAATTGGTGCATTAAACAAATATTACTAAAGAAAATATATTATGCCTATTTAATTTTTTTACCATAATATGACATAGTATAACTATCAACTGAACTCTGCTCAGAATCGCTTTTTTGTTAGCAATGGTTTATCATTGCTTATTGGCATACATTAAATTACTTATAACAGTGACTACACCCGACCAAATTATCCTAGACCGTTTTTTTAAATTTTCTATTGCGACATAATTATATTAATAACATATTGCTATGCTTCCCAAAGTGCTCAGTAGGTTAACACCTATTAAAACATCACATTATTTTTCTTTTGATAACATTTTTAATTTGTAATTTTTATGTTTGGATATTTTTTTATAATATTTATATTTCCCACCAATAATTGATTAATTAAAAAACTGTACAATGTTACAATTTTATTTTTTATAGACTTTTTCAGTAACAGTGAAATATTTTAGTATTATAGAAATATTATTTATTTATAACCTCTTATTACTTTTTATTAGATTATGAACAAAAAATTCAACAATCAACAAATGGATAAATACCATATATTTTTTTTAACAATAAAACCAATCTAAAATTAAAATATCACATATAAATTAGCAATAATAAAATAAATAATAAATATACATACACATTTATTCTGAATGTACTAATTGCATCCAACTAAGTGCATTTTTTATTTCATATAGTTTTGCTCTATGCAAAAATGTAGTGATTAATTGATATTCTGTATAAGTTTTTTGTTTGGTGTTTACACTTGACATTATTGTCCCTCCTTCGCATAACACCTTGGTTGTTAAACACAACATCCATTGCAAAATCTAATAAACAATTTTAAATTATTTAGGTAATTAGAATTTTATAGAATATATTTATACGTTTTTAAATTAACTGTATAACATAACTATTTAACTATTTAAGAATAGATTAAGATACAGACACGGACTAATTCCACTGAATTCCATTGAAAATTAATTATACACTTTTTTCAAACAATTTTTTTTATTGATAAGGACAACCATTAATAGAACATTTAATATACAATATTTAAGTTTAAATTTGTACAACAACATGAGACATACATATACCTAAATGTCAATAATATTGTTATTTGTTGGCACTTGAACTTGTTGAATGTTTATAATCATGTTATATTTATGTTTTTTAAATATACTCTTTAAGACTGAGAATTTCAAACAAATTATTTTTAACTAGTTTGGAATAATACATTAATTTAAAACACATATCTAAGTTTACTTTCAATTGAACTATATTTTTTTTCATTGTAATTTTATTAGTGTATGAATTAACTAGTTTTTAGAAATAACTAGTAGGTTATCTATTTTAACTATAATTCTTAATTATCTACTAAATTCTTGTATGTATAGTTTATCTTTTATTTATTTTGTAACATTTATTTCTACCACCAATATGAGCTTGTATAAGGCAATAAATATTTATTGTAAACAACTTTTGAAATCAAAAGTCACTACAAAGAGTTATTGTGCTTAAATTGTTATATTTTGAAATATCAAATATTTTTGACAATAGGTATTGCAATCATTCACATGTGTTTATTGTTAAATTCAATGAGTACTGAAAAATTTAATATAAAATTAAACTAGTGACGTTTATGGTGGAATTTACTATAATCTTTAGGTATTTCTATACAATTAATTTTTAATTGTCAATTACCATAATTAGAACATTGAATCATATGAAAATTTGTTTATTTTTTGTTTTGATAGTTCTATTTTTAAATTGAGTCAAATGATATTTCAGAATAATTCAATTTAATATTCAACTATAGTTTGTATACTTTAGTTAGTTATGAATTTGTCTAAATTTTATTATAAGTTCAAAGCCATTTAAACATTTGAAAATTCAGTGAATAAGTATTATTATTTTATTTTATTAAGATGATGTTATACCCACATCTACTGTCTCAGTTCAACTACCGGGTAATATGCAAAAATAATGCTTACGCAGAATAAGTAAAACTAGCTTAATTTTGAGTTTAGAGTAAAAGTACCTATTATTGAATGTATAGAGAACAATATTTTGGAGGTAATTTCAAAGGTGATTTTTGAATTATGAACTATTAAAAAAGTTATAACTATTTAAAAAATAAAAAAAATAAAGGTTTTGTATCTTTTATAGCGATCTGTATATTTTGAATAATACAAAAACCCTATGACATTCCCTCCAAAATATTGTTCTCTATACATTTCATAATAAGTCATTTTAATCAAAAATTAAAATCAAGCTAGTTTTATTTTTACTGTGTAAGCATTGGTTTTGTATGATATGCGGTAGTTGGACTGAGACAGTAAATGCGGTTATAACGTCCACATAATGCCTAAAACAATAGTTACAGAACAACAAAGAGAAGAATTACAATTAAATAGTATGAATAACAGAAAAAAGTATGACTAGAACTAACTGCCTGATATATTGAGACTACGAAGCATGCAATGTGATACAAACATTATTATTGCTATAATTTGTTGAATGGAAAGGAAAGAAGAAAAAGTGTATGATCCCTAGTATGGTAACAAGGTATATGGAACTGGACACTACCTAAAAAGGTTTTGAAAATCAAGAGATTGACTAGCCATTGAATAATCATGCAGGTTATGATTAATCTTTAAAATATAGGCGGCATATGAGAGAAATCTTTTTTGGATACTTTTAATACGTAATTGATTCTTCACATAATAGGTGTACCAGATAACTACACCATATTTTAAAGTGGAACAAACCAATACAAAATAAGTGACCTGAGACAAAGAAATAAGGTGAATTATTTAGAGAAGCGCTTAATAAATCCCAAACACTTAAGGGCCTTGGAAATAGTCATATTTAAATAACAATTGAAAGATGAAGACGGGGAGTAATAAATACCGTGGTTTTTATAACAGAAGACACACTTAATAGAAATATCAGTAAGCTGGTATTAATAATGTATCGGAAATCGACTTCTAAAGGTCATAACATGACATTTTCCCAGATTAAGAGACATTCATAGTTGCTGGACCTACGAAGAAAAGTTATCTAATTCAGACTGTAGAATAACACAATTATCATGAGAGTTAACTTCAAAGCAAATTTTAATATCATCCGCGAATAAAAGGACTTTAGCATTAGTAATCCATTAAGTAATGGAGTTAACAAATAAAATAAACAGCAAGAACAGCAGACCATATGTTCCATTCACTAGGCCCTAGGGTTTCCCAACTGGTGTTCTGTGGAACCCAAAGGTTCTGTGAACAAGTGCCAAGGGTGCTGTGAGGTGCCATTTGATTATTTTTCATAATTAAAATTGAGGAGTTCCAGAATGCCATGGAAAGTGATTACAAAGAATTATCCGTAAAGACAGTTAGCGATTTATTGTAATTTTCAACAAAAAAACGAAGAATAAGTTTTGAAATCAATTGAATATTTCTCCAGACTTATGAATTCAACTTTCAGGAATATCTCTATATTTTATTACAATAATAAAGAAAATTATCGAAAGACTCTAATCTTCTCATTAAATCTATCTTTGAAATAATGAAAGATTAATATTAAGTTCTAAGCTTTGGTATAATGTACATTAATAATATTGTTATGGGTAGGTATTAACAAAATAAAATTTTAAAATTCATCATAGCTGTTATTATTTTTGTATTAATGACACTCACTTTTTTTTCAAAAGTCCACTCATTTGAGTATCCAAAAAATATGTCTGTGTTATGTAATTATGAAAAAAAAAAGGGATTCTGCAAAATATTAAATTTCTTGAAAAGGTTCTGTGAGTAAAATAAATTGGGAAACACTGCACTAGGGGACACTCCTCCACTTAGAAACTGATGTAATAACAGATATTATAAAGTAAGTTAACAGCTATAGAAACAATGAGCAGAAATATCATCTATATCATTAGAAGTTTTTAGGCGCAAATATTCCATCAAAAACAAAATGTTCCCGGGGAAAAATATATATCCCAAGGTAAATCATAAGGCAAAATTAAATTAGTGTCAGTAAAAACATTAGACTAAGTGATAGCCATGCTAAAAGAAGGATAAAAATACGTAGAAAACAGACGAATTAGAAATATTATTATGGAAATTAATAGAAACTGGAATCGATGGGCTTTGCTTAGATTCACAAAGTATCTCTAAGAGATGCAGAAATTGAATTTCTCCACTAATGCATGTAGGATCTATAATCTAACTTAGATCATCATATACATTGAGCCCAGAGTTCAGAAATTACTAAGTAGACCGGAGTTTTAAAGAGTACTTAAAACACAAATGAGCTTTTTTTCCTAAAATCAGATCCTTACATTCCTGAGAAACCCCTGAAGGGAATTTAGGTTTCAAAACACCTACAAAGTAACAAAGATATCAATTACAGTGAGAATTAAACATTATAGCAACACTATTAATAGAATAATTAGATAAAGTTTTAGCAGAATTGAATGAGAGAAAGTATTTATTCATAAAAGTGTAATCTCCAGATTTAAAATCACAAAAAGAATGAGCATTGCATTGCTGAGTAGGAGACTGACAAGGATAATCAGACCAGCAAAGAATGTACATTACAAACAGATGTCATTTAACATAGAAAAAATCAAGTCAAAAAGATCATTATGACTATTCATAACTCTATTCAGTTGAAATAAATTTAATGAGGAAAATGAATGAACCAAAAGAATGGAAGAAATCAAGCCACCCAAGCCAGATGAACCAAGCTTCAAGTATCAATATTTAAATATAATACGTATACCTCATTACTGGTTGGCATTACATATTTTGTATACCAAGAAGATGGGGCCCATAAATATATCTGACACACTGTGGCAGCTAATGATGCATCTAACCTCTAATAAAAGAAATATACAAATAAATTAGTTATTAATAATAAATTATAACTAAAAAATAAATAAAAATGATATTTGTATTTCAATTAATTCAAATAAATTTGAAAGAATTTAAGCATTGTTACCTCAGATGTTGATCTACGTAAGAGTGAGTGAATTAATGATCGAATAATTAATGGTATTTCATCATCAAGAGTAGGAAGATTTTCTTCTTCGTATGTTGTGTTGCGCAACAATGGTGGTTTACCTCTTTCATAACTGTAAAATGGATTACTACCGGAAAATATTTCATATGCCATTGCACCAACAGCCCAAACATCTGCTTTTGAGTAATTTATATACCCAAATGTACCTGGTCGAGCAGTAACGACCTAAAAAAAAAAATGTTAGATTATAAACAATATTAATGTTTGGTAATTTAAAATTGAAACCACAGTTGTATACCTCTGGTGCCATCAAAGCTATATTTCCTCCACGGTCAGTGTCAGCTGTTTTATATGGAAGATGAAGTCCATTATCTTTATCGGCTAGACAACATCCAAAATCTGTAATTGCCAATGCTGGACACACATCATTACCTTCAGAGACATCTAATAATACATTATCAGTTTTCAAATCCCTAAAAATACACTTGAATGATATAAAATATAAAAATAATATTTGAGATATAGTAAATAAATATATAAATAAAAATAAAAAATAAATAAATTAATAAATATGTGCCTGGAGTATTATGATAAGTGTATTATATATAAGTTGCGTTTTACATTTGTGATATACCTGAAGATGAATTTTTAATTTGAAACCGGTCGTATAATACACCTATCGTAATCCTCCAAGCAACACCATTTATTTATTTATTTTTTATTTTTATATATATATATATATATATATTTATTACGAGTATTAACTATTTTAATAATTTTGTTTTACTTTATTAATTTATTAAATATTTTAAATATATTCATACCTGTGAGCTACATTTTGATTGGACATGTGAGTAACAGCTTCCAATAATTGTGCAAGCAAAAGGATTCTATCTCTAATTTTCAGAGACTGAGTTTTAGATAAATACTGTTTTAAACTCATGTCGTATCTATAGCATAAGAAAAAACATTTAATATATTTTATAATGGTATGCATTTGTACATTAAAATACTTTACTTTTTCATTACTAGAAATAAACTCATGTTACGACCATAACCTTCGGGATTTATTCTAGTTGGCAAAGCTTGGGGATATAATGAATGTGAATCTATCAACTCTGGTACATAATCAGCAAAGCACAAATGCATTGTTACAATGTTTGGGTGCGGAGGTAAAATAATTAAATTTTGTTCATAGCTATAAAAATAATATTTAATTATAATTTATTAAGTATTTAATGGGTTCTGTTTGATGCTTATGTTACAACTGAGTTTTTTTTCAGACTATTAAATAGACAATAAACAAAATTATAATAATAACTAAAAGTATAGATTACCCAATAAGCCATTGTTGATCTGGCCTAGAAGTATTATGTTGTATACAGCGAGATGGAACAGTTTCTCTACTCATGGCACGTAATATTGACATAGCATTACTTTCAGCATCATAATTGAACATCATTTTGATAGCTAATGGGTAAGTTTTAGTTGACGATTCTTGTTTTGAAATCAAGTCTTTGTGCTCTACAAACAAATAAGACATTTATGGTATAATCTTTAGTTCCACTCACTAAAATTTTCTATATAAAATAGGTAAATAATAAAGAAAAATGTTTGGTTCTTAATTATTTATTGGAAAATTGAAACTATGAATTTGTTTAAATATTATTTTATTTGTTTTTTAAAATTCTTAGTTTAATGGTTTTATTAAGTACACATTTAGATGTGAGTATTTGTTAATAAATTACCTAAATAAATTAATCAAAAATATAATATTTAAAAAATAATTATGGGTGAAGCTTAAATTCAAATAATCATTTAAACTTCTTTTGAACTTTTTATTTATAACATGTTGAAATATGCACACAAAAATATTAAAACCAATTAAATATATTTCATTGCTGGTATATTCCTAAAAAAAAATAACTAATAACTATTTTATCATATTTTCTTCAGGGTGATATCACATATTGACATATTTTAAAAACAATATAAAAAAATGTTTAGTTTTAATTTTTATCATTTAAATGGGTAGGTATATTAATTTTATTATAATAACATTTATTATCTTAATAAGTGTTCTATACAATTTGTTTTAGTATATTATACTGTGTATTACGTGTAAATAAGCATATAATAATACTAAATTATTAACATCATACACAAATAGAACAGTATTTGATATAATTATGTTTTTTTTTTTTTTATTATTACTTAAAAGAATAAAAATATGATAAATCCCAGCTATAAAATGATTTACAGTATCACAAAACCATAATTTATTACCTATCTACAAAATACTTGTTAGCTTTTAATTGTTATATTAAAGTGATATATACCTTTATCCACTTCTATTTTTCGTGCTTCGTATACAACAGCATTATTTCCTTTTGCAACAACAGATCCCAGTTCAAACTGCTTTAAACCCAAAGATGAATTTAACTTTAAACGTTCAGCAACTGTCAAGTTCTTGTGCATTCGCCCAACTGCTTCCTATCAAGGGAGTACAAATAAAATATTTATATTATGGTACATATATAATATGAACATTATCTAGGTTATAGTTTTAAACCAAGTACTAACTCTGATTTCCCAACATACACCTTCTAGTTGATTGTCATTAGTTAGCATACCGTTACCGGAGGCCAGACTCATTCCAACTAGTGCAAAAAATGGCCTGGAATTGCCGAACATAAGCTGCCGGGCTGTATGTCTGCGAAGGTCGGCAGACAACGAGTTGGTCACCCGGTTCAGCAGGTTGTCGACAAATGCCCTCCTGGCTAGGTTCCATCGGTTCTGCCAGACGGAACTCGGTGGACTACGGTTGTTAACGGCGGGATTCAGGGCTTGAGTGTGGACGCTTCGAGGTACCGCCCTTGTGCGCACCAGCAATCCGACATTATTAGTACGGCGGCAGCGTAACAACGCCGTGCCATTTCTGTAAAATACGTTTGACGCTAGTCGCAAAGACATTCAATACACTCGTCACCAACGCGTTGGATTGAAAGAACTGCCGTTGAAAAACGTTTGCAACGACACATCTAGAGGAGATTATTAAAAATAGATACAAATTTTCGGTGACATTCGTTTTCACAAATTCGTACTTCAAGCTATATTATTATTATGATTATCATATTATTATTATTAGACTTGTTGTTGTTTTTCGAATGTAAAATTGTAAACACTAGAGCTCTATAATAGATACTTATAGTACTGATCTCTGATAACATGAACATATGATTTGATAAGAATTCTAGATCAAATGATGTAGTAAGAAGAGGAAACTTGTACGATCTATGCAATGTTTACAGAATATTCGTACATTTTTGTACACGGTCTAGATTATTGTATAATTTTAAAAAAATTATGAAGTAATTAAAATTGTTGCGTTTATGTTATTTTTGAGCCATTGAAACCTCTTAAACATTTTAGGTTGTTATATTTTGTTTACTAAAAATTTGGTATTTGTATTATAAAATATTGAATTTACATTTTATATTTGAATCTAGGAAAAAAAAAGAAAACAATAATTAACATAGAAAACCATAAGTATTTATAGGTGTTATTAAACGCGACCCTTATATATTATATAGGTACATAATAATATCAATATAGTACCCACCACTATCAATTACCTATATGCTTTTATTATTATAGGAAAAACAAAAGTATTAATATTTGTACCTATAGTAATTACATCTAGTACCTATGTAACTTGTGGGTTTTGAAGTGAGAAAACGATCAATTTCTTGTATGAAATTTTGTATAAGTACCATAAGATTTTGCTTTTTAATTTTTTTTAAATAGTTGTACTAAATTTTCATCTATAGATTAATAAATATTAACATTAAACCGATCATCAAAAAATTAGTACATATCGTTATTGTTTTTATTACCTATTACCTTAATAAGCCTTATATTTACAAACAATTAGAACATAATACCATAATATAATATTATTAAGCCCGTTTTTACAATATCCGGTTAGTGTTAACCGGATCATGGTATATGCTCTAAGGTATAATAATATGTTTGTAACATTAATAATTACTATTTTAAATTTCTTATCTATGATTTTTTCAACGCAGTAAATAAATCCGTTTAATAATTTACAAATAAAACAATTTGAGGACTGAGTGAAGCGAAGGTCTGAGCAATAGAATAATACTCTATGGTCTGAGTCCTCTGCCCTTCTGAGGGCCTGAAACTCATGCAGACATACTTCTTTGGAGTCCGAGTAGGCAAAACAAACAAATTCTGCAATATAAGATGTACGATATCGTTTTCATGAAATAAGATGTTTTTGGAGCAACTTGCTGCTGTACGGTGTACGATTTATTAAATTCCGAAGGTGGCAACACTAGAGAGAGGTTATGATGGGCGTATGGTGTCACAAAAAAATATATAACGAACAATACAATTGGACGGTTCACGGTATATATACTCGTTTTAGCCACTCATAAAGTTTGTCTCAAAACAGTTATTCGCCTTTGTTTGAATACTGTCTGCGACGTCAGTCGATTACGTTTTGTATCGCGTTCGCATTACGTTTTGAAGTGTTGTACTTTCCAGTCGCCATTGCTGCCAAGGAAGATTAATCGTTACGACGGATTTCTGTTTGTCTTAGATTTTTTTGAGTTTCTATAGTTATTTTTCAATCTTTAAATATAAACAACAAATTCCAAGCGGATAAACTCAACATAAGGTAATTTTTTTCATTTTAAGCATTATTAAGTTATTTTTATGTCACCGTCTATTTGTCGGTCAACGCCCATCGAGAACTGCAAATTGTAATTCGACTAAAAAGACTTCTTTTCACAAACAAATTTGTAGAAAGGTTTTGAGGATAATAAATTACTAAATAAGTGACATACACGGTGTCCACGTATTTTATATGTTGGGGTAATTATCTGTAATTGTATTACAAATTATACAACTGTAAACAATTTCACATTTCGGGAACTTATAACCCCTTCCTGGTTGTATCAATGCTGTAATAAATAATTTATGCAGGTAATCGAACTTTGTTCTTCGTATTCTTAATTGTTTTGTAATGCGAAACAGCCATAAATATTCAAGGTCATTTATTTTTCTTTGTGATTTATTTTTCTTTGTGTTTTATTTTTAATTGTTGCCTATGTGGATTATCCATGATCTGATGCAATAGCGTAAATAAATATTGAATTTTGATTAGATCATTTAAATATTATACTATCCATAGTATATTTGCCTACAGTTTATGTAAGAAATTTCAACAATTAATTTTAAAGTATGATCATAAATTTTGGGTTTTTATAATATAAATAATAACTATGTTAACTAACTTCATATAACAAAGATTAAATAACATTCCAAATTTTAAATGTTCCGGAACATCTACAGTAGGTACTCTGATACTCTGATTACTACATAATTAATTAAAAAGTTGATAATACTTGTTAACAACTATTACGATATTTACAAATTCCAAATTCTACTGTACTGTAATTATGCGTACTAAGAAAAACAAAAAACTGAAGAAAAGGTATTGACTATTTTATAAACAATTACATTAATTGTTATTTTTAATTACCTACCATTCTATTGTAATTTCATAGCAAATATTTTAAGGAATAACTCAATATAGATACTAGTTTTGAAATATGAATTCATAATATTTACTTTATCAACATAAGTATTGTGTAATTTGAAATAGTGTGAGTATCAAAATATTAAAAATAGTATAATATTGTAGTATTAATACATTGACACAACCAAAGCATTGTAGTTCATAGTAGTATAGTTTTACTTGGTATTTGTAGTAATTGTATATGTAACAGTAATAATAAAATATCTGAGTAATATTAAATGGTGGTAGTTCATATTCATAGCAATAGTGTAATTTCATACATTTAACACTAATGTGTTAATTTTTTTATTTTCACAAAGTCCTATGTAATTTTGTTTTTGTTTTTTTTTTTAAAAAAAATTAAAATTTAGAAGACACAGATACGTGAATTTGTTAGATTTTACATAAATTAGGCATTTATTTTCATATCTAAAGTAAAACTATCTGTTTCTTATTCTTCTTTCAAATTTACCTTGAATTTACTATTATTCCTATATAATATAGACAAGGCTAAATAGTATTACAATATAATTTTATTCATTATTAATCTTGAAAAGTTGAAGTGTTTTTTACTTCTGGTTTTACTAATCTCTAGAAAAACATTCAATAATTAAATTGTTTAAACCGTTTTTATATTTAATAATTAAATTAATGTTCTCTTTTTTTGAAATAGACGAAACATTTTATTTTCAATTGTTTTGCCTGGTTCTACCTGAATTGATTTTATGATTTATTTTAAGGTCTTATTGAATGGTAATAATTTGTATTTTTTATGACAGTAGTTTTAAACAAAAAAAAAATGATTTAAATCATTAATAAATAAGATCACAAAAATAAATAGAAATAATAATATGAATGTATACATTGAATTTGATTCTGTGGTAACTAAGTTTTGTCTGTACTGTAATTTAAGTTTTAATTTTTTATATACCTTAAACTATATTTGGTATTGTAAATTTAAATATGTCTTAATTAGTTAAAGTCTGTTAGGTTTTTTATTACTTTAATAAAAACACTGTTCAATTTCCTTGAAAATTATGTACAATGAGTACATAGAAAATAATAACTTTAAATAAATTTAACACTTTTATTTGAAAAGAAAATTGATACATAAAAAACAACAGTTGATCATTATAAAAAATCCAAATTCATTGTATGAAAATTAAATGGAATATTTATTAATTGAATTATACCAAACATTTGTAAAAAAACATAATACATAAAATATCTAGAAGGGAGTAAAAGAATTAAGATAATATGTATAGCTATAATTTTTTAAGTGAATGAACTTCATATAAATTAAATTAATAAAATATTATATGTAATGTTCTTCTATTTATACTTATGGGGTAACCATATAAACAGTAAAGAGTAGATAATTATTTGACTTTATTTAAATTATACCTAAAAAAAAATTTACTTGCTTGAATAAATCGTACATAATTTGTACATGTAGAAGTTAAAGATATACCTAACATGTTAATAGTGTGTAAAAATGTGTAATACAATGTAAAACAGATACATAATTATGTAGGTATCCCACCGTGTTCAACAAATTGTAATAGAACTGTTATAATGTATGTATATTTTTTTCAATCTGCTAAAACACAGATAAACAGATGTACACCTTGTACACTATTGCACACATTTTAATTAAATTGGATACTAATCCACTTATTAAAACATGATATATATTTTCTAATCGTTATGATTGGTAAAATTTCTATTTNGATGGCCGTACACTATCAGACTATAACATTCAGAAAGAATCCACCCTTCATTTAGTTTTGCGTCTTCGTGGAGGTATGCAAATCTTTGTGAAAACATTGACCGGCAAAACCATCACTTTAGAAGTAGAATCGTCAGACTCTATTGAAAATGTTAAGGCTAAAATTCAAGACAAAGAAGGAATCCCACCAGACCAACAACGTTTAATTTTCGCAGGAAAACAATTGGAAGATGGCCGTACACTATCAGACTATAACATTCAGAAAGAATCCACCCTTCATTTAGTTTTGCGTCTTCGTGGAGGTATGCAAATCTTTGTGAAANAGAATCGTCAGACTCTATTGAAAATGTTAAGGCTAAAATTCAAGACAAAGAAGGAATCCCACCAGACCAACAACGTTTAATTTTTGCTGGAAAACAATTGGAAGATGGCCGTACACTATCAGACTATAACATTCAGAAAGAGTCCACCCTTCATTTAGTTTTACGTCTTCGTGGTGGTACTCAGTAACTTTGACATTTTAAATAATTGAAGTTTTCTTAACCATAAAAAATGTCATACTCATTAAAATTATGTATATGTTATTAAAAATCCACATTTTATTAATCCATACTGTGAAACTCCTATTAGCTAAATAAAAGTAAATAATTTGCAAAGAGAATTTAATTTTTTATGTTTGTGTAGTTTTCCAGTATTGAAATTTCCATTTCCTATTCATTTTGAATTTCAAATTTATTTAAAATAAGTTTTTAAAAAAGACTGTACTTGTGGGTCATTGTGTTCTAGGTGAGAAGTTGGAATATAGAGGGGAAATTTATCTGTATGCAATGATTAACCATTGCTAACAAAAAGTAGTTGTGAGCAGAGTTTGGTTAATGGAGTTTCTTTCTCACCAATATATATGTAACATGGTAAAATAATTACATATTATGTATTATTTATATTATGCTGATAGAGAAGTTGTTCACAGGAAAATAAAAAGGCTGTAATCTTTGTCATCTTCTGTATCTTTGCCAATACTAAACATTTTGTGCATTTTCTGGTTATTGGTAAATCAAAGAATGACCTTAAGGAAAATCTCTTCCAGAAAAAGTGTTCTACTGGATACTCCGATGCAAGATTTCTGGTAGAATTTTTGTTAACAGTATGAAATAAAATAAACATCTCCGTAAAGCCAATACATTCTTTTATACACTCAGAATCAAGTTGTTATAATGGAATTTATGACCTCAAAAAATGTATTCTAGTTATTTCAGCTATTGGATAAGTATGCTTTTTTTGAATTAGGTAACCAGATATTGGAATATTATAAGTAGTTCAAATATTCTTAATGTACTTTTATCAATGTGCTGTAGAAAACAAAATATATCAAACATTTAATTTAATATTCTCATTTCTACATCTTGCGTAATTGTATTTCTCAAGTAAATATATTACCTACATAAAAACTACTGTTTTGTATTTGTTTAGACAAACATTTATTTAGACAATTACACCCATGTTGAAAATCTAAAACATACAATATAGATGCTAATTGAAAATGCATTCTTGCATAGAGTTATAAAAATTGAATTTTCGCTGTTAGACCTAGTAATATATATTTCCAAACAAAATTGTTTGCTGTTGATAAGATATATACATGCATAATACTCCCCCCCTAAATTGGAACTTTTCATTTTAACCACTAGTGATTATTTTTTTCATAATTTAATTATCAAAGTCAAATTATTTTTCTGTGTCCTAATTTAGTTGAGATATGACAATTTAAATTTGTTAAATAATTTTGAATAATTATTTTTATCTTTATGACAGTAAGTTTAAAATATGATAAACTGTAGAAAATAACGAAACCCAAGTTATTTATATTTATTTATTTAGTAAATATTATGAAAACATTGAATAACAATTAAGTTTAAAGACTACTATTAAAATATTTAAAACTAACAGCACGTATTTACCTACTAAATTGGTTATGTCATACATTTGCAAGGGAGATGGTAAATTTGAGTATACATATATATACCTACTAAAACAACAAAAAATAATTTGTAATTTTGTTTTATTATTAAGTATTATTTATTAATAAATTGCATATACTACTCATCCTAAAATCATGAAATAATGAAGATTGAAATATTTAATGATCATGTCAAAACAGTCACGGCTAAATGTCTTCCCATGGAATTGCTCTAGATCCTTTGTAATTTATTTATTTTATTGTCTATAATAATTTGGTACTTATATGACATTTCGACATTGTATTATATTTCTTTTTATTTGCTCACTTAGTACTGTTATTTATAATCAATAAGTAGTAATTGGACTATTAGCTATAGGTCAAAATAAAATGAACAATGCATTATTTACAAATACATTTTGGTTTTACACATTTTAATTGTTTGAATGTTATGATAAACTCATACAACAGACATGTCCAATGGTTGATAATCATTAAAAATAATATTTGGTTACTAAATTCAGTATTATTTTATTTTTTCATGAAATGCTATTGATATAGGTACCTAAACATCCAGAGTTTATATTTTATATACATACCTTGGTAAGTAAAAATTTATTTATAGCATTTATATAATCGAAAGTTTGTCTGATTAAATTCTCAGGCATTTTAAATAAGATAATAAATACTGAACAAACCTATTCAAATTTAAATTTTCCAACAAATTATGAAATTCAAAGAAATATTTATATGCTTGCCTATCAAATTGTAGTATGAATATTAATAAGGCAATTTGTAATAATTTGTTAACCTAATTACATTTTTGGCTTTTTAAAGTTTTTGATGTTTAGTAATCAGATAAATTTAGACACCTATATATATATATATATATCTTTTAATTTATTAAATGAAAAACTGGGTTTTTATTAACAAATTATTATTTAGTAAACTAATAGACAGAGGTACCTATACAAAATCTTAGTTTCAATAGGCAGAATTGATACTTACCTAACAGACAACAGTTGATTACCATATTGACATTAACAATTTTATTGTTTAATAGCTTAATGTATCAATTTATTAATTTGTGAGTTATACATATTTGAAAATATAAATACATAATAATGTTGTAAACATTATGCAAATATCTGGAACCCATCAAACAGGAATATTAGTACTTAAATGTTTTTCTTGTTTATTGGACATTTTTCCGTAATTGTATAAAATATATTAATGTAGATAATATGTAGTAGGTACCTATTTACACAAATACACATTATGCCTACCTATCCACTATTTTCGGGGAGAATGAATGTGTACAATAAATTAATTAAATAAGTAATACAACAAATGATAAAATTGATTTGAAAGGCTCAACAAATATTTGTAAGCAAGACTGTGAATTTAATGAACTAAGAAAGTATTAAATAATATGCATGTAATTATGCACTAAAAGTAGACGAAATATGCACTGTCTATATTAATAATACTGCTTTTATTACATAAAAAAAAAATAATTCTTTATTTGTATACTTAATCTTCCGTCTTTACCATCTGAAAAAAAGTTAATATTAGACATATTATTATTATGTATCCTTTGAGCTATCGGTATTTAGGTTATTAAATTGTTTACCTTCAAAATAAGAATTGTATTCTAACAGTCTAACACGGGCGACGTTTTCTACGAGAAAAAATGAAATCATCGAAAAATCACAGTTTTGTAATTTCGGACGTGGTTTTGATTAACGATTGATTGATTTTATGATTTCCGTATTTTAGACGAAACCTAATTTTAACATCGGAGTAATTAATTTGGACATTTTTTCTATTTTTTTCGACGTCATTATTGATATTGTTATTAAAATAATGATCAATCGAAGAATTAATACAAACAATATAATTTAGTATTTTGGTATATTATTCCCACACAGCAAGTAAATATTTGATATTAATTTTATGTAATACAATTTGAGATATTCCTCGAATATTACCAAAACATATGTCGAACCGAAACACGTATTAAAAAAAATGTTCAAAACCAAATACATTTATAAAATATTTAAATACAAAATCGTATGTATTTCACAAATTAGTACTTACCGGGGGCGTTAAACCGACCGATACGTCGGATTACAATTTCAAAAAAATTAACGCAACAAATAAAATACCTATACAAATATACTTTTAAACGTTTTACTGAGTATAGGTGTACCTAAACCAATCGTTTATTTTCATTGCACGTATCCAGGTATGCTGATATTAAATATACTATGCTATGTTCACTAAACTTTTATATTGAGTTTAGATTTGGAATTTAGTAGTGATAGATGGTTAACTGAAGGTATCTGCTGAACCAGTGTTTTTTTTTTTTTTTTTAACATTTTGAAATTACGGAATAACGGCGAACAATAATAATTTTTTTATGCAGAACCCTTGAAATGTAAAAACATTTTATCATTTTAAAATATAATCAAACCTGTTTTGTTCACTCGTATCGGTGTTACTATTATTATAATATATTCAATAAATTATCATACGTTCACGCATGACACATACACAAACACCGGGGTTCCGCGGAACACGGTTTTAGAAACACCGAGTCTTAAACTATTTACCTACTTAATTATTCTGTTTTAGTTTTAGAATCGAAATGCGCATCTTTGTGGAAATGCCAACGGGCAAAAAAATTATGATGGTAGTGCACCAATATGACACCATTAAAAATGTCGAAAATTCAAGCCGAAGAAGGAATTCCGGGTGACGAACAATGATTGATCTTTATAGGAAAATATTTGTCGGAAGTTCACCGTACTTGTATCGTATTACAACGTCCAGAATGGATCTACCCTAAAATTGACAGTCCGTGATGATAGTTCGGGTGTTGAAATTTTCGTGAAGAACCTTAGCGGGAAAACGATCGCTTTGGTTGTGAAACCGACCGGCACCATCCGTGATTTAAAAGCTGAAATTCAACACAATGTGGGAATCAAACCGGAAAATCAAAGATTTACGTATGGGGTGGGGAGGGGGTGGATGGGGGGGCTCAATCACTTCCGTTTGCTATTAGACTGCAATATTCAGAAACATTGCACACTATATTTGGTATTCCGTCTCCTCGGCGGCTGTACCAATTCATTTTGGATCAACGTTTCCTTTCAGAAGATGTGCTATTCTTGATAATCGGAATAATCTCCCTGGTAGAAAAAGTGTTCAACCCGTTCACAGCGCTCGCTCCACTTAGAATCTAAAAAATGAAAATCCGTATTTGTATGCCTATTGTATTAAGTAAAACAGTATCTAAATGATTTTTGGTTTTACAATATTTTTTGTCCCATTATTTTATATTCTGGCCCACTGTGCACTGGTCGGTTTGCTGTTGACTGTGTTTGGTAAGTTGGTTTATTTTTAATTTAATATTGCTGGTGCAATACTCGAAGACTTGTGTTATAATATAAATAACTGTGGGTTTTTTATTTTTTTTTTTGCAAAAATAATTATTTAACAGGTAAAATATGTTTAATTAGGGAAACAACAGGCGATATTTTTGATTCCCATAACGTTTTGTCGATATTCAGTATTCGGTACCGCATACTTTCGTACCTACCTACTACTCGCGTTTCAAAACGGAAACATATTTTAAAATACATAATTACTAATTAAAAATAAATAATAATAATGATTCGTAGTTCGTACACGTCCCACCAGGCCGTGGGCAACACCGTCATCACAATATTCATGAATACACCACTACTCATATTTTTTGTTCCATAGGTGTCTATTTCTTATCAAAATTTGTCGAATATCAGCAGTTCAATAACATTATCATTAACAATTTGTGTGTTTATTTTTTTTATATATGTTAGTATTTAATGCTTTTTGCGGATGTACTTGCAACTTGCTTTCTCAGCTATTAGCTAATCTTTTTAATATCGATTTCACAGTATGTTATTAAAATATTAATTACTATGGTGAACGTAAAAAGTTGTTTTGAGACGTGTACACACTGAATCGTTACAAAAACCATCAAACATGTAGGTACCTACCTACTCGTCAAATTACCGCCGTTTTTTTTATTTTATTTTCGGTTTTTAAGGGCCGTTTAGGCGTATTACCGCAACTACCTATTGCCTCCATCAATAATCCCTCTCGTTCGCTAATTTCATCCAATTCTACTCCAATACTGCTCTAGTCTTTGCCGATCCTATCTCTGTCAATCAATACTTGTACCGTACTCTTCGCCATTAGTTTTAGATAACCATTTTGCGGCCAAACCAATAATTTCTACCGACTTTCATTCTTGTCCAACCCAGCTCAATCTACTACTCCTGTGGCCTTTTATTTCTCCATCTAGTTTATCTGTTTCTCGGTTTTCCTTTATTTCGTATTATCCTCTGATGATTTTTTTTTGGCCCAAATTCATGATCTTTAGGATGCTTCATTCATTCAAATGTAGTTAATTTATTTTTATCTGTTTGTAACTCATGTACCGCATGTATAAAAGATTATAGGTCTCACTAGAACTTTATATAATGTTATTATTGTCTTTTATCGATGAAAAAATTGTTATCTAGTTAATCATATTACGTTTGTATGTACCTACCTAATAATTACTCTTGGCTATATTGCCTCTTTCAAATAGATAATTCAATAACAAAACTCAATCAAAATTACTGATACATACTGATACTACTGATACTACTTACAAACCAAGTATGGCACCAAAAGCTTCTTCGGCCACACTTCGCCTGAAACAAGATTACTTAAGATTGAAAAATGATCCTGTGCCATATGTAGTTGCAGAACCAAACCCGTCCAATATATTGGAATGGTAATGTTGCTGTGTTTGTGCATGAGGGGAAAAATAATATTTGTTAATTTTATTTTATTTGGTTATGTATAAGGTATTACGTAGTAAGCGGACCTGATGATTCTCCATATGCTGGCGGTTATTATTTGGGCAGGCTAGTATTCCCTAGGGACTTTCCGTTCAAGCCTCCTAGCATTTACATGATCACTCCAAATGGCAGATTCAAGACCAACACTCGTCTGTGTTTGTCTATTAGTGATTACCATCCAGACACTTGGAATCCTGCATGGAGCGTGTCTACAATACTTACAGGACTTCTAAGTTTCATGGTAATTACAAAACATAATAATATATTGACCAAACACAGCGATTTTTTAATTAATTTTTAATGCACATCATCTTAATAACTACTTATCTATTAGACAGAAAAATATTTTTAAAATTAAATATTTAATAGGTACATATATAAAACGATAAAACTAAAACACAAATACAAAAAAGTAACTTATAAAGTTTTTAATTTCAATAACTGCCTTTTTTACATATTTTCTTACCTTCATTGGTGTGTATGCCATTATCTAAGCTAGCAGTTCTTAACCCATGGGCCCACTTGTGAGTCGTGGATACTGTTCGAGGGTCAAGGGTCAGCAAATTGTATATTATTTATATTATTATATATAAACATCTACATCCGATCAAAATTTAGTATTATAATTCCACAATTATCACTATCATAAAATTTTATTGATAGCCGTTTTCTTATATAGTATTCTAGAATATTTTTGTCATTTTAATCATACTTTATCATGCTCGGTGTAGAGTCTGGCATTTTGCGATATACTTAATCCCAAGAAGAAAACTAGGTCAAAAATTCTGTTGTTTTATTTCAATTTTAACTTTGTTTTTTAGGTTGAATACAATAATAAACCTCTTTTTTTTTTTTTATAAAAATTAATTTTTAATTTTCTTGTATGGTATGTTTTCCTAATTACTGACTTATGTGCAGTATGCACATTATATATATTAATTATATGTATATAAAGTGTTCATTCATTTTTATTTTTACCTGTTGTTTAGTTTAGTGGACTTCAAAGTTTTTTTACCTAAATTGGTGGTCTGCACAACTAAAAAGGTTGAGAACCGCTGATTTAAGCCTATACTGGCTATATTTATAGGGCGCATATTAATTTTATTTTTGGGACACGTAAAATGTACTTCCACTGTACCTTTAAACAATTTTAGTTAATTTTAATTTATTAAACCAACATCACAGTGAAAGTCCTTTTTTTTATTATGGCAAAAATTTGGTTTCTTTGGTAATAGTTATTAAGTCTTTTGTCCAGGTAGATTTTGAGCGTGTTAAATATTTTTGTTTATTTAAATTGTTTTACATTAAGTTTTAAACAAAATTTAAACGTAACCTCATCCACTTTTAATAATGACTTGATGTTACTTAATTTTAAGGTCACGTATTTGTAATTATTAGTAGGCGTAAAAATTTATATACATCTATTTCTAAGCACGAAACAGTCAATTTTTTAAAAAATATACTTATGCATAGAAATAAATTCAATACAAACGAAGTACAAGAAATTATTAAATTAATAAATTTAATTATTAATCAAAACTATTTCCAATATAATAACAAATTATAATCGCAAAAAGAAGGGTTAGTTATGTGTGAATTTTTAAGTGTTCTTTTATCTGAAATTTACATGCAGAATTATGAAACTAATAATATTATTAACAAAAAAATACACAGTCCATATATAAAAGCATATTCTAGATATGTTGACAACACTTCATTTTATTCAGAGGTTCAAATAGACCAGTAGAAAATTTAGTTAACTACTTAAACAAAATACATAAAACCATTAAATTTACACTCAAAATACAATTAAATGATTAATTAAATTTCTTAGACCTTACAGTTTCCATAATAAAAAATAAATTTGGTTTTAGTATTTACAGTAAACCTACACAAACTGATGCTACAAAATCATATGATTCTAATCACCCTTATTCTCAAAAAATATAATTTTTCTTTTTAATATTCTATAGGCTTGAACATATTCCATTAAATAAACATAATTATTAAGTTCAATATAATCTATAACATAGAAATAAGTTCAATTTAAATACTATTAAAAAAAATTCATAAACTTAACGAAAAAATAAAACACAACTCACCAAATAACGTTGTCAACTATTGTAGTATGAAATATCAAAATAATGTGTGACGAATTCTGAACAATAATACAAATAATGTAAAAATCACTTTTAAAACTACCTAATAACAATTTAATCAAATATATAAACGATAGAATTAAAAACTTCATAAAAATTCCACCTTCTTTTGAAAATGATGATATATATATATAAATTTAAATGCAACTGTAATGATTTTTATTTATGTAAGATACATAGGCATTTTAAAATATAATATAAAGAACATATTTCTGAAATAAAATTTAAAAAAACTGCCCTTAATTCAAATTGGCTAAACATGTTTTAGAAAATAATCATAATATACATTTTTATATTAATACAGATTTAGAATTATTAAATACACAAAATAGCATTTACATTAATTCAGTTTTAGAAGAATTACACTTACACAATGAAATAAAGAAAAATAATATCTTATATTTATACATTTTAAATAATAACCAAATAATTTATACTTTTTAACATATCTATGTCTTATAATAATTAATTTTAAATAATCACTACTATTAAAATAAATTATTTCTTTGTAAAACGACCAATTTTTATTATTTTTTTCTCCCATGTATTCCCTTATTTATTTTTTCATATTCAGTTGTGTTGTACTTTTTGACTTTGTGATTTACCTGATGATGAACTTTTTATTTCAAACCAGTCGTACAATACACATTTCATAGTACTCCAGGCGACACATTTATTTATTTATTTATCTTTATTTTTTTTTTAATAATTATTGTTTTAATGCAGCTGGAAAGTTGCCCAACAATGGGTAGCATAGAGATGTCTGACTTCGAAAGACGTCAATTAGCTGCTCAGAGTTTGGAAGTAAATATACATGATGAAAATTTCTGTGAATTATTTCCTGACCTTACCGAGGTAATATTTCAAAATGTTTTTTTGTATCAGTTTAATATTTGGTATGTTTTATTTTTTTTTTCACTTTTAATAATTTGATTTACTGTTTTTAGACAATTAAAAATGAAATTGAAAAACGAAATGTAGCTAAAGCTAGTGAAGAACAATCACCGAGCGCAGAAGGGAGCACACAGGAAACTAATATGCTTCACTCAGTTTTTTACAACAGTGTTGTAATAGTTGCATTTGCACTATTCATATATTTAGTTAGATACGTTCTGTACAATATGAATATCGAATAAAATTTCCTACTCATTCCCTTTATTTTAAAAAAAATTATAGGATAAGTTTCACTTCTTTTGAGGACAGAATTCTGTGTTACAAGTTTTGTTATATACTTGCACAAATGAGAATATCATACACATGTTTGTATTGTAAATTACTGGTAATAGGAATTACATAGTTTGACTGAACAAAAAATAGCTGTTATACTGGATTTGAAATATATTATAAATATAATTATAATATATAAGTATATTTAATTCATTTTTAGGAAAGTATTTAAAAAGCCAATGAGATATAATACAATTTTTAAGTACCCAATTATTACAAATTAAGAGTTGAAATTGTTTTAAAATTTAAAAAATTTACCCTAGAAAATTATATCATTATTAGTTAATTTTTGTTATTTTGTTTCATACCCTATAACTTTATTACTAGAAATAACTATATTTCAACCAGAATATAAATATATTAATATATGATTAAAACACTAGAATTGTTAATATTTTTTCAATTTATTCGTTATATTACTTAGTAGATTTGTCTTTAAATTTGAATAATTAAATGTGTGAATGATTTAGTTACTAGTTTTTTGTTTTGTGGTTATATTTGTACAATACTGTACAATACTTTTAATTATTTATTGTTATTGCTTTTTTTAACATTTTTTTTTCCTTTCAAAAAATTATTGTTCCGTTTAATTTTAATTTTGATAAACTTATAATTTTTTTTAACAAATAATTAATTTGTATATTCTTTGTTTTAAAATAATTTATTATCTATTTAGATATTAAGTTTAAAGACAAATATTTTAATTATATACTTTAATTATATAGTATACTGGTAATTATTATTATTATTAATTTGGTACTGTTCTCTTTTTACAATTAATTATATTATACTGTTTTATAAAGCAAAATTTGTTTAGCAAGTTAGATTAGCATTATTAAACTATTGTAGTATTAATAATTTATAGTTATTGATGTTTGGATGTAAAGACTTGAAGTAATAATTTTCATAATCGTAAACGTAATAATTTAAAGCCTTGGAATTTATTTAAAAAAATATATATACATTATACATATATACTGCCTATTTACTGAATGTTGATTTTATTTAGTTAAAGGTATTATTATACTTAAGACTTATGATCCTCCTGTCTTGACACCAGACGCAGCATTTAAGCATTTTCTTTTAGTCTGACAATTTTATTCACAGAGTACCTACTAAATAAAAATTACTTAAAAAACTTAAAATTAAAATGTCTATAAATAGCTCAAAAGTTTTTGAACATTTTACCACACCTAGAAAAGCGAATATAATTTTTCTGTCAAAGTTTAAATTCTCCACAAATATTTTTAACTGAATTACAACAAAAAACAAAATTGAAAATAATAAAATAATAATTTTTGTAAATTATCATGTTCTTTCTAAGTTTTTTAGGTTTTGCTCAATAGTACAGAAAATTTCGAAGAAAATCAAAAAATGACTTTCTTATTCATCAACTACATTGAAAATATAAAAAAAGCCACTTGTTATTTTTCTATTGGAGAAATACTTTGAGTATAAAACAAAAAAGGAAAACATTTTAAATAATATACTTAATCATATAAAGTTGTCAATATGTCAGTTTTCATTTTACTTTTCTTTCTAGATATCTTAATTGTTATGAAAACTGCTTGGAAAATCAAAAAAGTGACTTTCTTATCAGCCAAATAGATTGAAAATTTAACAAAAATGATTCTTGGAATTTTTAAAACCAATAGATCCATTGCTTTGCCCAGAATCTAAAAACAAAAATAATTTGTAGGAATATATAATTATACTCTTTGTTTTAAACATTTTCATTTTTAAAATGTTGAATTTTATATGTTCCTCTAAAACAATTTATTTTATCTTTTTTTTTGTTAATGGAATATTTTCATTACATTATATGCAAACTATTGATTGTATAATTAATGCTTGTACTGATGTATGATCTGAAAAATACATTTTTATTTAAAACTTATGTTTATAATAATTTTTAATGACAGTTAAAAACATGAAAGCAGTGGCAGATTATCATCTATCTAATATGTTGACTGCCGACCACTAAACAAATTTAACATAGTAATTTATTTTTACTTGTAATATTGGATGATTAAGATTTTTTTTTAAACTTAAAATTATTATATAGAATATGATTCATAAAAAAAAAAAAAATCCCTAAAATAACTACACAAAAAACTGCCTGTTATAAAAGCAGTAGTAGGTATGCAATACCTATCTAATGAGAATAAGGTATAAATTTAATTTTTTTATTGTACTTATCTCATTGGTAGGTCTTGCATTCTTAAATAGTAATATAGATTTGAATACATTTTAATATAAATTTAAAAAAAAAATTTATTTGTTTAGGTACACGAAAGAAAACTAATCATAATAATGTTTTATCCGGCATATAGAATAAAATAGTATTACAAATGTATTTTATTATTTTTACTGGGCAATCAGTTGTAAAATATAATGAACTTACAACACAAATGTGTGATATACAACATGATTATGTTATAATATATATAAAAGCTAAACATTACAACTATACGCATATGGGTAATAAATAATAAACAATAACCATTTGGAAACCAATTGTAGATTCATCATTGTAATATATTTATCAATTAACATTCAATAGAATGAACAAATATTATTATCATGTAAAATAATACATACCCGGTTTTTATCGGCATAAACATTTGTAACAAAATTTTTAAAAATCAAACAAACAAACAAAATAATAATATAATAATAATAATAATAATAATAATAATAATAATATAATAATAATAATAATAATAATAGTAATAATGATAATAATAATAATAATAATAGTAATCAAACAGAACATTTTATATACAATGTATTATATTAAAATATATAATATAATATTCATATATATATATATATATATATATATATATCACAAATACTAATAACTAATTAAAAAAAAAAAAAGAAAAAAATTTAAAAACACATTAAAACGACAATATTTCGATAAAACAAAATCTGTCTAAGCTCTTTGGATAAGTTTTACAGGTATCTACATACATAGTTTTATTTAACATTAAAATTGAAAATATATATTATATATATATAAAAAAAGGATAAGAAAAAGAAGGAAAAATATAATTACATTTGTATAATTAAGACATACACAGAATAGAAAAAAGGACAGTACAAGGTTTTTGAGGAAACATAACAAAATTTATATAAATGCATATATGTTTTTCGAACGTCAAGAAAAATATTAAAAAAAAAAAAAATCCATTTAAATTAAATCAATGTTTGACAAGTCACATTGCATCCACTTTTTTTGGACAAGTCTTAATTATTATAATTATAATTCAAATATACGAGATGAACAGCCGATTTACAGTTTCTTTGTGAAATACTATTGAAAAGTAAAAACTAGATAATAAATTAAAATCATTAAAATTAACAAATAGAGCAGCGCAGTTAAATTTTGTCACGTGACAAGAATTTCAAATAAAATGTAGTTACACTAGTGGACATTTAAAAAAAACAAAATACTATTTTATTAAAATACATAATAAACATTTAAGTGAAAATAAAATAAAATAAAATATTATAATCTGTACGCAACACATACAGTAAGTTAAAATAAAATTAGGTAATTGTAATACATTTTTAAATAGATTTCTTCCCAAGACCTGGTTTAATTTTTAAAGATTCAGTCTTCAAAGTTACTAGAGAAAAAAAAAACAAACTTTTATAAAATAAATCTTAATTAAAATTCAAAATATATAGCAATAAAAATAAGGTATTTTTTGATTTACATTAAATATATCCATTATCCATACAATTTTTGGCACAATCTAATGAAAGGGTTCCAAAAAATAAAAAAATTGTATTGTGCAAGTACAGAATAATTTAATGATTTTTAGATGGCCAGCCCGCCATTCTTAGTCTTTTTACCAGTCTGTTGAGTCACTATGTATGACGCAGTGCGATTCTGATCGTAGGCCATATGTTCTGGTGAAGAGTTTGATGAATCTGAACTACATGTGAAACAATCACTTAAGTACCGATCTCCAGTATTAGGAGCAAACAATTCGTCTAAATTCCTTGTGAGTGCTGAATCTAATTCAACGGATTTGGTAGAACTGGACTGAGAGTTGGCCCTAGATCGTTTTTCATTGACCGAATCACGTGTACGTGTACGGGATTTGCCAACCGAACGCAAACTACTAGCTCGGCGTACCAACCGTGTTGCAATCTCTTCTGGTTCCTCTTCAACCTCAAAAACATATGACAGTGAATCATTTTTCTTCATAACGCCCAGTATTCTTGCTGGTGCTTCCAAGTCCACTTCCAGTTGACTAGTCATAGTGTCTTCATCGCCACTAAAATCCAGTTATTAATTATTGTATAAAATATATCATCTAGCAGTTTTGTTTTTTATTTTAAATATTAAAACTTAATATACCTATTTTCAGAATTTGAACTTTCTCTGCAAAGTTTTTGATAGTTATTTTGAGCTTCTTTCATGGCAGCCAGGTCCTGAGGAGTCTGGCCTATAAAATTAAAACTTTATTACCTAATTGACTTTCTTCTAACACTTGCTAAAAATATAATCTTACTTAATCTTTTTGTAGATACTGCCAGATGATTGGCTACTTCTGTACTCTTTTTTAATTTCCATTGTAGTTCTTCATTATGACATGATAGTCGTTTCTTTTTTTGTTTTTCTAAATCAATTTCTCTAGCCATTTTATCCTTTTCTTGACTGAGCTGCCTATAAAATTTAAAAAATGATAATGACATTGTTCTACAATTTACATTGATGTATACTAAAACTGACTTATTCTAATGTAATACATTTTAAAAAATAAAATGTATTCTGCACCGTCGGTAAACTATAGTAGATGGACATTTTGAAAGGTATAGGATATAGGGTAATTTAATTTATATACTGAAAGTCACAATATATCAAAAATGATTCTGAGCAAAGTAGTGACAATTTTTTTTTCCTTCGTAGCCAAGGTCATACAGAGATTAACAAAAATAAAACTAAAGAATCAACATTTGTGGTTAGATTTTTAAATTTTATAGAAAACTGTTGGGAATCAAAACAAATTCAATCCATCTATTATAACTTAAATCCACTTGTAAGAAAATTCCAGAGTATGAATTCATTTGATTTGGTCATTAGAGACCTACTAAAAGTGTCCAAGAGTAGCAAAAAAATTATGAATATATGTATATATATATATACAAGGTGTAACTGGACTATTTGATATTTTTACATTGTAGTTACAATGTAAAAATATCAAATAGTCCTGTTACACTCTGTATATTATAAAACAGACATAATAAAATTTAAAACTAAAACCTCTATTTTCAGTTAAAATAATAATAATAATAATAATAAAAACATTGATTTTTTATTACACTCAGAATCTAAAATAAAATATATTTTGAATCTAATACTTATTGTAGTTCAGGTTTGAAAAAAACTAGACTTTAAGTATTTTAGGGCATACTGTCATTTAATCGGTCAAAATCCATTAAAAAAATAATACTAATTTACATTACATTGTTTCAACATAATATTATTTGCTATAGTTTTTATAACAACAAATGTTAAAATCTATGTTTGTTTAGTATTTTTTAATATTATTCAGAGTAAAGTACACATTTAATTGAAAAAATACTGATGTCATTTATTGCTACCAAAACTTGTTATTAATTTCTGCATTTTAATTTTCATTAAGTAAAATAATTTTTGATTTTTCAATGTTATTTTACAAGAAAAACTAAAATCAAATTTTTAATTATATATTTATATATATCTAGATCTATGATTGTTTTTTAATGTGCAGTCTAATCACCGCAAGTGAGTTTAGCTCACTGTGTAACGTATACAACTATAGTAGGTTCTACCAAAAAAAGTTATAAACTAGGTAACTTATGTTCTACTATTTTAAATATCAATTTCAGGTTATTTAACACCCTGTATCACGTATATACATAATATTAACTCTAAAATTTCATTACAATAAAGAGATATCAACAATGGCAAATACAGGTAAATATTGTGTTTTAGTGACATTTTACTATTATCAATTATTT